ACGGTAAATGATCGGAAAGGAGAGAGCGAAAGAGATCACAGTAACGTATTTCGAGATTGGGAAGCCGCTACTGACCTGATCCCCGTCAATAACGTCCTCGATACCACGCTGGGTCCAATGCGTCGTGTTTCGAGGAGTCTAAAACCCGGAGTCGCGGTCGGGCGATCGGTTCCGACCTAATATTTGCCCGCTTTGTCCCAGTTAACCGTCGCGATCGGAACGTTATTTTGACGCGTAACCGCTGTCGCTTCGGCACAGGACCCCAGGGGACTCCTGCTGGATACTAAGATTCCCGATGGGAGTGGTTATTCTCTGCTGGTGTTTTCCTTACTGCACTGGGGATTGCCTTCCTGTGTGACAGTGCACAGCATCTTGCGAATGTGGTGCGATGGGTTGAACGAAAAGTCAGGTAACTTTGGCGAACAAGCGACACTCGCCCAGCAATTTTTACCCTCCACAAATTCGCGAGCCGGTTTCCAAACCAACCTTCCAAGCCTTCAAACCTGCACACCAACATCATCAGAAGAGAAGGAACACGTAGTTAGATCCTCACGTGCTCACCTTAGCGCAGCTTTCCCTAACTTCGTTCTACAAGTCAGTCTTCTCCACAGGTCACCTGTAAAGGCCACAAGTCTTAGCTGCTCTTTCGTTTCCCAGTTGAATATGGAGCATTCGACGCTGGAACGAATTCGAGACAAAGCCAAAAGGAAGTTAAAGTGAGGGTCGTTCGATGCATCTGTAAGCTCCCTGCTGTGTTGATAGCTTTGCACATCTGAGCACCCCCTCTTCCCGCAGGTTGCTTCATAATCTCAAACCTTCTACATCTCTACCGTCAGAGGTTGGTTTCACGTGTTACACGTGTTTAGAGCACACGTGTGACATACGCTTATGCTCTCCTCTTACAGGAGAATGTCAGCTTGTCGACGCCTTCTCCATCTCGTGGGCCGGTGTCCAAGAAAAAACAAAAGTTTTCAAGTCCATTACCCGCGAATCTGGCACCCACGCCGCCTGCAGTCTGCAAGTAATCAGCTCGCTGTTCTGTCTTTCGCAGCACCGCTTACTCCTAACCTTTTCCTGGATCCCCCAGAGAATTCACGGAAGTGAGAACGTGCATGGCTGAAAAGACAAAACGGTTAACTGCGTCTCAGACAGTGACTCGCCATCCGAGCGATCTTTCGATATCTAACACGTTGGACATTCAGGTTGGATTCTCTCATGATTTTCGCATTATGTTTCCAAAAGTATGTCTCACTTGCTCGTGTACCAGAGGATGAAGGTTCCAGTTGGTCTTGTGGAAATGGAGCCTCCGACCAGCTTGATTGGTCAAAAGACGTCGGTGCTTATTGGTAAGAGCCTCCCAGGTTATGACATTGCTAAAGGACCTGTGAGAGACATATTGACTTCGACCTTTGCCAGATCGTGCACCTTTCAAGCCAACGCCAACTACAGACGAACTTGCTTCACTTGTCCTTCCTGGATCCGCTAAACTTCTTAGGGCGCTGTTTCTTCCTGCTGTTTACAATGTGGATGCTGGGTGTCAGAGAGCTGGACTAGCCATCCTGTTGGATGAGCCATCAACCACGAGTGACAGGTGAGTTGAGTTGATTGTTGTCATTCCAAACTCAAATCATGCGGACCTCAAACGCCGCTGTGTGGAATGCAGAAACTGGTTCTCTGGCATAAATGAGATGCTACATTTTCCTGGCACAAGCAAAAGTGAACACACTGGTGAAGTGTTGCCTGATATTAGAACTCAAGCTGTTTTTCTGGATACACAAGCTTCACGTATGGGAGATTTGACTGATGACCAAGGCCACGCCGAAGTGATTGAGACTGGAGCTTGGAAAGCTTATAAAAGGCAAGTTTCTGACTTTTGTTTAGCTTGCTCCAGCAAAGAGCACATGAAAGCAGAAGTAGCACTCTGGCTGCGTGCAGATGGTGGATTACTGGAACTAATCTAGGAATAGCTACAAAAGCTTCAGCTGTCACTTTGACGAAATGTGTGCAAGGATTTATTTAAAACACCATCATTAACCTTCACCCTTAAACCCTTGAACATCGCTTAAAACTCTGCCACTTCGCTAAAACTCAGGAGGGAGAGGAGGGTAAGGAATGTAAGGAGGGCGAGGAGGTAGTGGAGGGTGAGAGAGAGGAGGGTGAGTATGGGAGGGTGAGAAGGGAGAGGGGGGTGAGGGAGAGGAGGGAGAAGAGGGTGAGGTGAGGGAGAGGAGGGAGGGAGAGGAAGGGGAGGGAGCGGAAGGTGGGGAAGGGGAGGAAGAGGAGGGTAGGCACGGAGAGGGAATAGGTGAGAGAAGCGAGGAGGGGAGGGACAGGCGGAAGGAAGTGATGAAAGGAGGGGAGAGACGGGAGAAGGGAGGGATGAAAGGAGAAGAGGGACGAGAGAGGGAAGGGACAGGAGGCGGGCAGACAAGAGGAGCGCAAGCTCGTGGTGCTAAAATCCCGCATGTCAAATACGATATCCTGCTTCTGTTGAACTTCTACCCCGGACCTTGTAAGGATGAACGCTGATTCGGAAGTCCATATGAAGGAAACCCTAAAGCAAAAGAGCTGATCGTATGGCAGCAGCAGAGAATGAGGATGCAAAAACCATGCTGGACTGTGCCAGCCGGGTATCGAACCCGGGTCTGCACCCAAGTTGGTAGCAGGGTGCTATTCTACCTCTTTATTGACATTATAGTAAATGTACAATGGATACAAGGCAAATCCAGAGACCTAGTGTATGGAGAAACATGCAGGCTAATCCTATTGTGAGACCTACAAATAGGCCTCTGTGATGTCTCAATGGTCCTCTCCCAAGTAGGCAAAGTCAGCCGCAGAAAGAGAAGTCACCTCGGGTGGTGCGTGGTCGACGCCCTCGGTAAAACGAATTTGTGCACGACGACAAACAGTGCGAGCCTGCTCACGTTGATGGACCAGAGAAATCCGTTTGTAGAAGTTGGTCTCAAACAGCTGGGGAAGAGAATCTGTGGCACCACTCAAGTCGCGGAGTTGTGACGCCCCTTTGCGGCTGCATTGGCGAAAGAAGTTGTTGAACGAAGAGCCGAAGCAACCAAAGGTTTCGATGACAAGGGGAAACAGTTTGATGTCTGGACGGTCACGAAGTGCTGCAGCATAGTGGGTGGTCTTCTCACTTTCATGAGTGGTTGCTGCTGAACCAATCACCGTAGCTGCGTTGGAGTGCGGAAACCCCTTTTGTGGATCAGCAACAGAAACATCAAAGGCCCAGGTGGTACCAGAGCTAATGTCGCGGCACATGATGTCTGTGCGGCGGCCAGGCAGGAGATGCTGGTCTTCCATCTGCGCAGAGAACCCAAGCTCCAAGGCAATGCGATGAACTTCTCGTTTGATTGCGTCGTGCACCTTAGTAGGCTCGTTGTTGCTAGGGCAGCGAAGGACATGAGAATGGATGGAAGGATCGGTGAACGGGGAGTTGCAGGTGCAGGTGAGTGAAGATGACAGGTGAGGAAGAGGAAGGCCTAAGCGGATAGCTGCTGCAATGCGCCATTCAGTCTCTGAAAGCTGCATGTGCGGGGAGGATGGAGCCACAGTGAGCCAGTCACCTGCATGCGGGCCCTGCAAAGAGGTTAGACGAGCAAGGCGAAGCGGAGACGTTACTGTGGCTCGAACCTTCTCCAGCAAATCGGCTTTGAGGTGTTGGGAGAGATGAGTAAAGAGTTTAGGAGGGTAGCCCGATTGAAGCACAAGCCATGATGGGAAGCGATCACGAATGTCTTGGGGAAGCATGGTTATGGTGGATGAGATTGAAGGGTCGAGGAGGTTAATGGAGTCCGTGGTGACGTAAGGGCGGAAAAGAGGAGCACCATCAGTGATGAAGTGGGTGGATAAGGTCGAAACTGTCTGCGCCCAGCTACAAAGGTAACTGAGGGGGGCGATGGATGCAGAGCTGCGAATGCCGAAGCCACCTAAGCGGATAGGGAGCGAGGCTTGGAGGCGGGCCGATGTGGACTGTTCAGAGGTGGGATTCCAGTACTCAGAGCCCAGGAGCTGAGAGAAGTGGCTGAAAATGGTGCTGTCCCATGAAGAAAGTAGCTCTTGGATTTCGGGAAAAGGTGCGACAGTTCGGAGGAGGAAAAAAGGTCGGGCAGTGATGCATAAGGAAAGGATCCGTGAGGCAATCTGTGGGTCCTGCAGTTGATGCAGTAAGGGGAGGGAGGAAGTGAAAGAATCGAGTTTGTCACGAACTGTAGAGATGATGTAACCGTCGGAGCCGGTAGGAACGCTAGCGACAGTGAGACCGTTTGCAGCGATGGAGATACCCGGGGGCGGAATGCAGTGTTCAGGCAGGTCCATAGGGGCCCATAGAGAGCACTTAGAGGGTTGGACTGTAAGGCCGAGAGAGAGAAGGCGGGAGGTAAGGTCAGTTTATGCGGCAAAGACGTCTGAGGGAGGGCCGATCAAGTAGGTATCGTCTGCGTATGAGGTAATGAAAATTGAGGGAGACTGCTGCTGGGTTGGTTGGATGGCTAGCTGCTGTGTTAGGGCATAAAGGAAAGGGCCACAAGGGTCGCCTTGACGAACACCAGAAGCTGACTGGAATGTGTGGAGAAGGGGGCCGCTGCGGTAGTGGAGAGGTGAAGGGGTGGAGTAGAATAGGCGGAAGAAGGGAATGAGACCGGAGAATGGGGAGCGCCTTAATGCCTCAAACATGGAAACCCGGTTGAACGAGTTGAACGCGTTTGCAACGTCCAGCTGAAGCACCACCCAGTCTGGATGAAGGGAGAAGGCGGAGCACACTGCGTGCGACATAATCTCGATCCCGGCCGGAACTGCTACGCCAAATTGAAGGTGGGGAAGGAATGTCTCTCGCATCTGCTGCTTAAAAAGGAGAGTGATGCAGCGTGAAAGGAGGCGTGGTAGCACTTCCCCAATGGCGATGGGACATACACCACCATGCGGTTTCTGCAGGGCCACGAGGTTCGAAGCGGTGTAGAAAGGCCTGACTGCGGGTGGAAGGTCACCCTGCAGCCAGTTCTGGAATACGTGGAGGAGAGAAGGGAGATGCTGCTGGTGAGAAAGAAACGTGTCCCTGAGGTGCTCAATGAACCACCCAGAAGGTCCAGCAGCTGTGCCACGGGGGGCGGACTGTAGAGCGGCATGGAGAACAGGGACGGTAAGCTGTGGTGCGGCTGCAGGAGTGAAGGTGTGTACCCAGTCAGGAATCTCTGCTGCAGCAGGTGGGTGCTTGGAGCTGAGGGCAACAGCTGTTTCTGATGATGGAGGAGCTAGCTCGCCAGCTTCCAGTGCTGCCAGTGACCGCGACCAATCCCCGCATTTTGCAAACCGCTTCGCACGGTTGAGACGAGCCTGCTGCGCTGTAGAACGTGCTGATGCCATGTGCAGAGGTCTAGCGGCTGGAGTGGCTGCAGCTACGGCTTCGCTGAAAAGAGAGTGCCAGTCACCAGTGATGAAGCGGCGCGCTAAGGCAGCACATGAAGAGGTAAGGGGCTGTGTGGGAGCAGCGGCAGATGGTAGGCGCAGCAGGAGACGCGGAAATGCCAAGAGAATGAGGTGTGCAGCGACGTCAGAAGGATGTTGTGCAAGGCGGCGCAGTGGAATGAGAAGTGCATCGAGAATGAGGAGTCGGATGCGGGGGGGGATTCGGCTATTCTACCTCTTCATTGACACTATAGTAAATGTACAATGGATACAAGACAAATCCAAGCATCTAGTGTATGGAAAGACATGCAGGCTAATCCTATTGTGAGGCCTACAAATAGGCCTCTGAGATGTCTCAGTGGTCCTCTCCAAAGTAGGCAAAGTCAGCTGCAGAAAGAGAAGTCACCTCGGGTGGTGCGTGGTTGACGCCCTCGGTAAAACGAATTTGTGCACGACGACAAACAGTGCGAGACTGCTCACGTTGATGGACCAGAGAAATCCGTTTGTAGAAGTTGGTCTCAAACAGCAGGGGAAGGAAATCTGTAGCACCACTCAAGTCACGGAGTTGTGAAGCCCCTTTGCGGCTGCATTGGCGTAGGAAAAATGTGAAAAGCATGTAAATTTATGTTCTTCACCCACTAGCCACTAGCCCCCCCACTCTTGTATGCAAAGCTCCTCTCACATGGAGAACAGTGTTTTATCCTTTTAAAACAGAGGAATGCCACAATAGCCCAAGCCAACCACCCTGTCTTTCTCCCCTACCTCTCCCCTTCCCCGGAAGGTGTAAAGATGTGTGACCTCTTGTATTCACAAGGGACAAACATTGCATGTCACAACATGAGCTGTGCCGCACCCAGCCACGGCCACATTATTCCCACTCCACACCAATGCATGCAGCTGTGCTCTCTACACCCATGCACACACCCTCCTGCTCCCCATGCTCTCTACTTGACAATGAGGAGCTGCACCATCTCATTGCCCTCGTGCTCCAGGATGTGGCAGTGCCACACGCGCACCCCTGGCTACGTTATTCCCACACCCATGCACGCCGCTGCTGTGCTCTATACACCCACACCATCCACACGCCATGGTCCCGGTGCTTTCCATGCTCGCTACGTGACAATGAGGGGCCGCATCATGTCGTTGTCCTCGTGCTCCAGGATGTGGCAGTGCCACACGTACCCCGGGCCACGCGTGGGGTTGAAGGGGAGCGGCGACCCGTCCTGCAAGGAGACAAGCGAAACACACACACACACATCAGTACACTCCACACCTAGGGCTTGGAGTAAACGCCTCGCTCAATTCAGTATGCACACCCAATAGAGAAGGTGCCGCAAGAAACGCCTCTGAAAACAGAGGCAGGCAGGAGTGGGGCGAGAGTGTCACCTGGGAGAACCAGCCGGTCCAGAGGGTGAGCACCTCATCCCGCTGCAGCACAGTGGTGTCCTTCCACCCGCGCTCGTACTCCCCCACGCCCGCCCTCCCACTCACTCTCACGCTGCTCCCCTCCCCCGTGAAGCAGCTGGGCAGGGAGGAGTTGGCGGAGGAGTTGCCAGGGAAGGCGCACTGGCTGTTGCGGTAGGCGGTGCGGTTGAAGGGGCGGCGGGCGAGGGGGCGGTGCATGATGAGGTGCAGGTGGATGGGGTGGGCGTCTGGCGTGTCATTGATTATGTGCCATAGCTCCTCCGAGTTCTGCTCATGGTGCACAGCTGGCACACAGCATGCGAAGAGGGCATCGACAGGGGGATGTATGGGGAGGTGCATGATGAGGTGCTGGATGGGAGGGCGTCTGGCGTGTCATTGATTATGTGCCATAGCTCTGCCGAGTTCTGCTCAAAACACATGCCATGCTCACGACAGGTAGCACACGCCATGCTCACGACAGGTAGCACACGCCATGCTCACGACAGGTAGCACACGCCATGCTCACGACAGGTAGCACACGCCATGCTCACGACAGGTAGCACACGCCATGCTCACGACAGGTAGCACACGCCATGCTCACGACAGGTAGCACACGCCATGCTCACGACAGGTAGCACAGGCCATGCTCACGACAGGTAGCACAGGCCATGCTCACGACAGGTAGCACAGGCCATGAGGCACATGGCACGCAGCGTGGAAAGACGGCAGCAGCGGGGGTATGGGGTGAATGCGAAACAAGAAGTGAATGGGATAGGTGTCACCGTGTAAAGCGTGGTGTGCCAAGGTGCCTTGCCTAAACACTCATCTGCATGGGTGCCTCTCCGCCTCTACACTCTTACCATCTCGGGTGCCTCTCCTCACTACACTCACCCGCTTGGGAGTCTCGGTGGGCGCGTCACTGAAGCCGCGGCCATCGAAGGTGATGCGTTGGGGGGAAGACAGCTGCACGGCTGTCATCCACCTCTCCTTGCTCACACGGGAGAGGCGCAGCTTGGGAAGCGACTGCCACGCCAGGAGGGGGATGTTAGGAGAGAGAGAGAGAGAGAGAGCGTGAGTGAGGCGCACAGGCAGGCCTGTTGGGGGAAGACAGCCCCACCACTGTAATCCACCTCTCCTTGCTCACACAGGAGAGGTGCAGCTTGGGAAGGCTTGGGAAGGGACTGCCACGGCGGGCAGGGGGGGAATGGGGAGGAGAGAAGGCGAGTGAGGCGCACAGGCCAGCCTGTCAGGGGCAGATAGCTCCATGGCCGTCATCCACCTCCCCTTCGCCATGCGGGAGAGATGGAAGAGGTACTCCTACGACTAACTTTTGAGTCGACTCAAAAGTCAACTCGGTACTCCTACGACAAAGAAAAGTAAGCACGAGACATATATAAATCATGAGATCCACATTTGTAGGAGATTGTAACTCTGCTACACATTACTCCAGCCGTGCAGCGAGGGACTGGCATGGCGGGAGGGGGAATGTTGGGAGGAAAGAGGTGAGATGGGGTGTGGGGAAGACAGAGGTGAGGGGGGGGGTGGGAAGACGAAAGTTGAGTGGGCGTGTGGGAAAGAAAGAGGTGAGGGGGGGGGGAGGGGGGGGTTGTGGGAACGACTAAGGGGAAAAAGAGGAGGTTGATGACCCAAGGAACGTAAGTCAAAGAGAGGTTGGAGTGGGGCGTGCCATGCTGCCATCCGAATCTCCCCGGCCACACAGAAGGGGCGAGATGAGAATTTGTCTGGGATGGGCGTAGCAGGTTAAGGAGGAAGAAGCCTCAGGCAGAGAGATGGCCGGTGGAGGGGGGAAATGGGGGAAATAGCTTCCAGCACAGCACACCCGTGCTGCTGCTGCCCTGCCCTGCCCACAGTGCACACACCAGCGCCCGTGCCGTTGCTGCCCTGCCCACGGTGCACACACTCACAACAAGCTTCTTTGGGACAGGAGGCGACGGCACAACACTCCCCATGCGGTCCACAATGAAGCGCAAGACCACGCCCGTGGCGTTGCTGCCCGCCCAACCCATGCTGCCCACCCAACCCATGCTTCCCGCCCAATCCATGCTGCCCGCCCAACCCATGCTGCCCGCCCAACCCATGCTGCCCGCCCAACCCATGCTGCCCGCCCAACCCATGCTGCCCGCCCAACCCATGCTGCCCGCCCAACCCATGCTGCCCACCCAACCCATGCTGCCCGCCCAACCCATGCTGCCCGCCCAACCCATGCTGCCCGCCCAACCCATGCTGCCCGCCCAACCCATGCTGCCCGCCCGACCCATGCTGCCCGCCCAACCCATGCTGCCCGCCCAACCCATGCTGCCCGCCCAATCCATGCTGCCCGCCCAATCCATGCTGCCCGCCCCAACCCATGCTGCCCGCCCGACCCATGCTGCCCGCCCAACCCATGCTGCCCGCCCAACCCATGCTGCCCGCCCAACCCATGCTGCCCGCCCGACCCATGCTGCCCGCCCGACCCATGCTGCCCGCCCAATCCATGCTGCCCGCCCCGACCCATGCTGCCCGCCCAACCCATGCTGCCCGCCCAACCCATGCTGCCCGCCCAACCCATGCTGCCCGCCCAACCCATGCTGCCCGCCCAACCCATGCTGCCCGCCCGACCCATGCTGCCCGCCCGACCCATGCTGCCCGCCCAACCCATGCTGCCCGCCCCACCCATGCTGCCCGCCCAACCCATGCTGCCCGCCCAACCCATGCTGCCCGCCCAACCCATGCTGCCCGCCCAACCCATGCTGCCCGCCCAACCCATGCTGCCCGCCCAACCCATGCTGCCCGCCCAACCCATGCTGCCCGCCCAACCCATGCTGCCCGCCCGACCCATGCTGCCCGCCCGACCCATGCTGCCCGCCCGACCCATGCTGCCCGCCCGACCCATGCTGCCCGCCCGACCCATACTGCCCGCCCGACCCATGCTGCCCGCCCGACCCATGCTGCCCGCCCAACCCATGCTGCCCGCCCAACCCATGCTGCCCGCCCAATCCATGCTGCCCGCCCGACCCATGCTGCCCGCCCAATCCATGCTGCCCGCCCGACCCATGCTGCCCGCCCAACCCATGCTGCCCGCCCAACCCATGCTGCCCGCCCAACCCATGCTGCCCGCCCAACCCATGCTGCCCGCCCAACCCATGCTGCCCGCCCAACCCATGCTGCCCGCCCAACCCATGCTGCCCGCCCAACCCATGCTGCCCGCCCAACCCATGCTGCCCGCCCAACCCATGCTGCCCGCCCAACCCATGCTGCCCGCCCAACCCATGCTGCCCGCCCAACCCATGCTGCCCGCCCAACCCATGCTGCCCGCCCAACCCATGCTGCCCGCCCAACCCATGCTGCCCGCCCGACCCATGCTGCCCGCCCGACCCATGCTGCCCGCCCAACCCATGCTGCCCGCCCAACCCATGCTGCCTGCCCAACCCATGCTGCCCGCCCAACCCATGCTGCCCGCCCAACCCATGCTGCCCGCCCAACCCATGCTGCCCGCCCGACCCATGCTGCCCGCCCGACCCATGCTGCCCGCCCGACCCATGCTGACCCATGCTGCCCGCCCAACCCATGCTGCCCGCCCAACCCATGCTGCCCGCCCAACCCATGCTGCCCGCCCAACCCATGCTGCCCGCCCAACCCATGCTGCCCGCCCAACCCATGCTGCCCGCCCAACCCATGCTGCCCGCCCAACCCATGCTGCCCGCCCAACCCATGCTGCCCGCCCAACCCATGCTGCCCGCCCGACCCATGCTGCCCGCCCGACCCATGCTGCCCGCCCGACCCATGCTGCCCGCCCGACCCATGCTGCCCGCCCGACCCATGCTGCCCGCCCAACCCATGCTGCCCGCCCAACCCATGCTGCCCGCCCAACCCATGCTGCCCCGCCCAACCCATGCTGCCCGCCCAACCCATGCTGCCCGCCCAACCCATGCTGCCCGCCCAACCCATGCTGCCCGCCCGACCCATGCTGCCCGCCCGACCCATGCTGCCCGCCCAACCCATGCTGCCCGCCCAACCCATGCTGCCCGCCCCAACCCATGCTGCCCGCCCAACCCATGCTGCCCGCCCAACCCATGCTGCCCGCCCAACCCATGCTGCCCGCCCAACCCATGCTGCCCGCCCAACCCATGCTGCCCGCCCGACCCATGCTGCCCGCCCGACCCATGCTGCCCCGCCCGACCCATGCTGCCCGCCCAACCCATGCTGCCCGCCCAACCCATGCTGCCCGCCCGACCCATGCTGCCCGCCCGACCCATGCTGCCCGCCCGACCCATGCTGCCCGCCCCACCCATGCTGCCCGCCCAAACCCATGCTGCCCGCCCAACCCATGCTGCCCGCCCAACCCATGCTGCCCGCCCAACCCATGCTGCCCGCCCAACCCATGCTGCCCGCCCAACCCATGCTGCCCGCCCGACCCATGCTGCCCGCCCGACCCATGCTGCCCGCCCAACCCATGCTGCCCGCCCAACCCATGCTGCCCGCCCGACCCATGCTGCCCGCCCGACCCATGCTGCCCCGCCCGACCCATGCTGCCCGCCCCACCCATGCTGCCCGCCCAACCCATGCTGCCCGCCCAACCCATGCTGCCCGCCCAACCCATGCTGCCCGCCCAACCCATGCTGCCCGCCCAACCCATGCTGCCCGCCCAACCCATGCTGCCCGCCCAACCCATGCTGCCCGCCCAACCCATGCTGCCCGCCCGACCCATGCTGCCCGCCCGACCCATGCTGCCCGCCCAACCCATGCTGCCCGCCCAACCCATGCTGCCCGCCCGACCCATGCTGCCCGCCCAACCCATGCTGCCCGCCCAACCCATGCTGCCCGCCCAACCCATGCTGCCCGCCCAACCCATGCTGCCCGCCCAACCCATGCTGCCCGCCCAACCCATGCTGCCCGCCCAACCCATGCTGCCCGCCCAACCCATGCTGCCCGCCCAACCCATGCTGCCCGCCCAACCCATGCTGCCCGCCCGACCCATGCTGCCCGCCCAACCCATGCTGCCCGCCCAACCCATGCTGCCCGCCCAACCCATGCTGCCCGCCCAACCCATGCTGCCCGCCCGACCCATGCTGCCCGCCCGACCCATGCTGCCCGCCCCGACCCATGCTGCCCGCCCAACCCATGCTGCCCGCCCCAACCCATGCTGCCCGCCCAACCCATGCTGCACGCCCAACCCATGCTGCCCGCCCAACCCATGCTGCCCGCCCAACCCATGCTGCCCGCCCAAACCCATGCTGCCCGCCCGACCCATGCTGCCCGCCCAACCCATGCTGCCCGCCCAACCCATGCTGCCCGCCCAACCCATGCTGCCCGCCCAACCCATGCTGCCCGCCCAACCCATGCTGCCCGCCCGACCCATGCTGCCCGCCCAACCCATGCTGCCCGCCCAACCCATGCTGCCCGCCCAACCCATGCTGCCCGCCCTACCCATGCTGCCCGCCCAACCCATGCTGCCCGCCCTACCCATGCTGCCCGCCCAACCCATGCTGCCCGCCCAACCCATGCTGCCGCCCGACCCCATGCTGCCCGCCCAATCCATGCTGCCCGCCCAACCCATGCTGCCCGCCCAATCCATGCTGCCCGCCCAACCATGCTGCCCGCCCAACCCATGCTGCCCGCCCGACCCATGCTGCCCGCCCAACCCATGCTGCCCGCCCAACCCATGCTGCCCGCCCGATCCATGCTGCCCGCCCAACCCATGCTGTTCGCCCAATCCATGCTGCCCGCCCAACCCATGCTGCCCGCCCAACACATGCTGCCCGCCCAACCCATGCTGCCCGCCCAACCCATGCTGCCCGCCCGACCCATGCTGCCCGCCCGACCCATGCTGCCCGCCCGACCCATGCTGCCCGCCCGACCCATGCTGCCCGCCCAACCCATGCTGCCCGCCCAACCCATGCTGCCCGCCCAACCTATGCTGCCCGCCCAACCCATGCTGCCCGCCCAACCCATGCTGCCCGCCCAACCCATGCTGCCCGCCCCAACCCATGCTGCCCGCCCAACCCATGCTGCCCGCCCGACCCATGCTGCCCGCCCGACCCATGCTGCCCGCCCGACCCATGCTGCCCGCCCAACCCATGCTGCCCGCCCGACCCATGCTGCCCGCCCGATCCATGCTGCCCGCCCAACCCATGCTGCCCGCCCAACCCATGCTGCCCGCCCGACCCATGCTGCCCGCCCAACCATGCTGCCCGCCCGACCCATGCTGCCCGCCCAACCCATGCTGCCCGCCCAACCCATGCTGCCCGCCCGATCCATGCTGCCCGCCCAACCCATGCTGCCCGCCCAATCCATGCTGCCCGCCCAACCCATACTGCCCGCCCAACCCATGCTGCCCGCCCAACCCATGCTGCCCGCCCGACCCATGCTGCCCGCCCAACCCATGCTGCCCGCCCGACCCATGCTGCCCGCCCAACCCATGCTGCCCGCCCGACCCATGCTGCCCGCCCAACCCATGCTGCCCGCCCAACCCATGCTGCCCGCCCAACCCATGCTGCCCGCCCAACCCATGCTGCCCGCCCAACCCATGTTGCCCGCCCAACCCATGCTGCCCGCCCAACCCATGCTGCCCGCCCGACCCATGCTGCCCGCCCAACCCATGCTGCCCGCCCAACCCATGCTGCCCACCCAACCATGCTGCCCGCCCAACCCATGCTGCCCGCCCAACCCATGCTGCCCGCCCGACCCATGCTGCCCGCCCAACCCATGCTGCCCGCCCAACCCATGCTGCCCGCCCAATCCATGCTGCCCGCCCAACCCATGCTGCCCGCCCAACCCATGCTGCCCGCCCAACCCATGCTGCCCGCCCAACCCATGCTGCCCGCCCAACCCATGCTGCCCGCCCAACCCATGCTGCCCGCCCAACCCATGCTGCCCGCCCAACCCATGCTGCCCGCCCAACCCATGCTGCCCGCCCAACCCATGCTGCCCGCCCAACCCATGCTGCCCGCCCAACCCATGCTGCCCGCCGACCCATGCTGCCCGCCCAACCCATGCTGCCCGCCCAACCCATGCTGCCCGCCCAACCCATGCTGCCCGCCCAACCCATGCTGCCCGCCCGAACCCATGCTGCCCGCCCGACCCATGCTGCCCGCCCGACCCATGCTGCCCGCCCCAACCCATGCTGCCCGCCCAACCCATGCTGCCCGCCCAACCCATGCTGCACGCCCAACCCATGCTGCCCGCCCCAACCCATGCTGCCCGCCCCAACCCATGCTGCCCGCCCAACCATGCTGCCGCCACCATGCGCCGCAACCCATGCTGCCCGCCCAACCCATGCTGCCCGCCCAACCCATGCTGCCCGCCCAACCCATGCTGCCCGCCCGACCCATGCTGCCCGCCCAACCCATGCTGCCCGCCCAACCCATGCTGCCCGCCCAACCCATGCTGCCCGCCCAACCCATGCTGCCCGCCCAACCCATGCTGCCCGCCCAACCCATGCTGCCCGCCCAACCCATGCTGCCCGCCCAACCCATGCTGCCCGCCCAACCCATGCTGCCCGCCCAACCCATGCTGCCCGCCCAACCCATGCTGCCCGCCCAACCCATGCTGCCCGCCCAACCCATGCTGCCCGCCCAACCCATGCTGCCCGCCCGACCCATGCTGCCCGCCCAACCCATGCTGCCCGCCCCCCAACCATGCTGCCCGCCCAACCCATGCTGCCCGCCCGACCCATGCCTGCCCGCCCAACCCATGCTGCCCGCCCAACCCATGATGCCCGCCCAACCCATGCTGCCCGCCCAACCCATGCTGCCCGCCCGACCCATGCTGCCCGCCCGACCCATGCTGCCCGCCCGAACCCATGCTGCCCGCCCAACCCATGCTGCCCGCCCAACCCATGCTGCCCGCCCAACCCATGCTGCACGCCCAACCCATGCTGCCCGCCCAACCCATGCTGCCCGCCCAACCCATGCTGCCCGCCCAACCCATGCTGCCCGCCCGACCCATGCTGCCCGCCCAACCCATGCTGCCCGACCAACCCATGCTGCCCGCCCAACCCATGCTGCCCGCCAACCCATGCTGCCCGCCCAACCCATGCTGCCCGCCCAACCCATGCTGCCCGCCCGACCCATGCTGCCCGCCCAACCCATGCTGCCCGCCCAACCCATGCTGCCCGCCCAACCCATGCTGCCCGCCCTACCCATGCTGCCGCCCAACCCATGCTGCCCGCCCTACCCATGCTGCCCGCCCAACCCATGCTGCCCGCCCAACCCATGCTGCCCGCCCGACCCATGCTGCCCGCCCAATCCATGCTGCCCGCCCAACCCATGCTGCCCGCCCAATCCATGCTGCCCGCCCAACCATGCTGCCCGCCCAACCCATGCTGCCCGCCCGACCCATGCTGCCCGCCCAACCCATGCTGCCCGCCCAACCCATGCTGCCCGCCCGATCCATGCTGCCCGCCCAACCCATGCTGTTCGCCCAATCCATGCTGCCCGCCCAACCCATGCTGCCCGCCCAACACATGCTGCCCGCCCAACCCATGCTGCCCGCCCAACCCATGCTGCCCGCCCGACCCATGCTGCCCCGCCCGACCCATGCTGCCCGCCCGACCCATGCTGCCCGCCCGACCCATGCTGCCCGCCCAAACCCATGCTGCCCGCCCAACCCATGCTGCCCGCCCAACCTATGCTGCCCGCCCAACCCATGCTGCCCGCCCAACCCATGCTGCCCGCCCAACCCATGCTGCCCGCCCAACCCATGCTGCCCGCCCAACCCATGCTGCCCGCCCGACCCATGCTGCCCGCCCGACCCATGCTGCCCGCCCGACCCATGCTGCCCGCCCAACCCATGCTGCCCGCCCGACCCATGCTGCCCGCCCGATCCATGCTGCCCGCCCAACCCATGCTGCCCGCCCAACCCATGCTGCCCGCCCGACCCATGCTGCCCGCCCAACCATGCTGCCCGCCCGACCCATGCTGCCCGCCCAACCCATGCTGCCCGCCCAACCCATGCTGCCCGCCCGATCCATGCTGCCCGCCCAACCCATGCTTGCCCGCCCAATCCATGCTGCCCGCCCAACCCATACTGCCCGCCCAACCCATGCTGCCCGCCCAACCCATGCTGCCCGCCCGACCCATGCTGCCGCCCAACCATGCTGCCCGCCCGACCATGCTGCCCGCCCCAACCCATGCTGCCCGCCCGACCCATGCTGCCCGCCCAACCCATGCTGCCCGCCCAACCCATGCTGCCCGCCCAAACCCATGCTGCCCGCCCAACCCATGCTGCCCGCCCAACCCATGCTGCCCGCCCAACCCATGCTGCCCGCCCAACCCATGTTGCCCGCCCGACCCATGCTGCCCGCCCAACCCATGCTGCCCGCCAACCCATGCTGCCCACCCAACCATGCTGCCCGCCCAAACCCATGCTGCCCGCCCAACCCATGCTGCCCGCCCGACCCATGCTGCCCGCCCAACCCATGCTGCCCGCCCAACCCCATGCTGCCCGCCCAATCCATGCTGCCCGCCCAACCCATGCTGCCCGCCCAACCCATGCTGCCCGCCCAACCCATGCTGCCCGCCCAACCCATGCTGCCCGCCCAACCCATGCTGCCCGCCCAACCCATGCTGCCCGCCCCAACCCATGCTGCCCGCCCAACCCATGCTGCCGCCCGACCCATGCTGCCCGCCCGACCCATGCTGCCCGCCCAACCCATGCTGCCCGCCCAACCCATGCTGCCCGCCCAACCCATGCTGCCCGCCCAACCCATGCTGCCCGCCCAACCCATGCTGCCCGCCCAATCCATGCTGCCCCGCCCAACCCATGCTGCCCGCCCAACCCATGCTGCCCGCCCCAACCCATGCTGCCCGCCCGACCCATGCTGCCCGCCCCGACCCATGCTGCCCGCCCGACCCATGCTGCCCGCCCGACCCATGCTGCCCGCCCGACCCATGCTGCCCGCCCAACCCATGCTGCCCGCCCAACCCATGCTGCCCGCCCAACCCATGCTGCCCGCCCAACCCATGCTGCCCGCCCAACCCATGCTGCCCGCCCAACCCATGCTGCCCGCCCAACCCATGCTGCCCGCCCAACCCATGCTGCCCGCCCAACCCATGCTGCCCGCGCCCGACCCATGCTGCCCGGCCCGACCCATGCTGCCTGCCCGACCCATGCTGCCCGCCCAACCCATGCTGCCCGCCGACCCATGCTGCCCGCCCAACCCATGCTGCCCGCCCAACCCATGCTGCCCGCCCAACCCATGCTGCCCGCCCAACCCATGCTGCCCGCCCAACCCATGCTGCCCGCCCAACCCATGCTGCCCGCCCACCCCATGCTGCCCGCCCAACCCATGCTGCCCGCCCAACCCATGCTGCCCGCCCAACCCATGCTGCCCGCCCGACCCATGCTGCCCGCCCGACCCATGCTGCCCGCCCGACCCATGCTGCCCGCCCGACCCATGCTGCCCGCCCGACCCATGCTGCCCGCCCAACCCATGCTGCCCGCCCAACCCATGCTGCCCGCCCAACCCATGCTGCCCCGCCCAACCCATGCTGCCCGCCCAACCCCATGCTGCCCGCCCAACCCATGCTGCCCGCCCAACCCATGCTGCCCGCCCAAACCCATGCTGCCCCGCCCAACCATGCTGCCCGCCCAACCCATGCTGCGCCGCCCGAACCCATGCTGCCCGCCCCCCCAACCCATGCTGCCCGCCAACCCATGCTGCCCGCCCGACCCATGCTGCCCGCCCAACCCATGCTGCCCGCCCACACCCATGCTGCCCGCCCAACCCATGCTGCCCGCCCAAACCCATGCTGCCCGCCCAACCCATGCTGCCCGCCCAACCCATGCTGCTCCGCCCAACCCATGCTGCCCGCCCAACCCATGCTGCCCGCCCGACCCATGCTGCCCGCCCGACCCCTGCTGCCGCCCGACCATGCTGCCCGCCCAACCCATGCTGCCCGCCCCGACACATGCTGCCCGCCCAACCCATGCTGCCCGCCCAACCCATGCTGCCCGCCCAACCCATGCTGCCCGCCCAACCCATGCTGCCCGCCCAACCCATGCATGCCCGCCCAACCCATGCTGCCCGCCCAACCCATGCTGCCCGCCCAACCCATGCTGCCCGCCCAACCCATGCTGCCCGCCCAACCCATGCTGCCCGCCCGACCCATGCTGCCCGCCCCGACCCATGCTCTGCCCGCCCGACCCATGCTGCCCGCCCGACCCATGCTGCCCGCCCGACCCATGCTGCCCGCCCAACCCATGCTGCCCGCCCAACCCATGCTGCCCGCCCAACCCATGCTGCCCGCCAACCCATGCTGCCCGCCCAACCCATGCTGGCCCGCCCAACCCATGCTGCCCGCCCGACCCATGCTGCCCGCCCAACCCCATGCTGGCCCGCCCAACCCATGCTGCCCCGCCCGCCCAACCCATGCTGCCCGCCCAACCCATGCTGCCCGCCCAACCCATGCTGCCCGCCCAACCCATGCTGCCCGCCCAACCCATGCTGCCCGCCCAACCCATGCTGCCCGCCCAACCCATGCTGCCCGCCCGACCCATGCTGCCCGCCCGGCCCATGCTGCCCGCCCAAACCCATGCTGCCCGCCCAACCCATGCTGCCCGCCCGACCCATGCTGCCCGCCCAACCCATGCTGCACCGCCCGACCCATGCTGCCCGCCCGACCCATGCTGCCCGCCCGACCCATGCTGCCCGCCCGACCCATGCTGCCCGCCCAACCCATGCTGCCCGCCCAACCCATGCTGCCCGCCCAACCCATGCTGCCCGCCCAACCCATGCTGCCCGCCCAACCCATGCTGCCCGCCCAACCCATGCTGCCCGCCCGACCCATGCTGCCCGCCCAACCCATGCTGCCCGCCCGACCCATGCTGCCCGCCCAACCCATGCTGCCCGCCCGACCCATGCTGCCCGCCCGACCCATGCTGCCCGCCCGACCCATGCTGCCCGCCCGCCCATGCTGCCCGCCCGACCCATGGCTGCCCGCCCGACCCATGCTGCCCGCCCGACCCATGCTGCCCGCCCAACCCATGCTGCCGCCCAACCCATGCTGCCCGCCCAACCCATGCTGCCCGCCCGACCCATGCTGCCCGCCCGACCCATGCTGCCCGCCCAACCCATGCTGCCCGCCCAACCCATGCTGCCCGCCCCGACCCATGCTGCCCGCCCGACCCATGCTGCCCGCCCCACCCATGCTGCCCGCCCAACCCATGCTGCCCGCCCGAACCCATGCTGCCCGCCCAACCCATGCTGCCCGCCCAGCCCATGCTGCCCGCCCAACCCATGCTGCCCGCCCCAAACCATGCTGCCCGCCCAACCCATGCTGCCCGCCCAACCCATGCTGCCCGCCCAACCCATGCTGCCCGCCAACCCATGCTGCCCGCCCGACCCATGCTGCCCCGCCCGACCCATGCTGCCCGCCCAACCCATGCTGCCCGCCCAACCCATGCTGCCCGCCCGACCCATGCTGCCCGCCCGACCCATGCTGCCCGCCCGACCCATGCTGCCCGCCCGACCCATGCTGCCCGCCCGACCCATGCTGCCCGCCCGACCATGCTGCCCGCCCGACCCATGCTGCCCGCCCAACCATGCTGCCCGCCCAAACCATGCTGCCCGCCCAACCCATGCTGCCTTCGCCCCGACCCATGCTGCCCGCCCGACCCATGCTGCCCGCCCAACCCATGCTGCCCGCCCAACCCATGCTGCCGCCCAACCCATGCTGCCCGCCCAACCCATGCTGCCCGCCCGACCCATGCTGCCCGCCCGACCCCCATGGTGCCCGCCCACCCATGCTGCCCGCCCAACCCATGCGGCCCGCCCAAACCCATGCTGCCCCGCCCTACCATGCTGCCCGCCAAACCCATGCTGCCCGCCCAACCCATGCTGCCCGCCCAACCCATGCTGCCCGCCCAACCCATGCTGCCCGCCCAACCCATGCTGCCCACCCAACCCATGCTGCCCGCTTGACCCATGCTGCCCGCCCGACCCATGCTGCCCCGCCCACCCATGCTGCCCGCCCAACCCATGCTGCCCGCCCAACCCATGCTGCCCGCCCGACCCATGCTTCCCGCCCAACCATGCTGCCCGCCCAACCCATGCTGCCCGCCCAACCCATGCTGCCCGCCCAACCCATGCTGCCCGCCCAACCCATGCTGCCCGCTCCAACCCATGCTGCCCGCCCAACCCATGCTGCCCGCCCAACCCATGCTGCCCGCCCAACCCATGCTGCCCGCCCGACCCATGCTGCCCGCCCAACCCATGCTGCCCGCCCCAACCCATGCTGCCCGCCCGACCCATGCTGCCCGCCCGACCCATGCTGCCCGCCCCCACCCATGCTGCCCCCCCGACCCATGCTGCCCGCCCGACCCATGCTGCCCGCCCGACCCATGCTGCCCGCCCAACCCATGCTGCCCGCCCCAACCCATGCTGCCCGCCCAACCCATGCTGCCCGCCCAACCCATGCTGCCCGCCCAACCCATGCTGCCCGCCCAACCCATGCTGCCCGCCCAACCCATGCTGCCCGCCCAACCCATGCTGCCCGCCCAACCCATGCTGCCCGCCCAACCCATGCTGCCCGCCCAACCCATGCTGCCCGCCCAACCCATGCTGCCCGCCCAACCCATGCTGCCCCCCAACCCATGCTGCCCGCCCAACCCATGCTGCCCGCCCCAACCCATGCTGCCCGCACCAACCCATGCTGCCCGCCCCGACCCATGCTGCCGCCCGACCCATGCTGCCCGCCCGACCCCATGCTGCCCGCCCGACCCATGCTGCCCGCCCACCCATGCTGCCCGCCCAACCCATGCTGCCCGCCCAACCCATGCTGCCCGCCCAACCCATGCTGCCCGCCCAACCCATGCTGCCCGCCCCAACCCATGCTTGGCCCCCCAGGCCCCGCCAACCCATGCTGCCCGCCCAACCCATGCTGCCCGCCCAACCCATGCTGCCTCTCCCAAGTCGGTCAGCAGGTAGGTGAGCCAGCGTAGCTCCTGTGCAGCCATGGCACCAGCGTAGATCTCAGCCTCACAACTGGAGCTGAGAACAGAAGAAGAGCGGGTAGACCGCCAAGAGACAGAACCGGAGCCAAGTTTGAAGGTGTAACCCTGTGACGACCGCTGCGTAGTCAAGTCGTCAACCCCGGAGGCGTCAGCGTGACAAGTGAGGACAACTTGAGCCCGTCCTCCAAGCACGAGCCCCATGCCCGATGTACTGCACAAGTATCGCAACTCCCTCTTCGCAGCATCCCAGTGCACCTTTCGGTGCCTGCCGGGAGCCACATAGCGAGCCAGAAGGCTGAGAGGGTATGCGAGGTCAGGTCGTGTGCAAGTCATCAGGTACATGAGGCAGCCCACAAGCTCTGGATACGGGCCACTCGGCTCTACGGACTCGTCCGAAGGTGGAGCTGAGAGCGAGTGACCGGTAGGCAGAGGAGTGGACTGTGGCGAGGAGTACGTGAAGCCGAAGCGCTGAAGGACCTGCTGCACCATGTGTGACTGAGTCAAGGTAATGGTGTGCTGTGCTCTGTCCCGGGTGATCCGCAAGCCAAGATAGCTTGTCAGCTCACCCAAGTCTGTGCACGTGTGTCTCTTCTGCAGCTCGGACTTCACGTGGGCGAGTGCCTCAGTGTCAGCAGTAGCAAAGACGAGGTCGTCTACGTACACGAGAACGTAGAACGGCGGCAGAGTAGTGTCAGTGCGTAGAAACATAGAAGGGTCAGCAGTGGAAGGAGCAAAACCAAGAGAAGCAAGAGTCGCCCTGTGTGTGTCGTGCCACTCACGGGGTGCCTGGCGGAGACCGTAGACTGGCCGCCGGAGGCTCCACTGGGTACCACCAGGAAACGACCTGTAGGAAGGCTGTGCGACCCATGCTGCCCGCCCGACCCATGCTGCCCGCCCAACCCATGCTGCCCGCCCAACCCATGCTGCCCGCCCAACCCATGCTGCCCGCCCAACCCATGCTGCCCGCCCAACCCATGCTGCCCGCCCCAAACCCATTGCTGCCCGCCGACCCATGCTGCCCGCCCAACCCATGCTGCCCGGCCCAACCCATGCTGCCCGCCCAACCCATGCTGCCCGCCCAACCCATGCCTGGCCCGCCCAACCCATGCTGCCCGCCCAACCCATGCTGCCCGCCCAACCCATGCTGCCCGCCCAACCCATGCTGCCCGCCCAACCCATGCTGCCCGCCCGACCCATGCTGCCCGCCCAACCCATGCTGCCCGCCCAACCCATGCTGCCCGCCCGACCCATGCTGCCCGCCCAACCATGCTGCCCGCCCAACCCATGCTGCCCGCGCCCACCCATGCTGCCCGCCCAACCCATGCTGCCCGCCCAACCCATGCTGCCCGCCGCCCAACCCATGCTGCCCGCCCAACCCATGCTGCCCGCCCAACCCATGCTGCCCGCCCAACCCATGCTGCCCGCCCAACCCATGCTGCCCGCCCAACCCATGCTGCCCGCCCAACCCATGCTGCCCGCCCAACCCATGCTGCCCGCCCAACCCATGCTGCCCCCCAACCCATGCTGCCCGCCCAACCCATGCTGCCCGCCCAACCCATGCTGCCCGCCCAACCCATGCTGCCCGCCAACCCATGCTGCTGCGCCGCCCGACCCATGCTGCCCCCCGCCCGACCCATGCTGCCCGCCCAACCCATGCTGCCCGCCCAACCCATGCTGCCCGCCCACCCATGCTGCCCGCCCAACCCATGCTGCCCGCCCAACCCATGCTGCCCGCCCAACCATGCTGCCCGCCCGACCCATGCTGCCCGCCCAACCCATGCTGCCCGCCCCAACCCATGCTGCCCGCCCAACCCCATGCTGCCCGCACGACCCATGCTGCCGCCCCACCCATGCTGCCCGCCCCCCAACCCATGCTGCCCCGCCCAACCCATGCTGCCCGCCCGACCCATGCTGCCCGCCCAACCCATGCTGCCCGCCCAACCCATGCTGCCCGCCCAACCCATGCTGCCCGCCCAACCCATGCTGCCCCGCCCAACCCATGCTGCCCGCCCAACCCCATGCTGCCCGCCCACCCATGCTGCCCGCCCAACCCATGCTGCCCGCCCATCCATGCTGCCCGCCCAACCCATGTTGCCCGCCCAACCCATGCTGCCCGCCCGACCCATGCTGCCCGCCCGACCCATGCTGCCCGCCCAACCCATGCTGCCCGCCCCGACCATGCTGCCGCCGACCCATGCTGCCCGCCCGACCCATGCTGCCCGCCCGACCCATGCTGCCCGCCCGACCCATGCTGCCCGCCCCGACCCCATGCTGCCCGCCCGACCCATGCTGCCCGCCCAACCCATGCTGCCCGCCCAACCCATGCTGCCCGCCCAACCATGCTGCCCGCCCAACCCATGCTGCCCGCCCGACCCATGCTGCCCGCCATGCTGCCCGCCCAACCCATGCTGCCCGCCCAACCCATGCTGCCCGCCCAACCCATGCTGCCCGCCCAACCCATGCTGCCCGCCCAACCCATGCTGCCCGCCCAACCCATGCTGCCCGCCCAATCCATGCTGCCCGCCCAACCCATGCTGCCCGCCCGACCCATGCTGCCCGCCCAACCCATGCTGCCCGCCCAACCCATGCTGCCCGCCCCACCCATGCTGCCCGCCCAACCCATGCTGCCCGCCCAACCCATGCTGCCCGCCCAACCCATGCTGCCCGCCCAACCCATGCTGCCCGCCAAACCCATGCTGCCCGCCCAACCCATGCTGCCCGCCCAACCCATGCTGCCCGCCCGACCCATGCTGCCCGCCCAACCCATGCTGCCCGCCCAACCCATGCTGCCCGCCCAACCCATGCTGCCCGCCCAACCCATGCTGCCCGCCCAACCCATGCTGCCCGCCCAACCCATGCTGCCCGCCCAACCCATGCTGCCCGCCCAACCCATGCTGCCCGCCCCAACACATGCTGCCCGCCCAACCCATGCTGCCCCGCCCAACCCATGCTGCCCGCCCGACCCATGCTGCCCGCCGCCCAACCCATGCTGCCCGCCCAACCCATGCTGCCCGCCCAACCCATGCTGCCCGCCCAACCCATGCTGCCCGCCCAACCCATGCTGCCCGCCCAACCCATGCTGCCCGCCCAACCCATGCTGCCCGCCCAACCCATGCTGCCCGCCCAACCCATGCTGCCCGCCCACCCATGCTGCCCGCCCAACCCATGCTGCCCGCCCAACCCATGCTGCCCGCCCAACCCATGCTGCCGCCCAACCCTGATGCTTGCCGCCAACCCATGCTGCCCGCCCGACCCATGCTGCCCGCCCGACCCATGCTGCCCGCCAACCCATGCTGCCCGCCCAACCCATGCTGCCCCACCCACGCCCAACCCATGCTGCCCGCCCAACCCATGCTGCCCGCCCAACCCATGCTGCCCGCCCAACCCATGCTGCCCGCCCAACCATGCTGCCCGCCCAACCCATGCTGCCCGCCCAACCCATGCTGCCCGCCCAACCCATGCTGCCCCGCCCAACCCATGCTGCCCGCCCAACCCATGCTGCCCGCCCAACCCATGCTGCCCGCCCGACCCATGCTGCCCGCCCGACCCATGCTGCCCCGCCCGACCCATGCTGCCCGCCCGACCCATGCTGCCCGCCCGACCCATGCTGCCCGCCCGACCCATGCTGCCCGCCCAACCCATGCTGCCCGCCCAACCCATGCTGCCCGCCCAACCCATGCTGCCCGCCCAACCCATGCTGCCCGCCCGACCCATGCTGCCCGCCCGACCCATGCTGCCCGCCCCAACCCATGCTGCCCGCCCAACCCATGCTGCCCGCCCGACCCATGCTGCCCGCTCCGACCCATGCTGCCCGCCCCGACCCATGCTGCCCGCCCGACCCATGCTGCCCGCCCCACCCATGCTGCCCGCCCAACCCATGCTGCCCGCCCAACCCATGCTGCCCGCCCAACCCATGCTGCCCGCCCAACCCATGCTGCCCCGCCCACCCATGCTGCCCGCCCAACCCATGCTGCCCGCCAACCCTGCTGCCCGCCCAACCCATGCTGCCCGCCCAACCCATGCTGCCCGCCCGACCCATGCTGCCCGCCAACCCATGCTGCCCGCCCAACCCATGCTGCCCGCCCAACCCATGCTGCCCGCCCGACCCATGCTGCCCGCCCAACCCATGGCTGCCCGCCCAACCCATGCTGCCCGCCCAACCCATGCTGCCCGCCCCGACCCATGCTGCCCGCCATGCATGCCCGCCCAACCATGCTGCCCGCCCAACCCATGCTGCCCGCCCCAACCCATGCTGCCCGCCCAACCCATGCTGCTCCGCCCAACCCATGCTGCCCGCCCCAACCCATGCTGCCCCGCCCAACCCATGCTGCCCGCCCAACCCATGCTGCCCTCCCGACCATGCTGCCCGCCCAACCCATGCTGCCCGCCCAAACCCATGCTGCCCGCCCAACCCATGCTGCCCGCCCAACCCATGCTCGCCCGGCCCAACCCATGCTGCCCGCCCCAACCCATGCCTGCCCGCCCAACCCATGCTGCCCGCCCAACCCATGCTGCCCGCCCAAACCCATGCTGCCCGCCCAACCCATGCTGCCCGCCCCACCCATGCTGCCCGCCCAACCCATGCTGCCCGCCCAACCCATGCTGCCCGCCCAACCCATGCTGCCCGCCCCAACCCATGCTGCCCGCCCAACCCATGCTGCCCGCCCAACCCATGCTGCCCGCCCAACCCATGCTGCCCGCCCAACCCATGCTGCCCGCCCACCCATGCTGCCCGCCAACCCATGCTGCCCGCCCACCCATGCTGCCCGCCCAACCCATGCTGCCCGCCCAACCCATGCTGCCCGCCCCAACCCATGCTGCCCGCCCCAACCCATGCTGCCCGCCCAACCCATGCTGCCCGCCCAACCCATGCTGCCCGCCCAACCCATGCTGCCCGCCCAACCCATGCTGCCCGCCCAACCCATGCTGCCCGCCCAACCCATGCTGCCCGCCCAACCCATGCTGCCCCGCCCAACCCATGCTGCCCGCCCAACCCATGCTGCCCGCCCAACCCATGCTGCCCGCCCAACCCATGCTGCCCGCCCCAACCCATGCTGCCCGCCCAACCCATGCTGCCCGCCCAACCCATGCTGCCCGCCCAACCCATGCTGCCCGCCCAACCCATGCTGCCCGCCCGACCCATGCTGCCCGCCCGACCCATGCTGCCCGCCCGACCCATGCTGCCCGCCCAACCCATGCTGCCCGCCCAACCCATGCTGCCCGCCCAACCCATGCTGCCCGCCCAACCCATGCTGCCCGCCCAACCCATGCTGCCCCCCCCGACCCATGCTGCCCGCCCGACCCATGCTGCCCGCCCAACCCATGCTGCCCGCCCACCCCATGCTGCCCGCCCAACCACCCATGCTGCCCGCCCGACCCATGCTGCCCGCCCGACCCATGCTGCCCGCCCGACCCATGCTGCCCGCCCGACCCATGCTGCCCGCCCAACCCATGCTGCCCGCCCAACCCATGTTGCCCGCCCAACCCATGCTGCCCGCCCAACCCATGCTGCCCGCCCAACCCATGCTGCCCGCCCAAGCCATGCTGCCCGCCAACCCATGCTGCCCCGCCCAACCCATGCTGCCCGCCCGACCCATGCTGCCCGCCCCGACCCATGCTGCCCGCCCGACCCATGCTGCCCGCCCAACCCATGCTGCCCGCCCAACCCATGCTGCCCGCCCAACCCATGCTGCCCGCCCGACCCATGCTGCCCCGCCCGACCCATGCTGCCCGCCCGACCCATGCTGCCCGCCCGACCCATGCTGCCCGCCCAACCCATGCTGCCCGCCCAACCCATGCTGCCCGCCCAACCCATGCTGCCCGCCCAACCCATGCTGCCCGCCCAACCCATGCTGCCCGCCCAACCCATGCTGCCCGCCCGACCCATGCTGCCCGCCCGACCCATGCTGCCCGCCCGACCCATGCTGCCCGCCCAACCCATGCTGCCCGCCCAACCCATGCTGCCCGCCCAACCCATGCTGCCCGCCAACCCATGCTGCCCGCCCCAACCCATGCTGCCCGCCCAACCCATGCTGCCCGCCCAATCCATGCTGCCCGCCCAACCCATGCTGCCCGCCCAACCCATGCTGCCCGCCCAACCCATGCTGCCCGCCCACCAACATGCTGCCCGCCCAACCCATGCTGCCCGCCCAACCCATGCTGCCCGCCCAACCCATGCTGCCCGCCCAACCCATGCTGCCCGCCCAACCCATGCTGCCCGCCCAACCCATGCTGCCCGCCCAACCCATGCTGCCCGCCCAGCCCATGCTGCCCGCCCGCCCATGCTGCCCGCCCAACCCATGCTGCCCGCCCAACCCATGCTGCCCGCCCAACCCATGCTGCCCGCCCAACCCATGCTGCCCGCCCAACCCATGCTGCCCGCGCCCGACCCATGCTGCCCGCCGACCCATGCTGCCCGCCCGACCCATGCTGCCCGCCCAACCCATGCTGCCCGCCCAACCCATGCTGCCCGCCCAACCCATGCTGCCCGCCCGACCCATGCTGCCCGCCCGACCCATGCTGCCCGCCCGCCAACCCATGCTGCCCGCCCACCCATGCTGCCCGCCCGACCCATGCTGCCCGCCCGACCCATGCTGCCCGCCCGAACCCATGCTGCTGCCCGCCCGAACCCATGCTGCCCGCCCAACCCATGCTGCCCGCCCAACCATGCTGCCCGCCCAACCCATGTTGCCCGCCCAACCCATGCTGCCCGCCCAACCCATGCTGCCCGCCCAACCCATGCTGCCGCCCAACCCATGCTGCCCGCCCAATCCATGCTGCCCGCCCAACCCATCTGCCCGCCCAACCCATGCTGCCCGCCCAACCCATGCTGCCCGCCCAAGCCATGCTGCCCGCCCAACCCATGCTGCCCGCCCAACCCATGCTGGCCGCCCAACCCATGCTGCCCGCCCAACCCATGCTGCCCGCCCAACCCATGCTGCCCGCCCAACCCATGCTGCCCGCCCAACCCATGCTGCCCGCAACCCATGCTGCCCGCCCGACCCATGCTGCCCCCGCCAACCCATGCTGCCCGCCCAACCCATGCTGCCCGCCCGACCCATGCTGCCCGCCCGACCCATGCTGCCCGCCCGACCCATGCTGCCCGCCCAACCCATGCTGCCCGCCCCACCCATGCTGCCCGCCCAACCCATGCTGCCCGCCCAACCCATGCTGCCCGCCCAACCCATGCTGCCCGCCCGACCCATGCTGCCCGCCCAACCCATGCTGCCCGCCCAACCCATGCTGCCCGCCCAACCCATGCTGCCCGCCCAACCCATGCTGCCCGCCCAACCCATGCTGCCCGCCCAACCCATGCTGCCCGCCCAACCCATGCTGCCCGCCCAACCCATGCTGCTGCGCCCAACCCATGCTGCCCGCCCAACCCATGCTGCCCGCCCACCCCATGCTGCCCGCCCCAACCCATGCTGCCCGCCCAACCCATGCTGCCCGCCCCACCCATGCTGCCCGCCCAACCCATGCTGCCCGCCAACCCATGCTGCCCGCCCACCCATGCTGCCCGCCCAACCCATGCTGCCCGCCCAACCCATGCTGCCCGCCAACCCATGCTGCCCCCCAACCCATGCTGCCCGCCCAACCCATGCTGCCCGCCCAACCCATGCTGCCCGCCCAACCCATGCTGCCCGCCCCAACCCATGCTGCCCGCCCAACCCATGTTGCCCGCCCAACCCATGCTGCCGCCCAACCCATGTTGCCCGCCCAACCCATGCTGCCCGCCCGACCCATGCTGCCCGCCCGACCCATGCTGCCCGCCCAACCCATGCTGCCCGCCCGACCCATGCTGCCCCGCCCGACCCATGCTGCCCGCCCGAACCATGCTGCCCGCCCAACCCATGCTGCCCGCCCAACCCATGCTGCCCGCCCAACCCATGCTGCCCGCCCGACCCATGCTGCCCGCCCGACCCATGCTGCCCGCCCAACCCATGCTGCCCGCCCAACCCATGCTGCCCGCCCAACCCATGCTGCCCGCCCAACCCATGCTGCCCGCCCAACCCATGCTGCCCGCCCAACCCATGCTGCCCGCCCAACCATGCTGCCCGCCCAACCCATGCTGCCCCCCAACCATGCTGCCCGCCAACCCATGCTGCCCGCCCACCCATGCTGCCCGCCCAACCCATGCTGCCCGCCCAACCCATGCTGCCCGCCCAACCCATGCTGCCCGCCCGACCCATGCTGCCCGCCCAACCCATGCTGCCCGCCCCAACCCATGCTGCCCGCCCGACCCATGCTGCCCGCCCGACCCATGCTGCCCGCCCGACCCATGCTGCCCGCCCAACCCATGCTGCCCGCCCAACCCATGCTGCCCGCCCCGACCCATGCTGCCCGCCCAACCCATGCTGCCCGCCCAACCCATGCTGCCCGCCCAACCCATGCTGCCCGCCCGACCCATGCTGCCCGCCATGCTGCCCGCCCAACCCATGCTGCCCGCCCAACCCATGCTGCCCGCCCAACCCATGCTGCCCGCCCAACCCATGCTGCCCGCCCAACCCATGCTGCCCGCCCAACCCATGCTGCCCGCCCAACCCATGCTGCCCGCCCAACCCATGCTGCCCGCCCAACCCATGCTGCCCGCCCAACCCATGCTGCCCGCCCAACCATGCTGCCCGCCCAACCCATGCTGCCGCGCCAACCCATGCTGGCCGCCCAACCCATGCTGCCCGCCCCACCCATGCTGCCCGCCCACCACCCATGCTGCCCGCCCAACCCATGCTGCCCGCCCAACCCATGCTGCCCGCCCGACCCATGCTGCCCGCCCGACCCATGCTGCCCGCCCAACCCATGCTGCCCGCCCAACCCATGCTGCCCGCCCAACCCATGCTGCCCGCCAACCCATGCTGCCCGCCCGAACCCATGCTGCCCGCCCAACCCATGCTGCCCGCCCAACCCATGCTGCCCGCCCAACCCATGCTGCCCGCCCAACCCATGCTGCCCGCCCCACCCATGCTGCCCCGCCCACCCATGCTGCCCGCCCAACCCATGCTGCCCGCCCAACCCATGCTGCCCCGCCCAACCCATGCTGCCCGCCCAACCCATGCTGCCCGCCCTTCCCATGCTGCCCGCCCAACCCATGCTGCCCGCCCAACCCATGCTGCCCGCCCAACCCATGCTGCCCGCCCAACCCATGCTGCCCGCCCAACCCATGCTGCCCGCCCGACCCATGCTGCCCGCCCGACCCATGCTGCCCGCCCAACCCATGCTGCCCGCCCAACCCATGCTGCCCGCCCGACCCATGCTGCCCGCCCGACCCATGCTGCCCGCCCGACCCATGCTGCCCGCCCACCCATGCTGCCCCCCAACCCATGCTGCCCGCCCAACCCATGCTGCCCGCCCACCCATGTTGCCCGCCCAACCCATGCTGCCCGCCAACCCATGCTGCCCGCCCAACCCATGCTGCCCGCCCAACCCATGCTGCCCGCCCAACCCATGCTGCCCGCCCAACCCATGCTGCCCCCCCCCTCGCCGACCCATGCTGCCCGCCCCGCCCATGCTGCCCGCCCGACCCATGCTGCCCGCCCAACCCATGCTGCCCGCCCAACCCATGCTGCCCGCCCAACCCATGCTGCCCGCCCGACCCATGCTGCCCGCCCGACCCATGCTGCCCGCCCGACCCATGCTGCCCGCCCGACCCATGCTGCCCGCCCAACCCATGCTGCCCGCCCAACCCATGCTGCCCGCCCAACCCATTGCTGCCCGCCCAACCCATGCTGCCCGCCCAACCCATGCTGCCCGCCCACCCATGCTGCCCGCCCAACCCATGCTGCCCGCCCAACCCATGCTGCCCGCCCGACCCATGCTGCCCGCCCGACCCATGCTGCCCGCCCAACCCATGCTGCCCGCCCAACCCATGCTGCCCGCCCACCCATGCTGCCCGCCCAACCCATGCTGCCCGCCCAACCCATGCTGCCCGCCCAACCCATGCTGCCCGCCCAACCCATGCTGCCCGCCCAACCCATGCTGCCCGCCCGACCCATGCTGCCCGCCCAACCCATGCTGCCCGCCCAACCCATGCTGCCCGCCCAACCCATGCTGCCCGCCCAACCCATGCTGCCCGCCCAACCCATGCTGCCCGCGCCAACCCATGCTGCCCGCCCAACCCATGCTGCCCGCCCAACCCATGCTGCCCGCCCAACCCATGCTGCCCGCCCAACCCATGCTGCCCGCCCAACCCATGCTGCCCGCCCAACCCATGCTGCCCGCCCAACCCATGCTGCCCGCCCAACCCATGCTGCCGCCCGACCCATGCTGCCCGCCCGACCCATGCTGCCCGCCCACCCATGCTGCCCGCCCCCCGACCCATGCTGCTCGCCCGACCCATGCTGCCCGCCCGACCCATGCTGCCCGCCCAACCCCATGCTGCCGCCCGCCCACCATGCTGCCCGCCCACCCCATGCTGCCCGCCCGACCCATGCTGCCCGCCCGACCCATGCTGCCGCCCAACCCATGCTGCCGCGCCCAACCCATGCTGCCCGCCCAACCCATGCTGCCCGCCCGACCCATGCTTCCCGCCCGACCCATGCTGCCCGCCCGACCCATGCTGCCCGCCCAACCCATGCTGCCCGCCCAACCCATGCTTCCCGCCCAAGCCCAAACCCATGCTGCCCGCCCGACCCATGCTGCCCGCCCAACATGCTGCCCGCCCGACCCATGCTGCCCGCCCAACCCATGCTGCCCGCCCGACCCATGCTGCCCGCCCCGACCCATGCTGCCCGCCCGACCCATGCTGCCCGCCCACCCATGCTGCCCGCCCGACCCATGCTGCCCGCCCGAACCCATGCTGCCCGCCCAACCCATGCTGCCCGCCAACCCATGCTGCCCTGCCCGCCCAACCCATGCTGCCCGCCCAACCCATGCTGCCCCGCCCGACCCATGCTGCCCGCCCGACCCATGCTGCCCGCCCGACCCATGCTGCCCGCCCAACCCATGCTGCCCGCCCAACCCATGCTGCCCGCCCCACCCATGCTGCCCGCCGACCCATGCTGCCCGCCCGACCCATGCTGCCCCCGCCCGACCCATGCTGCCCGCCCAACCCATGCTGCCCGCCCGCCCATGCTGCCCGCCCCGACCCATGCTGCCCGCCCGACCCATGCTGCCCGCCCAACCCATGCTGCCCGCCCAACCCATGCTGCCCGCCCAACCCATGCTGCCCGCCCAACCCATGCTGCCCGCCCAACCCATGCTGCCCGCCCAACCCATGCTGCCCGCCCCGACCCATGCTGCCCGCCGACCCATGCTGCCCGCCCGACCCATGCTGCCCCGCCAACCCATGCTGCCCCGCCCAACCCATGCTGCCCGCCCAACCCATGCTGCCCGCCCAACCCATGCTGCCCGCCCAACCCATGCTGCCCGCCCAACCCATGCTGCCCGCCCAATCCATGCTGCCCGCCCAACCCATGCTGCCGCCCAACCCATGCTGCCCGCCCAACCCATGCTGCCCGCCCAACCCATGCTGCCCGCCCAACCCATGCTGCCCGCCCAACCCATGCTGCCCGCCCAACCCATGCTGCCCGCCCAACCCATGCTGCCCGCCCAACCCATGCTGCCCGCCCAACCCATGCTGCCCGCCCAACCCATGCTGCCCGCCCAGCCCATGCTGCCCGCCGACCCATGCTGCCCGCCCAACCCATGCTGCCCGCCCAACCCATGCTGCCCGCCCAACCCATGCTGCCCGCCCAACCCATGCTGCCCGCCCGACCCATGCTGCCCGCCCGACCCATGCTGCCCGCCCGACCCATGCTGCCCGCCCGACCCATGCTGCCCGCCCAACCCATGCTGCCCGCCCAACCCATGCTGCCCGCCCAACCCATGCTGCCCGCCCGACCCATGCTGCCCGCCCGACCCATGCTGCCCGCCCGACCCATGCTGCCCGCCCAACCCATGCTGCCCGCCCAACCCATGCTGCCCGCCCGACCCATGCTGCCCGCCGACCCATGCTGCCCGCCCACCCATGCTGCCCGCCCAACCCATGCTGCCCGCCCAACCCCACTGCTGCCGCCCCCCCCCATGCTGCCCGCCCCGACCATGCTGCCCGCCCGACCCATGCTGCCCGCCAGACCCATGCTGCCCCGCCCGACCCATGCTGCCCGCCCAACCCATGCTGCCCCCCCACCCATGCTGCCCCGCCCAACCCATGCTGCCCGCCCAACCCATGCTGCCCGCCCAACCCATGCTGCCCGCCCAACCCATGCTGCCCGCCCAACCCATGCTGCCCTCCCAACCCATGCTGCCCGCCCAATCCATGCTGCCCGCCCAACCCATGCTGCCCGCCCGACCCATGCTGCCCGCCCAACCCATGCTGCCCGCCCAACCCATGCTGCCCGCCCAACCCATGCTGCTGCCCGCCCAATCCATGCTGCCCCGCCCCCAACCCATGCTGCCCGCCCGACCCATGCTGCCCGCCCGACCCATGCTGCCCGCCCAACCCATGCTGCCCGCCCAACCCATGCTGCCCGCCAACCCATGTTGCCCGCCCACCCATGCTGCCCGCCCAACCCATGCTGCCCGCCCAACCCATGCTGCCCGCCCAATCCATGCTGCCGCCCAACCCATGCTGCCCGCCCAACCCATGCTGCCCGCCCAACCCATGCTGCCCGCCGACCCATGCTGCCCGCCCGTCCCATGCTGCCCGCCCGACCCATGCTGCCCGCCCGACCCATGCTGCCCGCCCGACCCATGCTGCCCGCCCGACCCCATGCTGCCCGCGCCGACCCATGCTGCCCGCCCGACCCATGCTGCCCGCCCAACCCATGCTGCCCGCCCAACCCATGCTGCCCGCCCAACCCATGCTGCCCGCCCGACCCATGCTGCCCGCCCGACCCATGCTGCCCCGCCCAACCCATGCTGCCCGCCCAACCCATGCTGCCCGCCCAACCCATGCTGCCCGCCCAACCCATGCTGCCCGCCCAACCCATGCTGCCCGCCCAACCCATGCTGCCCGCCCGACCCATGCTGCCCGCCCGACCCATGCTGCCCGCCCAACCATGCTGCCCGCCCAACCCATGCTGCCCGCCCAACCCATGCTGCCCGCCCGACCCATGCTGCCCGCCCAACCCATGCTGCCCGCCCAACCCATGCTGCCCGCCCAACCCATGCTGCCCGCCCAATCCGAGCCCATGCTGCCCGCCCGACCCATGCTGCCCGCCCACCCATGCTGCCCGCCCAACCCATGCTGCCCGCCCAACCCATGCTGCCCGCCCAACCCATGCTGCCCGCCCAACCCATGCTGCCCGCCCAACCCATGCTGCCCGCCCAACCCATGCTGCCCGCCCAACCCATGCTGCCCGCCCAACCCATGCTGCCCGCCCAACCCATGCTGCCCGCCCAACCCATGCTGCCCGCCCAACCCATGCTGCCCGCCCAACCCATGCTGCCCGCCCAACCCATGCTGCCCGCCCAACCCATGCTGCCCGCCCGACCCATGCTGCCCGCCCAACCCATGCTGCCCGCCCAACCCATGCTGCCCGCCCAACCCATGCTGCCCGCACCAACCCATGCTGCTGCCGCCCAACCCATGCTGCCCGCCCGACCCATGCTGCCCGCCCGACCCATGCTGCCCGCCCACCCATGCTGCCCGCCCAACCCATGCTGCCCGCCCAACCCATGCTGCCCGCCCAACCCATGCTGCCCGCCCAACCCATGCTGCCCGCCCACACATGCTGCCCGCCCAACCCATGCTGCCCGCCCACCCATGCTGCCCGCCCACCCATGCTGCCCGCCCGACCCATGCTGCCCCGCCCGACCCATGCTGCCCGCCCAACCCATGCTGCCCGCCCAACCCATGCTGCCCGCCCAACCCATGCTGCCCGCCCAACCCATGCTGCCCGCCCAACCCATGCTGCCCGCCCAACCCATGCTGCCCGCCCAACCCATGCTGCCCGCCCAACCCATGCTGCCCGCCCAACCCATGCTGCCCGCCAACCCATGCTGCCCGCCCAACCCATGCTGCCCGCCCAACCCATGCTGCCCCGCCCAACCCATGCTGCCCGCCCCACCCATGCTGCCCGCCCAACCCATGCTGCCCGCCCAACCCATGCTGCCCGCCCAACCCATGCTGCCCGCCCACCCATGCTGCCGCGCCCCGACCCATGCTGCCCGCCCAACCCATGCTGCCCGCCCAACCCATGCTGCCCGCCCCGACCCATGCTGCCCGCCCCAACCCATGCTGCCCGCCCAACCCATGCTGCCCGCCAACCCATGCTGCCCGCCCAACCCATGCTGCCCGCCCAACCCATGCTGCCCGCCCGACCCATGCTGCCCGCCCGACCCATGCTGCCCGCCCGACCCATGCTGCCCGCCCAACCCATGCTGCCCGCCCAACCCATGCTGCCCGCCCGGCCCATGCTGCCCCGCCCAACCCATGCTGCCCGCCCGACCCATGCTGCCCGCCCAACCCATGCTGCCCGCCCAACCCATGCTGCCCGCCCAACCCATGCTGCCCGCCCAACCCATGCTGCCCGCCCACCCATGCTGCCCGCCAACCCATGCTGCCCGCCCAACCCATGCTGCCCGCCGACCCCATGCTGCCCGCCCAACCCATGCTGCCCGCCCCCCATGCTGCCCCGCCCAACCCATGCTGCCCGCCCAATCCATGCTGCCCCGCCCACCCCATGCTGCCCGCCCAACCCATGCTGCCCGCCCAACCCCATGCTGCCCGCCAACCCATGCTGCCCGCCCACCCCTGCTGCCCGCCCAACCCATGCTGCCCGCCCAACCCATGCTGCCCCCGCCCACCCATGCTGCCCGCCCAACCCATGCTGCCCGCCCAACCCATGCTGCCCCGCCCAACCCATGCTGCCCGCCCAACCCATGCTGCCCGCCCAACCCATGCTGCCCGCCCAACCCATGCTGCCCGCCCAACCCATGCTGCCCGCCCGACCCATGCTGCCCGCCCGACCCATGCTGCCCCCCCGCCCAACCCATGCTGCCCGCCCAACCAATGCTGCCCGCCCAACCCATGCTGCCCGCCCGACCCATGCTTCCCGCCCGACCCATGCTGCCCGCCCGACCCATGCTGCCCGCCCAACCCATGCTGCCCGCCCAACCCATGCTGCCCGCCCGACCCATGCTGCCCGCCCAACCATGCTGCCCGCCCCGACCCATGCTGCCCGCCCAACCATGCTGCCCCGCCCAACCCATGCTCCCGCCCAACCCATGTTGCCCGCCCAACCCATGCTGCCCGCCCAACCCATGCTGCCCCGCCCAACCCATGCTGCCCGCCCAATCCATGCTGCCCGCCCAAACCCATGCTGCCCGCCCAACCATGCTGCCGCCCAACCCATGCTGCCGCCCCAACCATTGCTGCCCGCCGTCCCATGCCTGCCCGCCCGACACCCATTGCTGCCCGCCCAACCCATGCTGCCCGCCCAACCATGCTGCCCGCCCCAACCCATGCTGCCCGCCCAACCCATGCTGCCCGCCCAACCCATGCTGCCCGCCCAACCCATGCCTGCCCGCCCAACCCATGCTGCCCGCCCCACCCATGCTGCCCGCCCAACCCATGCTGCCCGCCCAACCCATGCTTGCCCGCCCGACCCATGCTGCCCCGCCCGACCCATGCTGCCCCGCCCAACCCATGCTGCCCGCCCAACCCATGCTGCCCGCCCAACCCATGCTGCCCGCCCAACCCATGCTGCCCGCCCAACCCATGTTGCCCGCCCAACCCATGCTGCCCGCCCAACCCATGCTGCCCGCCCGACCCATGCTGCCCGCCCTGTTATAGTCTGCAGTCCACTTAGGGGTCGCGGATGCCCATGAAACCGCCTAAGCAGAATCTGACGTCTTCAAACCGCCTCTGTTCAAAACGCCGTGACGATCAGCTCCGAGAACATACGAGGCTGAAACTTGGACAGCGGTTAGCCTTAGGTGTCTGCTTTCCAACGGTATATTACTTGCTATTATCAGAGGTGTGTTCACTACGCAGTGAACGAAAACGTAAGCTCGGCTGAAAAAACGTGTATTCTCATTGATGCAAGGAAGTGGTGAGTACAACATTGCCTAGGGGACTCATAAGGGGTTGGGTCATCCTGGGAACTCAGAGAAGGTTGAGTCCTAGGGGAGAAAGGCTAGAGAAGAATGGAAAACGTCCTAGCTAGGTCAGCAAAGCCAACCACACTTGGATGTTCAGAGCTGTACTCAAGGCTACCAATAGTGAGTCAAGCCAACATGAGTCAGCTTGTCTTCCCACTTGCACCCTCTTGCAAGTTGCTTCCAGGAAGACCACACTTCTCAAAAGGAGGGTTGTAGAGTCCCACTTGACCACCTGTACTTCTTGTCTCATTCTCTGTCCCTGCACCATTGGCATGACAACAATGAAAGGGTGGCAAGGGAAATGCTGCCAACAGTGCACCATGACTACGGAACAGTGAATTTCGGCAGCTGTCACGCAATGCTCAGATGTTGGATCGTTCTGAAACTTGGTGACCACTTGCACAGCGGGGCAAAGGACTTCCAGACCGAATTTCAGACCAATCAGATCTCGGTAGACGAGTCAGCAGCCGAAATGGTGAACTCGGGTGTTACCAAAAAGGAGTAACACACACTTCCGGGATGCCATAAGTCTTGAAACATAAAATGTTGTCATGCCTTGGTAACTGCTTCAAAAACTCTGAAACTTTGAGGGTTTGAAGAACACGTGTTGAACAACCTCCCCACAAAATTCCAGAAGCTGAGCAGGCTTGTAGGCCGAATGGGAGTGCGATGACCGTGCCACTGTAATGTGTTGGCACAACAAACTCCCCCTCATCGTGCTCTCATTCATCCCTTAGCTGCTCCCTGAAGCTGCCTCCCTTAGTTGAAGGACATGCCACACAAGGTGGCGCAGGTCCAATGCTGATGCTCTGCAAGCCGCTTCGTCAAAAATCTGCAGGTTGCTTGGTAGTGTTGATGTAGTGCAAGGAGACCGTGCCCTTCTTCACCTCCTTCCTCACCCAATGCCATTTGATATGCATGTGCTTGTTCAGCCCATGGAGCACAGCATTGCGAGCCATTGCAATTGCTCCTTGGCTGTCACAAAACACAGGTGTAGGACCCTCTTGCTCCTGCCCCAACTCCTCAAGCAACCTCCTCATCCAAACCACCTCCTTCACCCCATGAAACAACGCCATGTACTCGCTCTCCGTTGATGAGTGAGCTATCTCCCCTTGCTTCTTAGACTTCCAGCTCACTGGACTCCCTCCAACACAGCATACATAGCCACCGTGGGATGTTGCATCACTGATGTCACTTGCCCAGGTAGCATCGGTGAAGCACGAGAGGTACAAGTGTCCACGCCTTGCAGGTGCACCGGTCTTCGTGCTCACCTCCTCCACTCCCTTTTGCTTCAGCTGCCCATGCACTGAATATTGCAGCCCCACCCTTGAGGTTGCCATGCAGTACCTCACCAGCCTCTCTGCTGCATCAAGGTGCTCTTGAAGGGGCCTAGACACCACACGAGCCAGCTGCGAAACCGCGAATGAAATATCGGGGCGAGTGTTGACCGAAGCATACATCAAGCTCCCCACCATTGACTGGAAACGACGCTGCAACTCGGGCTCCAACACCTCACCCTCCTCTTCATCAAGGTGTAGCTGAAATCCTGAGGGTAGTGGAGTCTTTACACTCCTCCCTTCCTCCAGCCCATACCTCTCCCCCATGGCTGCAAGGTACTTGTGTTGGTGAAGCCTCAACCATCCCTTCACCTCGTCCCGCTCCACGTGAAGACCAAGGTAATACCCCACTGGTCCAAGGGCCTTGCATTGAAAGGTCTCCTTCAGCTTCCCTTGCACCTCCTTGATCCTCTCCAGGGATGGAGAGAAGAGGAGAATGTCATTGACGTAGACAAGGAGAAACACTTTCTCCTCATCCCCCTCGGTTATGAAGAGACTCTCGTCGCACCCGCTAACTTTGAAGCCAAGAGCCTCCAACGCCTCCACCAGCCTTGCATACCAGCACCTTGGAGCTTGTTTGAGGCCATAGATGGCCTTGTTGAGCCTGCAAACACGTCCGCTCCCATCGTCGTACCCCTCTGGCTGCTTCATGTAAATCTCCTCATCTACCACGCCATAGAGGAAAGCCGTCTTCACATCCATTTGCTCCACCTTCCAACCACAAACGGCAGCTGCTGCCAGCAACAACCGGAGCGTAGGAGCCTTGGCAACAGGAGCAAACACCTCCTTAAAGTCAACCCCCTCCCTCTGCTGGAAACCCTTGATCACAAGTCTTGTTTTGCGCCTCTCCAACTTCCCCTCCGCATCGGTCTTCACACGTAATATCCACGTGCAATCCAATGCCTTTCTTCCCGGGGGCAGATTGGTGAGGGTCCACGTTCCATTCTCCATGAGGCTCTTAAACTCATCCTCCCTTGAAGCCAACCAAGCCTCTTGATCATCTCCAGCAAGTGCTTCCTCCATCGAAGCCGGTTCATGAGGTAAGTTGACACCGAAGCAACAAATCTGCTCCATCTCTCCCTCGGCTCCCTTCTCCTCATCATCGTCCTCCTCCTGGACCAGCAATGCCTTGGGACCCCCAAGCCTTTCATACTTGAGGAAATCCCTTGGGTGAGCAGCTCTTTTGGGCCTCTCCTTGGCTGCACTCTCCTTAGCTCCACCACGGACAGCACCACGCTTCCCTTGGGTTGTCCGCCTTGGTGGAAGAGTAGGGGATGGTGTAGGCTGCTGCACCTCCTCCTCGGCATCACCTCTCTCAGCTACAGGGGCCTTCTGTTGCTGCAACACTCCCTCCACCTCTGCTGCCTCCCCTTCAGCACCTCCCAAGTCATGTGACACCTCCGTTACCTCTGAAGACGAAGACAACTCGATGGGAATGAAGAGTGGGTCATTCGTTCCCACCTCTATTCCGAGCGGAATGGTGACCTTGCTCCTCCCTCGCTCCAACCACTCCTTGAACATGAGCCCCTCCATGAACTTGGCATCTCTGGTGGTGAAGATGGTGTTGGCTATTGGGTCCCACATGAGCCACCCCTTGCTCCCTTGTGCAAGTCCCAAATGAACAGCCCACACCGCCGCCGCTTGAAGCTTGTCACGCTTTTCCTTAGGGACGTGCACGAGTCCCATGCACCCAAAGACTCGAAGCATATCCACCAGAGGCTTCTTGCCCCTCCATTTCTCCATAGGGACCCAATGCTGCCCTCCCACATGAGTCAATACTCGGTTCTTGATGACGGTGGCATGGCGAATAGCGAGGGGCCAGAACCGTAAGGGTAGACCCGAGTCTACCAACATCGTTCTCCCGCCCTCCAAGATGGTCCGGTTCGCTCTCTCTGCCACGCCATTGGATTGAGGGGTGTAGGCCGTGGTGAGCTGCTGCTTGATGCCATGCCGCTTCAGCCAGCTCCGGAACTCCGCTCCCAAGAACTCCCCACCACGGTCACTACGTATCGCCTTCACCCGCTTGCCGCTCTCTCGCTCCACCATGGGCAGCCACTCTTCAATGATGACCCTTGCAGCATCACTCTTCTTTGCAAGTGGAAAGGACCAGGTGAGCCTTGTGTTGTCATCCACCATGGTCATAGAATACAGGGCCCCACCATCTCCCTTCACCTTCATGGGTCCCACGAGATCCACATGCACGAGCTCCACCGGGTCACTCGACTCCCCCTCCACCGAATGGAAGGGAAACCGTGAAAACTTGCTGGTCAAGCAAGTCTCACAAGATCCCACCTCCTTGGGCTCCCCCTTTATCCTCAGCCCCTTGACTCTTTCCTCCTTAAACAGCTGCTGCAACTGAGGTAGCGCCACGTGGCCAAAGCGACGGTGTGCGGTGAGCCAATCCGTCTCACCCGTGCTAGGAGTTACACTTGGAAGCGTAGCCCCTCCATGCCCAAGGAGCCCACCATCACTGTCATCACCACCCCCTCCATTGTCCACGTGGTTAACACGCCCTCCTCTCACATCTCCAGCAGCCAAGCGCGCAGCCGCCTCCTTCCATGGCAGCACCGGTATCTCCCACATGGACCGGTGCATGTCCTTGCCGCCTCGGAGGTCCCACAATACGCGCCCATCCAGAGTTGCCTTGAAAACCTTTGTGCCCAACATCTCCATCTTCATCCCTGCCTCACTTAGGGCCTTGGTAGAGAGGAGGTTGGCACACAATCCAGGAACAAGGAGAACACGCTTCAGCCCCACAAGCCTCCCATCCGCACCCATGAACATGGCTCTCCCCTCGCCACGCACGGGTACAACTTGGCCGGTGGCTGAAACGACGGTGGCTGCCTTTGATGGCCTAACTTCATCCAGTAGATCCTCTCGGTTGGTCATGGTCATGAAGGCTCCCGTATCGATGACCCAATGGGAGGAGCGGTGAAGAGCAATCTTGCTGGCCGGCACAACCATGTCCTCGGGGCACGCCTCCCCTACATGGTAGAACATGCCGCCGTATCCGCCAGCACCTCCTTCGCCCTCCTCACTGCCCATGCCTTCTCCCATAGCTCCATGAACACCCTTGGAGCCCTCAATTGATGGCTGACCAGGCCTCCAACCGTCAGGTAGCTTGCGGCACTTGAACCATGGGTGCCCTTCCACATGGCAATACCAACACTTGCCGCCACACCGCTTGCCTCCCTTGTTGCCACGCTTCCCTCCCGAATGCTGCTCCCCTCCAGAGCCTTCCTTGGCCTTCCCTTTCTTGCTGCCACGCCCCTTGAAGCCCTTCATGCCATAGGCAGAGCCTCCACCTTCACCGGCAGCGGCGGTCAGCTCCTTCCTCCGAAACTCCTCTTGAAGAACTTGTGCGCGAATCCACTCAAGGGACCACGAGTCCTTCATCCCATTAAGGTTGACCACCAAGGGCCCCCACGACTCCGGCAGCAGGGAGAGAGCCTTGTAGCACTTGATTTTCTCAGGGTAGTCCACACCAGCAGCTGAGAGCTTCACATAGAGGTCCCGGAGTTGATCGAACGCTCCTTGTACGGCATCACCCTCGTTGATCTTCACCGCATGGAGTTGTCGCTCGAGCACCACCACCATTGCTTCGCTGCTGGGGGCATGAACATCCTTCAATATCCTCCATGCCTTAGGACCACACTCAGCTTCCTTGATGAGATGCTTGATGTGGTGCAGCTGGTTGGATGAGAGGCATTGGGAGAGAAGGAAGAATCCATCCTTGGACCGGCGATCCCATTCTTTGGTCGCTCCTTCGCTCGTAGGCCTCTTGAATTCTCCATCCATCACTTCAAGCAGCCCATAATGGTTGAAGAGGAGCTCCATCCTGAAGCTCCATGATGCCCAATCATCCCCAGAGAACTTCTCCAGGTTGAATGCCTTCACATCATCCTTAGCTGATGTTGAAACTGAAGCCATTGGCGCAGATCCGCCTGCAACACCTCTTCCCGCTTCCCCAGCGCCTCTCACGCCACCACTGCCACTGGGACCAGCTGGAGCAGAACCTTCAGCCTCCATTTTCACCCACGAACAGAGTAGAACACCTCTGATACCACTTGTTATAGTCTGCAGTCCACTTAGGGGTCGCGGATGCCCATGAAACCGCCTAAGCAGAATCTGACGTCTTCAAACCGCCTCTGTTCAAAACGCCGTGACGATCAGCTCCGAGAACATACGAGGCTGAACTTGGACAGCGGTTAGCCTTAGGTGTCTGCTTTCCAACGGTATATTACTTGCTATTATCAGAGGTGTGTTCACTACGCAGTGAACGAAAACGTAAGCTCGGCTGAAAAAACGTGTATTCTCATTGATGCAAGGAAGTGGTGAGTACAACATTGCCTAGGGGACTCATAAGGGGTTGGGTCATCCTGGGAACTCAGAGAAGGTTGAGTCCTAGGGGAGAAAGGCTAGAGAAGAATGGGAAACGTCCTAGCTAGGTCAGCAAAGCCAACCACACTTGGATGTTCAGAGCTGTACTCAAGGCTACCAATAGTGAGTCAAGCCAACATGAGTCAGCTTGTCTTCCCACTTGCACCCTCTTGCAAGTTGCTTCCAGGAAGACCACACTTCTCAAAAGGAGGGTTGTAGAGTCCCACTTGACCACCTGTACTTCTTGTCTCATTCTCTGTCCCTGCACCATTGGCATGACAACAATGAAAGGGTGGCAAGGGAAATGCTGCCAACAGTGCACCATGACTACGGAACAGTGAATTTCGGCAGCTGTCACGCAATGCTCAGATGTTGGATCGTTCTGAAACTTGGTGACCACTTGCACAGCGGGGCAAAGGACTTCCAGACCGAATTTCAGACCAATCAGATCTCGGTAGACGAGTCAGCAGCCGAAATGGTGAACTCGGGTGTTACCAAAAAGGAGTAACACACACTTCCGGGATGCCATAAGTCTTGAAACATAAAATGTTGTCATGCCTTGGTAACTGCTTCAAAAACTCTGAAACTTTGAGGGTTTGAAGAACACGTGTTGAACAACCTCCCCACAAAATTCCAGAAGCTGAGCAGGCTTGTAGGCCGAATGGGAGTGCGATGACCGTGCCACTGTAATGTGTTGGCACAACACGCCCGACCCATGCTGCCCGCCCAACCCATGCTGCCCGCCCAACCCATGCTGCCCGCCCGACCCATGCTGCCCGCCCGACCCATGCTGCCCGCCCAACCCATGCTGCCCGCCCAACCCATGCTGCCCGCCCAACCCATGCTGCCCGCCCAACCCATGCTGCCCGCCCAACCCATGCTGCCCGCCCAACCCATGCTGCCCGCCCGACCCATGCTGCCCGCCCGACCCCATGCTGCCCGCCCAACCCATGCTGCCCGCCCAACCCATGCTGCCCGCCCGACCCATGCTGCCCGCCCAACCCATGCTGCCCGCCCGACCCATGCTTCCCGCCCAACCCATGCTGCCCGCCCAACCCATGCTGCCCGCCCAACCCATGCTGCCCGCCCAACCCATGCTGCCCGCCCAACCCATGCTGCCCGCCCAACCCATGCTGCCCGCCCAACCCATGCTGCCCGCCCAACCCATGCTGCCCGCCCAACCCATGCTGCCCGCCCAACCCATGCTGCCCGCCCGACCCATGCTGCCCGCCCGACCCATGCTGCCCGCCCAACCCATGCTGCCCGCCCAACCCATGCTGCCCGCCCAACCCATGCTGCCCGCCCAACCCATGCTGCCCGCCCAACCCATGCTGCCCGCCCGACCCATGCTGCCCGCCCGACCCATGCTGCCCGCCCGACCCATGCTGCCCGCCCAACCCATGCTGCCCGCCCGACCCATGCTGCCCGCCCGACCCATGCTGCCCGCCCCACCCATGCTGCCCGCCCGACCCATGCTGCCCGCCCAACCCATGCTGCCCGCCCAGCCCATGCTGCCCGCCCAACCCATGCTGCCCGCCCAACCCATGCTGCCCGCCCAACCCATGCTGCCCGCCCAACCCATGCTGCCCGCCCGACCCATGCTGCCCGCCCGACCCATGCTGCCCGCCCGACCCATGCTGCCCGCCCAACCCATGCTGCCCGCCCAACCCATGCTGCCCGCCCAACCCATGCTGCCCGCCCGACCCATGCTTCCCGCCCGACCCATGCTGCCCGCCCGACCCATGCTGCCCGCCCAACCCATGCTGCCCGCCCAACCCATGCTGCCCGCCCGACCCATGCTGCCCGCCCAACCCATGCTGCCCGCCCGACCCATGCTGCCCGCCCAACCCATGCTGCCCGCCCAACCTATGCTGCCCGCCCAACCCATGTTGCCCCGCCCAACCCATGCTGCCCGCCCAACCCATGCTGCCCGCCCAACCCATGCTGCCCGCCCAACCCATGCTGCCCGCCCAACCCATGCTGCCCGCCCAACCCATGCTGCCCGCCCAACCCATGCTGCCCGCCCGACCCATGCTGCCCGCCCAACCCATGCTGCCCGCCCAACCCATGCTGCCCGCCCAACCCATGCTGCCCGCCCAACCCATGCTGCCCGCCCAACCCATGCTGCCTGCCCAACCCATGCTGCCCGCCCAACCCATGCTGCCCGCCCGACCCATGCTGCCCGCCCAACCCATGCTGCCCGCCCAACCCATGCTGCCCGCCCAACCCATGCTGCCCGCCCAATCCATGCTGCCCGCCCAACCCATGCTGCCCGCCCAACCCATGCTGCCCGCCCAACCCATGCTGCCCGCCCAACCCATGCTGCCCGCCCAACCCATGCTGCCCGCCCAACCCATGCTGCCCGCCCAACCCATGCTGCCCGCCCAACCCATGCTGCCCGCCCAACCCATGCTGCCCGCCCAACCCATGCTGCCCGCCCAACCCATGCTGCCCGCCCAACCCATGCTGCCCGCCCAACCCATGCTGCCCGCCCAACCCATGCTGCCCGCCCGACCCATGCTGCCCGCCCGACCCATGCTGCCCGCCCAACCCATGCTGCCCGCCCAACCCATGCTGCCCGCCCAACCCATGCTGCCCGCCCGACCCATGCTTCCCGCCCGACCCATGCTGCCCGCCCGACCCATGCTGCCCGCCCAACCCATGCTGCCCGCCCAACCCATGCTGCCCGCCCGACCCATGCTGCCCGCCCAACCCATGCTGCCCGCCCGACCCATGCTGCCCGCCCAACCCATGCTGCCCGCCCAACCCATGCTGCCCGCCCAACCTATGCTGCCCGCCCAACCCATGTTGCCCGCCCAACCCATGCTGCCCGCCCAACCCATGCTGCCCGCCCAACCCATGCTGCCCGCCCAATCCATGCTGCCGCCCAACCCATGCTGCCCGCCCAACCCATGCTGCCCGCCCAACCCATGCTGCCCGCCCAACCCATGCTGCCTGCCCGTCCCATGCTGCCCGCCCGACCCATGCTGCCCGCCCAACCCATGCTGCCCGCCCAACCCATGCTGCCCGCCCAACCCATGCTGCCCGCCCGACCCATGCTTCCCGCCCGACCCATGCTGCCCGCCCGACCCATGCTGCCCGCCCAACCCATGCTGCCCGCCCAACCCATGCTGCCCGCCCGACCCATGCTGCCCGCCCAACCCATGCTGCCCGCCCGACCCATGCTGCCCGCCCAACCCATGCTGCCCGCCCAACCTATGCTGCCCGCCCAACCCATGTTGCCCGCCCAACCCATGCTGCCCGCCCAACCCATGCTGCCCGCCCAACCCATGCTGCCCGCCCAACCCATGCTGCCCGCCCAACCCATGCTGCCCGCCCAACCCATGCTGCCCGCCCAACCCATGCTGCCCGCCCGACCCATGCTGCCCGCCCAACCCATGCTGCCCGCCCAACCCATGCTGCCCGCCCAACCCATGCTGCCCGCCCAACCCATGCTGCCGCCCAACCCATGCTGCCCGCCCAACCCATGCTGCCGCCCAACCCATGCTGCCCGCCCGACCCATGCTGCCCCGCCCAACCCATGCTGCCCGCCCAACCCATGCTGCCCGCCCAACCCATGCTGCCCGCCCAATCCATGCTGCCCGCCCAACCCATTGCTGCCCGCCCAAACCCATGCTGCCCGCCCAACCCATGCTGCCCGCCCAACCCATGCTGCCCGCCCAACCCATGCTGCCCGCCCAACCCATGCTGCCCGCCCAACCCATGCTGCCCGCCCCAACCCATGCTGCCCGCCCAACCCATGCTGCCCGCCCAACCCATGCTGCCCGCCCAACCCATGCTGCCCGCCCAACCCATGCTGCCCGCCCAACCCATGCTGCCCGCCCAACCCATGCTGCCCGCCCAACCCATGCTGCCCGCCCGACCCATGCTGCCCGCCCGACCCATGCTGCCCGCCCAACCCATGCTGCCCGCCCAACCCATGCTGCCCGCCCAACCCATGCTGCCCGCCCGACCCATGCTTCCCGCCCGACCCATGCTGCCCGCCCGACCCATGCTGCCCGCCCAACCCATGCTGCCCGCCCAACCCATGCTGCCCGCCCGACCCATGCTGCCCGCCCAACCCATGCTGCCCGCCCGACCCATGCTGCCCGCCCAACCCATGCTGCCCGCCCAACCTATGCTGCCCGCCCAACCCATGTTGCCCGCCCAACCCATGCTGCCCGCCCAACCCATGCTGCCCGCCCAACCCATGCTGCCCGCCCAATCCATGCTGCCCGCCCAACCCATGCTGCCCGCCCAACCCATGCTGCCCGCCCAACCCATGCTGCCCGCCCAACCCATGCTGCCCGCCCGTTCCCATGCTGCCCGCCCGACCCATGCTGCCCGCCCGACCCATGCTGCCCGCCCAACCCATGCTGCCCGCCCGACCCATGCTGCCCGCCCGACCCATGCTGCCCGCCCCACCCATGCTGCCCGCCCGACCCATGCTGCCCGCCCAACCCATGCTGCCCGCCCCAGCCCATGCTGCCCGCCCAACCCATGCTGCCCGCCCAACCCATGCTGCCCGCCCAACCCATGCTGCCCGCCCAACCCATGCTGCCCGCCCGACCCATGCTGCCCGCCCGACCCATGCTGCCCGCCCAACCCATGCTGCCCGCCCAACCCATGCTGCCCGCCCAACCCATGCTGCCCGCCCAACCCATGCTGCCCGCCCAACCCATTGCTGCCGCCCGTCCCATGCTGCCCGCCCGACCCATGCTGCCCGCCCAACCCATGCTGCCCGCCCAACCCATGCTGCCCGCCCAACCCATGCTGCCCGCCCAACCCATGCTGCCCGCCCAACCCATGCTGCCCGCCCAACCCATGCTGCCCGCCCAACCCATGCTGCCCGCCCAACCCATGCTGCCCGCCCGACCCATGCTGCCCGCCCGACCCATGCTGCCCGCCCAACCCATGCTGCCCGCCCCAACCCATGCTGCCCGCCCAACCCATGCTGCCCGCCCGACCCATGCTTCCCGCCCGACCCATGCTGCCCGCCCGACCCATGCTGCCCGCCCAACCCATGCTGCCCGCCCAACCCATGCTGCCCGCCCGACCCATGCTGCCCGCCCAACCCATGCTGCCCGCCCGACCCATGCTGCCCGCCCAACCCATGCTGCCCGCCCAACCTATGCTGCCCGCCCAACCCATGTTGCCCGCCCAACCCATGCTGCCCGCCCAACCCATGCTGCCCGCCCAACCCATGCTGCCCGCCCAATCCATGCTGCCCGCCCAACCCATGCTGCCCGCCCAACCCATGCTGCCCGCCCCAACCCATGCTGCCCGCCCAACCCATGCTGCCTGCCCGTCCCATGCTGCCCGCCCGACCCATGCTGCCCGCCCAACCCATGCTGCCGCCCAACCCATGCTGCCCGCCCAACCATGCTGCCCGCCCGACCCATGCTTCCCGCCCGACCCATGCTGCCCGCCCGACCCATGCTGCCCGCCCCAACCCATGCTGCCGCCCAACCATGCTGCCCGCCCGACCATGCTGCCCGCCCAACCCATGCTGCCCGCCCTGACCCATGCTGCCCGCCCAACCCATGCTGCCCGCCCAACCTATGCTGCCCGCCCAACCCATGTTGCCCGCCCAACCCATGCTGCCCCGCCCAACCCATGCTGCCCGCCCCAACCCATGCTGCCCGCCCAACCCATTGCTGCCCGCCCCAACCCATGCTGCCCGCCCAACCATGCTGCCCGCCCAAACCCATGCTGCCGCCCGACCCATGCTGCCCGCCCAACCCATGCTGCCCGCCCAACCCATGCTGCCAGCCCAACCCATGCTGCCCGCCCAACCCATGCTGCCCGCCCAAACCCATGCTGCCCGCCCACCCATGCTGCCCGCCCAACCCATGCTGCCCGTCCCATGCTGCCCGCCCAACCCATGCTGCCCGCCCAACCCATGCTGCCCGCCCAACCCATGCTGCCCGCCCAATCCATGCTGCCCGCCCAACCCATGCTGCCCGCCCAACCCATGCTGCCCGCCCAACCCATGCTGCCCGCCCAACCCATGCCTGCCCGCCCAACCCATGCTGCCCGCCCAACCCATGCTGCCCGCCCAACCCATGCTGCCCGCCCAACCCATTGCTGCCCCGCCCAACCCATGCTGCCCGCCCAACCCATGCTGCCCGCCCAACCCATGCTGCCCGCCCAACCCATGCTGCCCGCCCAACCCATGCTGCCCGCCCAACCCATGCTGCCCGCCCAACCCATGCTGCCCGCCCGACCCATGCTGCCCGCCCGACCCATGCTGCCCGCCCAACCCATGCTGCCCGCCCAACCCATGCTGCCCGCCCAACCCATGCTGCCCGCCCGACCCATGCTTCCCGCCCGACCCATGCTGCCCCGCCCGACCCATGCTGCCCGCCCAACCCATGCTGCCCGCCCAACCCATGCTGCCCGCCCGACCCATGCTGCCCGCCCAACCCATGCTGCCCGCCCGACCCATGCTGCCCGCCCAAACCCATGCTGCCCGCCCAACCTATGCTGCCCGCCCAACCCATGTTGCCCGCCCAACCCATGCTGCCCGCCCAACCCATGCTGCCCGCCCAACCCATGCTGCCCGCCCAATCCATGCTGCCCGCCCAACCCATGCTGCCCGCCCAACCCATGCTGCCCGCCCAACCCATGCTGCCCGCCCAACCCATGCTGCCCGCCCGTCCCATGCTGCCCGCCCGACCCATGCTGCCCGCCCAACCCATGCTGCCCGCCCAACCCATGCTGCCCGCCCAACCCATGCTGCCCGCCCAACCCATGCTGCCCGCCCAACCCATGCTGCCCGCCCAACCCATGCTGCCCGCCCAACCCATGCTGCCCGCCCAACCCATGCTGCCCGCCCAACCCATGCTGCCCGCCCAACCCATGCTGCCCGCCCGACCCATGCTGCCCGCCCGACCCATGCTGCCCGCCCAACCCATGCTGCCCGCCCAACCCATGCTGCCCGCCCCAACCCATGCTGCCCGCCCCAACCCATGCTGCCCGCCCAACCCATGCTGCCCGCCCCAACCCATGCTGCCCGCCCAACCCATGCTGCCCGCCCGACCCATGCTGCCCGCCCGACCCATGCTGCCCGCCCAACCCATGCTGCCCGCCCAACCCATGCTGCCCGCCCGACCCCATGCTGCCCGCCCGACCCATGCTGCCCGCCCAACCCATGCTGCCCGCCCAACCCATGCTGCCCGCCCAACCCATGCTGCCCGCCCAACCCATGCTGCCCGCCCAACCCATGCTGCCCGCCCAACCCATGCTGCCCGCCCGACCCATGCTGCCCGCCCGACCCATGCTGCCCGCCCAACCCATGCTGCCCGCCCAACCCATGCTGCCCGCCCGACCCATGCTGCCCGCCCAACCCATGCTGCCCGCCCGACCCATGCTTCCCGCCCAACCCATGCTGCCCGCCCAACCCATGCTGCCCGCCCAACCCATGCTGCCCGCCCAACCCATGCTGCCCGCCCAACCCATGCTGCCCGCCCCAACCCATGCTGCCCGCCCAACCCATGCTGCCCGCCACAACCCATGCTGCCCGCCCAACCCATGCTGCCCGCCCAACCCATGCTGCCCGCCCGACCCATGCTGCCCGCCCGACCCATGCTGCCGCCCAACCCATGCTGCCCGCCCAACCCATGCTTGCCCGCCCAACCCATGCTGCCCGCCCAACCCATGCTGCCCGCCCAACCCATGCTGCCCGCCCGACCCATGCTGCCCGCCCGACCCATGCTGCCCGCCCGACCCATGCTGCCCGCCCAACCCATGCTGCCCGCCCGACCCATGCTGCCCGCCCGACCCATGCTGCCCGCCCCACCCATGCTGCCGCCCGACCCATGCTGCCCGCCCCAACCCATGCTGCCGCCCAGCCCATGCTGCCGCGCCGACCCATGCTGCCCGCCCAACCCATGCTGCCCGCCCAACCCATGCTGCCCGCCCAACCCATGCTGCCCGCCGACCCATGCTGCCCGCCCGACCCATGCTGCCCGCCCAACCCATGCTGCCCGCCCAACCCATGCTGCCCCGCCCAACCCATGCTGCCCGCCCAACCCATGCTGCCCGCCCAACCCATGCTGCCCGCCCGTCCCATTGCTGCCCGCCCGACCCCATGCTGCCCGCCCAACCCATGCTGCCCGCCCAACCCATGCTGCCCGCCCAACCCATGCTGCCCGCCCAAACCCATGCTGCCCGCCCAACCCATGCTGCCCCGGCCCCAACCCATGCTGCCCGCCCCAACCCATGCTGCCCCGCCCAAACCCATGCTGCCCGCCCAACCCATGCTGCCCGCCCAACCCATGCTGCCCGCCCGACCAATGCTGCCCGCCCGACCCATGCTGCCCGCCCAACCCATGCTGCCGCCCCAACCCATGCTGCCCGCCCAACCCATGCTGCCCGCCCAACCCATGCTGCCCCCTGCGCCCCGACCCATGCTGCCCCGCCCGACCCTATGCCTTGCCCGCCGACCCATGCTGCCCGCCCAACCCATGCTGCCGCCCAACCCATGCTGCCCGCCCGACCCATGCTGCCGCCCAACCCATGCTGCCCGCCCGACCCATGCTGCCCGCCCGACCCATGCTGCCCCGCCCAACCCATGCTGCCCGCCCAAACCATGCTGCCCGCCCCAACCCATGCTGCCCGCCCAACCCATGCTGCCCGCCCAACCCATGCTGCCCGCCCAACCCAATGCTGCCCGCCCAACCATGCTGCCGCCAACCCATGCTGCCCCGCCCAACCCATGCTGCCGCCCAACCCATGCTGCCCGCCCAACCCATGCTGCCCGCCCAAACCCATGCTGCCCCGCCCGACCCATGCTGCACGCCCAACCCATGCTGCCCGCCCAAACCCATGCTGCCCGCCCGACCCTGCTGCCCGCCCAACCCATGCTGCCCGCCCAACCCATGCTGCCCGCCCAACCCATGCTGCCCGCCCAACCCCATGCTGCCCGCCCAACCCATGCTGCCCGCCCGACCCATGCTGCCCGCCCGACCCATGCTGCCCGCCCGACCCATGCTGCCCGCCCAACCCATGCTGCCCGCCCAACCCATGCTGCCCGCCCCAACCCATGCTGCCCGCCCAACCCATGCTGCCCGCCCAACCCATGCTGCCCGCCCAACCCATGCTGCCCGCCCGACCCATGCTGCCCGCCCGACCCATGCTGCCCGCCCGACCCATGCTGCCCGCCCAACCCATGCTGCCCGCCCGACCCATGCTGCCCGCCCGACCCATGCTGCCCGCCCAACCCATGCTGCCCGCCCGACCCATGCTGCCCGCCCAACCCATTGCTGCCCGCCCAGCCCATGCTGCCCGCCCAACCCATGCTGCCCGCCCAACCCATGCTGCCCGCCCAACCCATGCTGCCCGCCCAACCATGCTGCCCGCCCGAACCCATGCTGCCCGCCCGACCCATGCTGCCCGCCCCGACCCATGCTGCCCGCCCGACCCATGCTGCCCGCCCAACCCATGCTGCCCGCCCAACCCATGCTGCCCGCCCAACCCATGCTGCCCGCCCGACCCATGCTGCCCGCCCGACCCATGCTGCCCGCCCAACCCATGCTGCCCCGCCCAACCCATGCTGCCCGCCCAACCCATGCTGCCCGCCCAACCCATGCTGCCCGCACCAACCCATGCTGCCCGCCCGTCCCATGCTGCCCGCCCGACCCATGCTGCCCGCCCCAACCCATGCTGCCCGCCCAACCCATGCTGCCCGCCCAACCCATGCTGCTCGCCCAACCCATGCTGCCCGCCCAACCCATGCTGCCCGCCCAACCCATGCTGCCCGCCCAACCCATGCTGCCCGCCCAACCCATGCTGCCCGCCCAACCCATGCTGCCCGCCCAACCCATGCTGCCCGCCCAACCCAATGCTGCCCGCCCGACCCATGTGCCCGCTGCCCGCCCAAACCCATGCTGCCCGCCCAACCCATGCTGCCCGCCCAACCCATGCTGCCCGCCCAACCCATGCTGCCCGCCCAACCCATGCTGCCCGCCCCGACCCATGCTGCCCGCCCGACCCATGCTGCCCGCCCGACCCATGCTGCCCGCCCAACCCATGCTGCCCGCCCGACCCATGCTGCCCGCCCGACCCATGCTGCCCGCCCAACCCATGCTGCCCGCCCGACCCATGCTGCCCGCCCAACACATGCTGCCCGCCCCAACCCATGCTGCCCGCCAACCCATGCTGCCCGCCCAACCCATGCTGCCCGCCCGACCCATGCTGCCCGCCCGACCCCATGCTGCCCGCCCAACCCATGCTGCCCGCCCCGACCCATGCTGCCCGCCCAGCCCATGCTGCCCGCCCAGCCCATGCTGCCCGCCCAACCCATGCTGCCCGCCCAACCCATGCTGCCCGCCCAACCCATGCTGCCCGCCCAACCCATGCTGCCCGCCCGACCCATGCTGCCCGCCCGACCCATGCTGCCCGCCCAACCCATGCTGCCCGCCCAACCCATGCTGCCCGCCCAACCCATGCTGCCCGCCCAACCCATGCTGCCCGCCCGACCCATGCTGCCCGCCCCGACCCATGCTGCCCGCCCAACCCATGCTGCCCGCCCAACCCCTGCTGCCCGCCCAAACCCATGCTGCCCGCCCAACCCATGCTGCCCGCCCAACCCATGCTGCCCCGCCCGTCCCATGCCTGCCCGCCCGACCCATGCTGCCCGCCCAACCCATGCTGCCCGCCCAACCCATGCTGCCCGCCCAACCTATGCTGCCCGCCCAACCCATGCTGCCCGCCCCAAACCCATGCTGCCCGCCCAACCCATGCTGCCCGCCCAACCCATGCTGCCCGCCCAACCCATGCTGCCTCGCCCAACCCATGCTGCCCGCCCAACCCATGCTGCCCGCCCGACCCATGCTGCCCGCCCGACCCATGCTGCCCGCCCAACCCATGCTGCCCCGCCCAACCCATGCTGCCCGCCCAACCCATGCTGCCCGCCCAACCCATGCTGCCCGCCCAACCCATGCTGCCCGCCCGACCCATGCTGCCCGCCCGACCCATGCTGCCCGCCCGACCCATGCTGCCCGCCCAACCCATGCTGCCCGCCCGACCCATGCTGCCCGCCCGACCCCATGCTGCCCGCCCGACCCATGCTGCCCGCCCCGACCCATGCTGCCCGCCCAACCCATGCTGCCCGCCCAACCCATGCTGCCCGCCCAACCCATGCTGCCCGCCCAACCCATGCTGCCCGCCCAACCCATGCTGCCCGCCCAACCCATGCTGCCTGCCCGACCCATGCTGCCCGCCCGACCCATGCTGCCCGCCAACCCATGCTGCCCGCCCAACCCATGCTGCCCGCCCCAACCCATGCTGCCCGCCCAACCCATGCTGCCCGCCCAACCCATGCTGCCCCGCCCAACCCATGCTGCCCGCCCAACCCATGCTGCCCGCCCAACCCATGCTGCCCGCCCAACCCATGCTGCCCGCCCAACCCATGCTGCCCGCCCAACCCATGCTGCCGCCCCAACCCATGCTGCCCGCCCCAACCCATGCTGCCCGCCCCAACAACCCATGCTTGCCCGCCCAACCCATGCTGCCCGCCCGACCCCATGCTGCCCGCCCGACCCATGCTGCCCGCCCAACCCATGCTGCCCGCCCAACCCATGCTGCCCGCCCCAACCCATGCTGCCCGCCGACCCATGCTTCCCGCCCGACCCATGCTGCCCGCCCGACCCATGCTGCCCGCCCAACCCATGCTGCCCGCCCAACCCATGCTGCCCGCCCAACCCATGCTGCCCGCCCAACCCATGCTGCCCGCCCGACCCATGCTGCCCGCCCAACCCAATGCTGCCCGCCCAACCCATGCTGCCCGCCCAACCCATGGTGCCCGCCCCAACCCATGCTGCCCGCCCAACCCATGCTGCCCGCCCAACCCATGCTGCCCGCCCACCAATCCATGCCTGCCCGCCCAAACCCATGCTGCCCGCCCAACCCATGCTGCCCGCCCAACCCATGCTGCCCGCCCAACCCATGCTGCCCGCTCCGTCCCCATGCTGCCCGCCCGACCCATGCTGCCCGCCCAACCCATGCTGCCCGCCCAACCCATGCTGCCCGCACCAACCCATGCTGCCCGCCCAACCCATGCTGCCCGCCCAACCCATGCTGCCCGCCCAACCCATGCTGCCCGCCCAACCCATGCTGCCCGCCCAACCCATGCTGCCCGCCCAACCCCATGCTGCCGCCCAACCCATGCTGCCCGCCCCAACCCATGCTGCCCGCCCGACCCATGCTGCCCGCCCGACCCATGCTGCCCGCCAACCCATGCTGCCCGCCCAACCCATGCTGCCCGCCCAACCCATGCTGCCCGCCCAACCCATGCTGCCCGCCCAACCCATGCTGCCCGCCCAACCCATGCTGCCCGCCCAACCCATGCTGCCCGCCCGACCCATGCTGCCCGCCCGACCCATGCTGCCCGCCCAACCATGCTGCCCGCCCAACCCATGCTGCCCGCCCAGCCCATGCTGCCCGCCCAACCCATGCTGCCCGCCCAACCCATGCTGCCCGCCCAACCCATGCTGCCCGCCCAACCCATGCTGCCCGCCCAACCCATGCTGCCCGCCCAACCCATGCTGCCCGCCCAACCCATGCTGCCCGCCCAACCCATGCTGCCCGCCCAACCCATGCTGCCCGCCCGACCCATGCTGCCCGCCCAACCCATGCTGCCCGCCCAACCCATGCTGCCCGCCCGACCCATGCTGCCCGCCCAACCCATGCTGCCCGCCCAACCCATGCTGCCCGCCCAACCCATGCTGCCCGCCCAACCCATGCTGCCCGCCCAACCCATGCTGCCCGCCCGACCCATGCTGCCCGCCCGACCCATGCTGCCCGCCCGACCCATGCTGCCCGCCCAACCCATGCTGCCCGCCCAACCCATGCTGCCCGCCCAACCCATGCTGCCCGCCCAACCCATGCTGCCCGCCCAACCCATGTGCCCGCCCAACCCATGCTGCACGCCCAACCCATGTGCCCGCCCAACCCATGCTGCCCGCCCAACCCATGCCTGCCACCCCCCGCCCAACCCATGCTGCCCGCCCAACCCATGCTGCTCCGCCCAACCCATGCTGCCCGCCCAACCCATGCTGCCCGCCCAACCCATGCTGCCCGCCCCCCCAACCATGCTGCCCGCCCAACCCCATGCTGCCCGCCCAACCCATGCTGCCCGCCCAACCCATGCTGCCCGCCCCAACCCATGCTGCCCGCCCAAACCCATGCTGCCCGCCCGACCCATGCTGCCCGCCCGAACCCATGCTGCCCGCCCGAACCCATGCTGCCCGCCCGAACCATGCTGCCCGCCCGAACCCATGCTGCCCGCCGAACCCATGCTGCCCGCCCAACCCATGCTGCCCGCCGAACCCATGCTGCCCGCCCCAACCCATGCTGCCCGCCCCAACCCATGCTGCCCGCCCAACCCATTGCTGCCCGCCCAACCCATGCTGCCCCGCCCAACCCATGCTGCCCGCCCAACCATGCTGCCCGCCCCACCCATGCTGCCCGCCCAACCCATGCTGCCCGCCCGACCCATGCTGCCCGCCCGACCCATGCTGCCCGCCCGACCCATGCTGCCCGCCCAACCCATGCTGCCCGCCCAACCCATGCTGCCCGCCCAACCCATGCTGCCCGCCCAACCCATGCTTCCCGCCCAACCCATGCTGCCCGCCCAACCCATGCTGCCCGCCCAAACCATGCTGCCCGCCAACCCATGCTGCTCGCCCAACCCATGCTGCCCGCCCAACCCATGCTGCCCGCCCGGACCCATGCTGCCCGCCCGGACCCATGCTGCCCGGCCCAACCCATGCTGCCCGCCCGACCCATGCTGCCCGCCCGGACCCATGCTGCCCGCCCAACCCATGCTGCCCGCCCGACCCATGCTGCCCGCCCAACCCATGCTGCCCGCCCAACCCATGCTGCCCGGCCCAACCCATGCTGCACGCCGACCCATGCCTGCCCGCTCGGACCCATGCTGCCCGCCCCAACCCATGCTGCCCGCCCAACCCATGCTGCCCGCCCCACCCATGCTGCCCGCCCAACCCATGCTGCCCGCCCAACCCATGCTCGCCCGCCCAACCCATGCTGCCCGCCCAACCCATGCTGCCCGCCCAACCCATGCTGCCCGCCCAACCCATGCTGCCCGCCCAACCCATGCTGCCCGCCCCAACCCATGCTGCCCGCCCAACCCATGCTGCCCGCCCAACCCATGCTGCCCGCCCAACCCATGCTGCCCGCCCAACCCATGCTGCCCGCCCAACCCATGCTGCCCGCCCAACCCATGCTGCCCGCCCAACCCATGCTGCCCGCCCAACCCATGCTGCCCGCCCAACCCATGCTGCCCGCCCAACCCATGCCTGCCCGCCCGACCCATGCTGCCCGCCCAACCCATGCTGCCCGCCCCAACCCATGCTGCCCGCCCCCACCCATGCTGCCCGCCCAACCCATGCTGCCCGCCCGACCCATGCTGCCCGTCCGACCCTGCTGCCCGCCCAACCCATGCTGCCCGCCCAACCCATGCTTGCCCGCCCGACCCATGCTGCCCGCACGACCCATGCTGCCCGCCCCAACCCATGCTGCCCGCCCAAACCCATGCTGCCCGCCCGACCCATGCTGCCCGCCCCGACCCATGCTGCCCGCCCAACCCATGCTGCCCGCCCAAACCCATGCTGGCCGCCCGACCCATGCTGCCCGCCCAACCCATGCTGCCCGCCCAACCCATGCTGCTCCGCCCAACCCATGCTGCCCGCCCCCAACCCATGCTGCCCGCCCAACCCATGCTGCTCGCCCAAACCCATGCTGCCCGCCCAACCCATGCTGCCGCCCTACCCATGGCTGCCCGCCCAACCCATGCTGCCCGCCCGACCCATGCTGCCCGCCCAACCCATGCTGCCCCGCCCAACCCATACTGCCCGCCCGACCCATGCTGCCCGCCCGACCCATGCTGCCACCCGCCCGACCCATGCTGCCGCCCCCACCCATGCTGCCCGCCCAACCCATGCTGCCCGCCCAACCCATGCTGCCCGCCCGACCCATGCTGCCCGCCCGACCCATGCTGCCCGCCCAACCCATGCTGCCCGCCCAACCCATGCTGCCCGCCCAACCCATGCTGCCCCGCCCGACCCATGCTGCCCGCCCAACCCATGCTGCCCGCCCAACCCATGCTGCCCGCCCAACCCATGCTGCCCGCCCAAACCATGCTGCCCGCCCAACCCATGCTGCCCGCCCAACCCATGCTGCCCGCCCAACCATGCTGCCCGCCCAACCCATGCTGCCCGCCCAACCCATGCTGCCCGCCCAACCCATGCTGTCCGCCCAACCCATGCTGCCCGCCCGACCCATGTGCCTGCCCGCTCCGACCCATGCTGCCCGCCCGACCCATGCTGCCCGCCCAACCCATGCTGCCCGCCCGACCCATGCTGCCCGCCCGACCCATGCTGCCCGCCCAACCCATGCTGCCCGCCCAACCCATGCTGCCCGCCCAACCCATGCTGCCCGCCCAACCCATGCTGCCCGCCCAACCCATGCTGCCCGCCCCAACCCATGCTGCCCGCCCAACCCATGCTGCCCGCCCAACCCATGCTGCCCGCCCAACCCATGCTGCCCGCCCAACCCATGCTGCCCGCCCAACCCATGCTGCCGCCCGACCCATGCTGCCCGCCCAACCCCATGCTGTCCCGCCCAACCCATGCTGCCCGCCCAACCATGCTGCCCGCCCGACCCATGCTGCCCGCCCAACCCATGCTGCCCGCCCAACCCATGCTGCCCGCCCAACCCATGCTGCCCGCCCAACCCATGCTGCCCGCCCAACCCATGCTGCCCGCCCAACCCATGCTGCCCGCCCAACCCATGCTGCCCGCCCAACCCATGCTGCCCGCCCGACCCATGCTGCCCGCCCGACCCATGCTGCCCGCCCAACCCATGCTGCCCGCCCAACCCATGCTGCCCGCCCAACCCATGCTGCCCGCCCAACCCATGCTGCCCGCCCTACCCATGCTGCCCGCCCAACCCATGCTGCCCGCCCAACCCATGCTGCCCGCCCGACCCATGCTGCCTGCCCGACCCATGCTGCCCGCCCAACCCATGCTGCCCGCCCAACCCATGCTGCCCGCCCGACCCATGCTGCCTGCCCGACCCCATGCTGCCCGCCCAACCCATGCTGCCCGCCCAACCCATGCCTGCCCGCCCAACCCATGCTGCCCGCCCAACCCATGCTGCCCGCCCCCAAACCCATGCTGCCCGCCCAACCCATGCTGCCCGCCCAACCCATGCTGCCCGCCCGACCCATGCTGCCCGCCCAACCCATGCTGCCCGCCCAACCCATGCTGCCCGCCCGACCCATGCTGCCCGCCCGACCCATGCTGCCCGCCCAACCCATGCTGCCCGCCCGACCCATGCTGCCCGCCCGACCCATGCTGCCCGCCCAACCCATGCTGCCCGCCCAACCCATGCTGCCCGCCCAACCCATGCTGCCCGCCCGACCCTTGCTGCCCGCCCAACCCATGCTGCCCGCCCGACCCATGCTGCTGCCCGCCCAACCCATGCTGCCCGCCCAACCCATGCTGCCCGCCCAACCCATGCTGCCCGCCCAACCCATGCTGCCCGCACGACCCATGCTGCCCGCCCAACCCATGCTGCCCGCCCGACCCATGCTGCTCCGCCCAACCCATGCTGCCCGCCCAACCCATGCTGCCCGCCCTACCCATGCTGCCCGCCCAACCCATGCTGCCCGCCCAACCCATGCTGCCCGCCCGACCCATGCTGCCTGCCCGACCCATGCTGCCCGCCCAACCCATGCTGCCCGCCCAACCCATGCTGCCCGCCCCAACCCATGCTGCCCGCCCAACCCATGCTGCCCGCCCGACCCATGCTGCCCGCCCAACCCATGCTGCCCGCCCAACCCATGCTGCCCGCCCGACCCATGCTGCCCGCCCAACCCATGCTGCCCGCCCACCCATGCTGCCCGCCCAACCCATGCTGCCCGCCCAACCCATGCTGCCCGCCCAACCCATGCTGCCCGCCCAACCCATGCTGCCCGCCCGACCCATGCTGCCCCGCCCAACCCATGCTGCCCGCCCAACCCATGCTGCCCGCCCGACCCATGCTGCCCGCCCAACCCATGCTGCCCGCCCAACCCATGCTGCCCGCCCGACCCATGCTGCCCGCCCGACCCATGCTGCCCGCCCGACCCATGCTGCCCGCCCAACCCATGCTGCCCGCCCAACCCATGCTGCCCGCCCAACCCATGCTGCCCGCCCAACCCATGCTGCCCGCCCAACCCATGCTGCCCGCCCAACCCATGCTGCCCGCCCAACCCATGCTGCCCGCCCAACCCATGCTGCCCGCCCAACCCATGCTGCCCGCCCAACCCATGCTGCCCGCCCCAACCCATGCTGCCCGCCCAACCCATGCTGCCCGCCCAACCCATGCTGCCCGCCCAACCCATGCTGCCCGCCCAACCCATGCTGCCCGCCCCCAACCCATGCTGCCCGCCCAACCCATGCTGCCCGCCCAACCCATGCTGCCCGCCCAACCCATGCTGCCCGCCCAACCCATGCTGCCCGCCCAACCCATGCTGCCCGGCCCAACCCATGCTGCCCGCCCAGCCCATGCTTGCCCGCCCAACCCATGCTGCCCGCCCCAACCCATGCTGCCCGCCCAACCCATGCTGCCCGCCCAGCCCATGCTGCCCGCCCAACCCATGCTGCCCGCCCAACCCATGCTGCCCGCCCAACCCATGCTGCCCGCCCAACCCATGCTGCCCGCCCCAACCCCATGCTGCCCGCCCAACCCATGCTGCCCGCCCAACCCATGCTGCCCGCCCAACCCATGCTGCCCGCCAACCCATGCTGCCCGCCCAACCCATGCTGCCCGCCCAACCCATGCTGCCCGCCCGACCCATGCTGCCCGCCCGACCCATGCTGCCGCCCAACCCATGCTGCCCGCCCCCAACCCATGCTGCCCGCCCAACCCATGCTGCCCGCCCAACCCATGCTGCCCGCCCAACCCATGCTGCCCGCCCAACCCATGCTGCCCGCCCAACCCATGCTGCCCGCCCGACCCATGCTGCCCGCCCAACCCATGCTGCCCGCCCAACCCATGCTGCCCGCCCAACCCATGCTTGCCCGCCCAACCCATGCTGCGCGCCCAACCCATGCTGCCCGCCCCAACCCAGCTGCCCGCCCAACCCATGCTGCCCGCCCAACCCATGCTGCCCGCCCAACCCCATGCTGCCCGCCCAACCCATTGCTGCCCGCCCAACCCATGCTGCCCGCCCCAACCCATGCTGCCCGCCCAACCCATGCTGCCCGCCCAACCCATGCTGCCCGCCCAACACATGCTGCCCGCCGACCCATGCTGCCCGCCCAACCCCATGCTGCCCGCCCGCCCAACCCATGCTGCCCGCCCAACCCATGCTGCCCGCCCAACCCATGTGCCCGCCAAACCCATGCTGCCCGCCCAACCCATGCTGCCCGCCCAACCCATGCTGCCCGCCCAACCCATGCTGCCCGCCCCAACCCATGCTGCCCGCCCAACCCATGCTGCCCCGCCCAACCCATGCTGCCCGCCCAACCCATGCTGCCCGCCCAACCCATGCTGCCCCGCCCAAACCCATGCTGCCCGCCCAACCCATGCTGCCCGCCCAACCCATGCTGCCCGCCCAACCCATGCTGCCCGCCCGACCCATGCTGCCCGCCCAACCCATGCTGCCCGCCCAACCCCATGCTGCCCGCCCAACCCATGCTGCCCGCCCGACCCCATGCTGCCCGCCCGACCCATGCTGCCCCGCCCAACCCATGCTGCCCGCCCAACCCATGCTGCCCGCCCAACCCATGCTGCCCGCCCCAACCCATGCTGCCCGCCCGAACCCATGCTGCCCGCCCGACCCATGCTGCCCGCCCAACCCATGCTGCTCCGCCCAACCCATGCTGCCCGCCCCACCCATGCTGCCCGCCCAACCCATGCTGCCCGCCCCAACCCATGCTGCCCGCCCAACCCCATGCTGCCCGCCCAACCCATGCTGCTCGCCCAACCCATGCTGCCCGCCCAACCCATTGCTGCCCGCCCAAACCCATGCTGCCCGCCCAACCATGCTGCCCGCCCAACCCATGCTGCCCGCCCGACCCCATGCTGCCGCCCAACCCATGCTGCCCGCCCAACCCATGCTGCCCGCCCGACCCATGCTGCTCGCCCAACCATCTGCCCGCCCAACCCATGCTGCCCGCCCACACCCATGCTGCCCGCCCAACCCACTGCTGCCCGCCCAACCCATGCTGCCCGCCCGACCCATGCTGCCCGCCCAACCCATGCTGCCCGCCCAACCCATGCTGCCCGCCCAACCCATGCTGCCCGCCCAACCCATGGTGCCCGCCCAACCCATGCTGCACGCCCCAACCCATGCTGCTCGCGCCCAACCCATGTGCCCGCCCAACCCATGCTGCCCGCCCAACCCATGCTGCCCGCCCAACCATGTGCCCGCCCAACCCATGCTGCCCGCCCAAACCCATGCTGCCCGCCCGACCCATGCTGCTCGCCCAACCCATGCTGCCCGCCCAACCCATGCTGCCCGCCCCAACCCATGCTGCCCGCCCAACCCATGCTGCCCGCCCCAACCCATGCTGCCCGCCCGACCCATGCTGCCCGCCCAACCCATGCTGCCCGCCCAACCCATGCTGCCTGCCCAACCCATGCTGCCCGCCCAACCCATGCTGCCCGCCCAACCCATGCTGCCCGCCCAACCCATGCTGCCCGCCCCAACCCATGCTGCCCGCCCAACCCATGCTGCCCGCCCAACCCATGCTGCCCGCCCAACCCATGCTGCCCGCCCAACCCATGCTGCCCGCCCAACCCATGCTGCCCGCCCAACCCATGCTGCCCGCCCGACCCATGCTGCCCGCCCAACCCATGCTGCCCGCCCAACCCATGCTGCCCGCCCAACCCATGCTGCCCGACCATGCTGCCCGCCAACCATGCTGCCCGCCCAACCCATGCTGCCCGCCCAACCCATGCTGCCCGCCCAACCCATGCTGCCCGCCCAAACCATGCTGCCCGCCCGACCCATGCTGCCCGCCCGACCCATGCTGCCCGCCCAACCCATGCTGCCCGCCCAACCCATGCTGCCCGCCCAACCCATGCTGCCCGCCCAACCCATGCTGCCCGCCCAACCCATGCTGCCCGCCCCAACCCATGCTGCCCGCCAAACCCATGCTGCTCGCCCAACCCATGCTGCCCGCCCAACCCATGCTGCCCGCCCAACCCATGCTGCCCGCCCAACCCATGCTGCCCGCCCAAACCCATGCTGCCCGCCCGACCCATGCTGCCCGCCCGGAACCCATGCTGCCCGCCCAACCCATGCTGCCCGCCCAACCCATGCTGCCCGCCCAACCCATGCTGCCCGCCCAACCCATGCTGCCCGCCCAACCCATGCTGCCCGCCCAACCCATGCTGCCCGCCCAACCCATGCTGCCCCGCCCCAACCCATGCTGCCCGCCCAACCCATGCTGCCCGCCCAACCCATGCTGCCCGCCCAACCCATGCTGCCCGCCCAACCCATGCTGCCCGCCCAACCATGCTGCCCGCCCAACCCATGCTGCCCGCCCAACCCATGCTGCCCGCCCAACCCATGCTGCCCGCCCAACCCATGCTGCCCGCCAAACCCATGCTGCCCGCCCGACCCATGCTGCCCGCCCAACCCATGCTGCCCGCCCAATCCATGCTGCCCGCCCAACCCATGCTGCCCGCCCGACCCATGCTGCCCGCCCGACCCATGCTGCCCGCCCAACCCATGCTGCCCGCCCAACCCATGCTGCCCGCCCAACCCATGCTGCCCGCCCAACCCATGCTGCCCGCCCAACCCATGCTGCCCGCCCCAACCCATGCTGCCCGCCCAACCCATGCTGCCCGCCCAACCCATGCTGCCCGCCCAACCCATGCTGCCCGCCCAACCCATGCTGCCCGCCCAACCCATGCTGCCCGCCCAACCCATGCTGCCCGCCCTACCGATGCTGCCCGCCCAACCCATGCTGCCCGCCCAACCCATGCTGCCCGCCCCAACCCATGCTGCCCGCCCGACCCATGCTGCCCGCCCAACCCATGCTGCCCGCCCCAACCCATGCTGCCCGCCCGACCCATGCTGCCCGCCCAACCCATGCTGCCCGCCCAACCCATGCTGCCCGCCCAACCCATGCTGCCCGCCCAATCCATGCTGCCCGCCCAACCCATGCTGCCCGCCCAACCCATGCTGCCCGCCCGACCCATGCTGCCCGCCCAACCCATGCTGCCCGCCCGACCCATGCTGCCCGCCCGACCCATGCTGCCCGCCCAACCCATGCTGCCCGCCCAACCCATGCTGCCCGCCCAACCCATGCTGCCCGCCCAACCCATGCTGCCCCGCCCAACCCATGCTGCCCGCCCAATCCATGCTGCCCGCCCAACCCATGCTGCCCGCCCAACCCATGCTGCCCGCCCGACCCATGCTGCCCGCCCAACCCATGCTGCCCGCCCAACCCATGCTGCCCGCCCGACCCATGCTGCCCGGCCCAACCCATGCTGCCCGCCCGACCCATGCTGCCCGCCCGACCCATGCTGCCCGCCCAACCCATGCTGCCCGCCCCAACCCATGCTGCCCGCCCAACCCATGCTGCCCGCCCGACCCATGCTGCCCGCCCAACCCATGCTGCCCGCCCAACCCATGCTTGTTAGAGACTAAGGACGGAGTCTATGAAGATTAGGTGCCTAAATTTCTCAAAATCGTTGGTCCCTATTTCTGGACAGAATAGTTGCGCTCACAAGAAACGCCGTCGACGAAAAGTGCACAGTCTAAACTTCACTAAACTCATATATGTTGTAGCCCTACTCCGTGGCTACAATTCCCAAGTTGAAACGTATCAAGAGGTGAAGTAAATCTCGACTTATCAATTTCGGCGCACAGGGGGGTATGCTGCCATAAGAACTTAACTCAATCACAAAGTTCACACAAGTTCACACAAGAGAATTAGAGTAGCACTAAACCAGGTGGAAGGGATAAGGAGGACGAGAGGGAAGGTCCCAAGAGAGTCCCCAACCAAGGAAACCCCATGCCATACAATTCCCTTCCCCATAGGCAACCCAACTTTGACCTTTGTCACTATCCCAACCTCCACAATCCACCTCAACCCAACTTGGCCACACTTGCCAACCTGGTTTGGTTTCTCCCAACCATTTGGCAGCAACTACAGTAGAAAAGACGAATTTCCCAACCCCCAAAAGTCTGTACCCCATATTGAGTCAACCCCACAACTTCCCATAGTCACCACAACCAAATATCAAAAGCATACGAACTCCAACGTTCGTAACTTTCTAGTTCGTGCTCCGATTGAAGCGATACTTGGTTCCTCGGAAAGCTCTTGAGCAGAGGAGTCACTTCAGATATCTGCTCAAGCCAAATAACATTCACACACACACTCAGAAAAACCAAACCGCACAAAACACAAATTCTTGCACACACTCACAACACGCATGCAACGCACGAACATATGATGGGAGGCAGACAGACGTGAATGCGAATGGTAGCATCACTCAACAAACTCCCCCTCTGGCTGCCAACCATCATCCCACATGCCATAGCTCAAGCATGCATCCTCAATGCACACTCATCCCAGCAAGCTTCATGCCCTTCCAATGCTCAGATTCAGCCAGGCGCTTGGTGAGAATGTCAGCCGCCTGCTGATGGGTCTTCACAATCTCCAGCCGCACCTCCTTGTCCAGGAGCCTCCTCACCCAGTGCCACTTAGGCCTGATGTGTTTGGTCAGCCCATGAAGACAAGCATTCTTCGCTAGCTTCACCGCCGACTCATTGTCACAGAAAATCACAGTCGGCTCCCTCTGACCAACTCCAATCTCCTCCAACAAACGCCTCAGCCACACCACCTCCTTTGCCCCATGATGCAGGGCCATGTACTCTGTCTCACACGAGGACTGCCCCACCTCATTCTGCTTCTTACTGCGCCAGCTCACTGCACCACCTCCGAACAGGCACACATAGCCTCCAATGCTGGTGCCATCCGCTTTCACCGAGTTGAAGCTAGCGTCAGTGTAGCAGGTCAGGAGCATCTCCCCCCTTGCTCAAATCAGCTGCACTCCTCTGCAGCCTCTGCCTCACAGCACTGTACTCCAAACCCACTGATGCCGTTGCACTCACATAGCGGACCAACCTCTTGGCCGCTTCCAGCTGCTCATGACTGGGGCGTGAAACCACACTGGCAAGCCTGGATGTTGCAAAGGCAATGTCAGGCCGTGTGTGGTTAGCCGCATAGTTGAGTGCCCCAACCATGGAATGAAAAAGTTTCCTGTCACTCTCACCCACCACCTCCTCATCAGCACAGGGCTCTACAGTGAACCCCGAAGGCAGTGGGGTGGCTGGCTTTCCTCCATCTTGCAGCCCATACTTCTCAGCCAGCCCCTCACAATACTTTCTCTGGTGCAACCTCAACACTCCCTTGTCAAGGTCCCTCTCCACATGCATCCCTAAATAGTACTTCACATCTCCCATCTTGGAGCAATTAAACTGCATCTCCAGCATCTCCTCCACATGCTCAATCATTGCAGACGACTCAGAGAAGAGCAGGATGTCATCCACATACACCAGGAGCATGAGAAACTGCTCCTTCTCCTGCAGCAGGAACAAGCTGTGATCACACTCACTCTTCTTGAAACCCCCAGCCAGCAGAGTCTCCTCTAACTTGTGGTACCATGCACGAGGAGCCTGCTTCAGGCCATAGATGGCCTTCTTCAGCCTGCACACCCTGCCGCTCCCATCATCCAAACCCTCAGGCTGTAACATGTACAGCTCCTCCAGAATGATCCCATTGAGGAAGGCGGTGGTGATGTCCATCTGCTTCACCCGCCATCCACGGTATGCTGCCATTGCCAATGACACCCGAAGTGTTGTGCCTTTCCCCACAGGAGCATAGAGCTCGTTGAAGTCCTTTCCCTTTGTCTGCTGAAACCCCTTAGCCACAAGCCTTGACTTGTAGCGGGTCAGCGCCCCATCAGGTCCGTACTTGTGCCTGAAAATCAGCTTGGAAGAAATGGCCTTCTTCCCAGGTGGCAGCTCACACAGCTCCCACGTCTCATTCTCTAGCAGAGAATCATACTCCTCCTTCACACTCTGCTTCCACTTTTCAGCATCGGGCCCGCTCAATGCCTCAGCTAGCGTCTTGGGCTCAGGGACGGCTGCCCAGTAGCAGTGTGCTATCTCATCCTCATCACACTGCTCAGCCACACTCCCAGCCCTTACCACCTTTGGCTTGCCACGGCTTGCATAGGTCAGCCTGTTAGGAGGGCGCACATCCCTCCTAGGACGGTCAGCCGTACGTCCAGCACCTTGTGGAGCACCTTGCTCCTCCTGCTGCTGCGGCTGCTGCTGCTGTTGCTGCTGCTGCTGCTCCTCCACCTCAGGTTCTCCCCCATCCTCTGTCACCCCAGAGATCTCATTCTCAGAGACAGAAACCTCCACTTGCCTTGAAGGCCGCTGCACCTCATCGGCCTCGACAATTAGCGGTGTCGTTGGAAGCTTCTGCTGCTGCTGCTGCTTCCACTCCTTGTAGTACAAGGACTCAAGGAACTTCACATCCCTTGACACAGTCAGCTGCTGGCTGGTCAAGTCCCAAATCAGCCAGCCCTTGTGATCCTTAGCAAGCCCCAAGTGCACACCCCATCTCCCAGAAGCTTCCAGTTTTCCCCTCTTCTCCTTAGGCACATGAAACACCACCATGCACCCAAAGGCTCTCAGCATGTTCACAGCTGGTGCAATCCCATACCACTTGGTGTAGGGGACCCACTGCTTGTCCCCCACAGTCGCCAGCACCCTGTTCTTCACAACAACGACCTGCCGCAGTGCTGTCACCCAAAACGGATCCGGCAGCCCTGCACGCCCAAGGAGAGTGCGAGCACCTTCCTGCAGGGTCCGGTTGAACCGCTCAGCCACGCCATTCTGCTGAGGGTTGTAAGGCACTGTGAGCTGATGCTGGATCCCCTTCCGCTTCAGCTCCTTCTCAAAATCAGCGCCGATGAACTCTCCTCCGTTGTCAGTGCGGATCACCTTCACCTTGTGTCCGCTTTCCCTTTGTGCTCTCGGCATCCACTCCTTAAGAACAGCCGCTGCCACCTCCCCCTTAGTCTTGAGAGGGTACACCCACACCGCACGCGTGTGGTCGTCCACAATCGTCAAGAAGTAGCGGCTACCCGAGAGAGAAAGGGCCCTCGTGGGGCCCACCACATCCATGTGCACTAGTTCAAGTGGTGCCTTGGCTGGTCCTGTGCTGCTGCTGAAGGGAAACTTCGTGAATTTGGTCTCAAGGCAGGTAGGGCAGCTCCCAATCTCCTTTGCTCCCCCCTTCACCTCCAGCCCCTTCAAGCACCCATCCTTTACCAACTTCTGCAGCATAGGAATGTTCACATGGCACAACCTCTCATGCCACGTCTCCCAATCAGCCTCACCACTCCCAGATGAAGCCTTTGCCCATGCAGCTGTCGCATCCACACCAGCAAGCACCTCACCATGTGGCTGTTGTGGCTGCTGCACCTTCTTGACTGCATCCAGGGGCCCAGCAGTTGGTGCAGTCTCCTCTCCTCCCGCAGTTGCTTTAGCCGCTGCCGCTGCCTTTGCCGTTGCTGGTGGTTTCCCCTTCCAAGGGATGATGGGCAGCTGCCACAAGTCCTTGATGCAGCTGCTCTTCTCCTCCAAGTTCCACAGCAGCAACTTCCCAAGCTTTGCACGGCAGCTGGTTGGGCCGAAGGTAACTTCAGCCTTGCTCTTCTGCAGCCGGCGCACAGAAAGAAGGTTAGCGGACAAACCTTCAACCAACAGCACATTCCCAAGCCCCACAAGCTCTCCATTGGCTCCCATCACCTTGGCATTCCCAACACCAATCACAGGGAGCAAAGCACCTGAAGCGGCAGCCACAAACTTGATCTTCCCAGGAGGTTTTACCTCATCAAGCAAATCTGCCCGTGGGGTCATATGACTCGTGCAACCTGAATCGATCACCCAGTGAGTGAGGGGGTGCATCACAACCTTCCCAACTGAACCCACATCACCCCCACTCCCTTGCACATCCTCAACCATGAGGAACATCCCAGGGTGGGCTTTACCTTGTGCACCATCACCTTGTGCACCTGAACCTTGCACAGCGCCACCGCGTGCACGTTCACCACTTGGCGGCTTCATGCCTGGAGGGGCCCATCCCTCAGGCCGGCTGAAACACTTGAACCACGGGTGTCCAGCCTTCTTGCAGTACCAGCACGCACCCTCCATTCGGGTGCTCCCCCTGCCACCAGAGCTCCCATGCCCCTCATTGTAGTCACCTCGGCCTCTCCCTCTGCCAAAGCCTCTCCCACGGCCTCGGCCTCTCCCTCCCCCTCTTCCTCTGCTGCCTCCTGCAGCTCCATACCCCTCAGCAGTTTTGTTGGCAGCACCACCTCCCGTGTGGCGTCTGCGGAAGTCCTCCTGCAGAATCTGCTGCCGTAGCCACTCAGGCGTCCATTTGTCCTGCTGAACGTTGAGGGTGGGGATGAGGTTGTCCCACGAGTTGTCGAGCACCGAGATGATCTTGGTGCACTGTTGCATCTGCGACACTTCGCTGCCCGCCGCTGCCATCCTCGCATAGGTGTCCTTGATCTTGTCAAGGACCGGTTTCACATCATCTCCCGGTTTCATGGAGAGGGCAGCCAACTCCTTCTCCAACACAATCACCATCGGCAGCGTGTTGGGCTGAATCACGTCGCGTAGCAGCTTCCATGCCTTCGGTCCGGAATCATCCAACTCCACCAAATCCTTGATGTGCTGGAACATGTCGTTGTTGACCGATTGGAGGATGAGGTCGTACAGCACCGCGCTCTTCTCAATCCACCGATCGCGGGCATCTCCTTCCCCCGGCATCTTCTCCTCTCCCATTGCAATTTTCAGCAGCTTGTAGCGCTTGAAGGCGCTCCGCATCCGCCCGCTCCATTCCTCATAGTTGGAGCCATCCAAAGCTTCAATCTTGGATGGTGGCGGCTCACTCCTCTTCTCAGCTGCATCTCCACTCCCTTGATTCATCTCCTCTGCTCCCAATCAGAGGTTTCAGCTCCCCCTTTTGCTGGTCACAATGTAGATCCACACAATCTTCACAAGTGTCAGCGCCAACGAAATTTCGGCAGAGTTTCCCCTTAGCGGAAGTCACATCCAACCTCCAGAACTCCACTTAGGCACGCCCACAGGCCATGGTGGGTCTAGGAGGGTCTTCACACTTCAGTAGACTCCCCACAAGGTCCTTAATCAGCTCTGATACCACTTGTTAGAGACTAAGGACGGAGTCTATGAAGATTAGGTGCCTAAATTTCTCAAAATCGTTGGTCCCTATTTCTGGACAGAATAGTTGCGCTCACAAGAAACGCCGTCGACGAAAAGTGCACAGTCTAAACTTCACTAAACTCATATATGTTGTAGCCCTACTCCGTGGCTACAATTCCCAAGTTGAAACGTATCAAGAGGTGAAGTAAATCTCGACTTATCAATTTCGGCGCACAGGGGGGTATGCTGCCATAAGAACTTAACTCAATCACAAAGTTCACACAAGTTCACACAAGAGAATTAGAGTAGCACTAAACCAGGTGGAAGGGATAAGGAGGACGAGAGGGAAGGTCCCAAGAGAGTCCCCAACCAAGGAAACCCCATGCCATACAATTCCCTTCCCCATAGGCAACCCAACTTTGACCTTTGTCACTATCCCAACCTCCACAATCCACCTCAACCCAACTTGGCCACACTTGCCAACCTGGTTTGGTTTCTCCCAACCATTTGGCAGCAACTACAGTAGAAAAGACGAATTTCCCAACCCCCAAAAGTCTGTACCCCATATTGAGTCAACCCCACAACTTCCCATAGTCACCACAACCAAATATCAAAAGCATACGAACTCCAACGTTCGTAACTTTCTAGTTCGTGCTCCGATTGAAGCGATACTTGGTTCCTCGGAAAGCTCTTGAGCAGAGGAGTCACTTCAGATATCTGCTCAAGCCAAATAACATTCACACACACACTCAGAAAAACCAAACCGCACAAAACACAAATTCTTGCACACACTCACAACACGCATGCAACGCACGAACATATGATGGGAGGCAGACAGACGTGAATGCGAATGGTAGCATCACTCAACAAACTCCCCCTCTGGCTGCCAACCATCATCCCACATGCCATAGCTCAAGCATGCATCCTCAATGCACACTCATCCCAGCAAGCTTCATGCCCTTCCAATGCTCAGATTCAGCCAGGCGCTTGGTGAGAATGTCAGCCGCCTGCTGATGGGTCTTCACAATCTCCAGCCGCACCTCCTTGTCCAGGAGCCTCCTCACCCAGTGCCACTTAGGCCTGATGTGTTTGGTCAGCCCATGAAGACAAGCATTCTTCGCTAGCTTCACCGCCGACTCATTGTCACAGAAAATCACAGTCGGCTCCCTCTGACCAACTCCAATCTCCTCCAACAAACGCCTCAGCCACACCACCTCCTTTGCCCCATGATGCAGGGCCATGTACTCTGTCTCACACGAGGACTGCCCCACCTCATTCTGCTTCTTACTGCGCCAGCTCACTGCACCACCTCCGAACAGGCACACATAGCCTCCAATGCTGGTGCCATCCGCTTTCACCGAGTTGAAGCTAGCGTCAGTGTAGCAGGTCAGGAGCATCTCCCCCTTGCTCAAATCAGCTGCACTCCTCTGCAGCCTCTGCCTCACAGCACTGTACTCCAAACCCACTGATGCCGTTGCACTCACATAGCGGACCAACCTCTTGGCCGCTTCCAGCTGCTCATGACTGGGGCGTGAAACCACACTGGCAAGCCTGGATGTTGCAAAGGCAATGTCAGGCCGTGTGTGGTTAGCCGCATAGTTGAGTGCCCCAACCATGGAATGAAAAAGTTTCCTGTCACTCTCACCCACCACCTCCTCATCAGCACAGGGCTCTACAGTGAACCCCGAAGGCAGTGGGGTGGCTGGCTTTCCTCCATCTTGCAGCCCATACTTCTCAGCCAGCCCCTCACAATACTTTCTCTGGTGCAACCTCAACACTCCCTTGTCAAGGTCCCTCTCCACATGCATCCCTAAATAGTACTTCACAACTCCAACGTTCGTAACTTTCTAGTTCGTGCTCCGATTGAAGCGATACTTGGTTCCTCGGAAAGCTCTTGAGCAGAGGAGTCACTTCAGATATCTGCTCAAGCCAAATAACATTCACACACACACTCAGAAAAACCAAACCGCACAAAACACAAATTCTTGCACACACTCACAACACGCATGCAACGCACGAACATATGATGGGAGGCAGACAGACGTGAATGCGAATGGTAGCATCACTCAACAATGCTGCCCGCCCAACCCATGCTGCCCGCCCAACCCATGCTGCCCGCCCGACCCATGCTGCCCGCCCAACCCATGCTGCCCGCCCGACCCATGCTGCCCGCCCAACCCATGCTGCCCGCCCGACCCATGCTGCCCGCCCAACCCATGCTGCCCGCCCGACCCATGCTGCCCGCCCGACCCATGCTGCCCGCCCAACCCATGCTGCCCGCCCAACCCATGCTGCCCGCCCAACCCATGCTGCCCGCCCAACCCATGCTGCCCGCCCAACCCATGCTGCCCGCCCGACCCATGCTGCCCGCCCAACCCATGCTGCCCGCCCGACCCATGCTGCTCGCCCAACCCATGCTGCCCGCCCAACCCATGCTGCCCGCCCAACCCATGCTGCCCGCCCAACCCATGCTGCCCGCCCAACCCATGCTGCCCGCCCAACCCATGCTGCCCGCCTGACCCATGCTGCCCGCCCCAACCCATGCTGCCCGCCCAACCCATGCTGCCCGCCCGACCCATGCTGCCCGCCCAACCCATGCTGCCCGCCCAACCCATGCTGCCCGCCCAACCCATGCTGCCCGCCCAACCCATGCTGCCCGCCCAACCCATGCTGCCCGCCCGACCCATGCTGCCCGCCCGACCCATGCTGCCCGCCCGACCCATGCTGCCCGCCCAATCCATGCTGCCCGCCCAACCCATGCTGCCCGCCCGACCCATGCTGCCCGCCCAACCCATGCTGCCCGCCCGACCCATGCTGCCCGCCCAACCCATGCTGCCCGCCCAACCCATGCTGCCCGCCCAACCCATGCTGCCCGCCCAATCCATGCTGCCCGCCCAACCCATGCTGCCCGCCCGACCCATGCTGCCCGCCCAACCCATGCTGCCCGCCCAACCCATGCTGCCCGCCCGACCCATGCTGCCCGCCCAACCCATGCTGCCCGCCCAACCCATGCTGCCCGCCCAACCCATGCTGCCCGCCCAACCCATGCTGCCCGCCCAACCCATGCTGCCCGCCCGACCCATGCTGCCCGCCCAACCCATGCTGCCCGCCCAACCCATGCTGCCCGCCCAACCCATGCTGCCCGCCCAACCCATGCTGCCCGCCCAACCCATGCTGCCCGCCCAACCCATGCTGCCCGCCCAACCCATGCTGCCCGCCCAATCCATGCTGCCCGGCCAACCCATGCTGCCCGCCCAACCCATGCTGCCCGCCCGACCCATGCTGCCCGCCCAACCCATGCTGCCCGCCCGACCCATGCTGCCCGCCCGACCCATGCTGCCCGCCCAACCCATGCTGCCCGCCCAACCCATGCTGCCCGCCCAACCCATGCTGCCCGCCCAACCCATGCTGCCCGCCCAACCCATGCTGCCCGCCCAACCCATGCTGCCCGCCCGACCCATGCTGCCCGCCCAACCCATGCTGCCCGCCCGACCCATGCTGCCCGCCCCGACCCATGCTGCCCGCCCAACCCATGCTGCCCGCCCAACCCATGCTGCCCGCCCAACCCATGCTGCCCGCCCCAACCCATGCTGCCCGCCCAATCCATGCTGCCCGCCCAACCCATGCTGCCCGCCCAACCCATGCTGCCCGCCCGACCCATGCTGCCCGCCCAACCCATGCTGCCCGCCAACCCATGCTGCCCGCCCGACCCATGCTGCCCGCCCGACCCATGCTGCCCGCCCGACCCATGCTGCCCGCCCAACCCATGCTGCCCGCCCAACCCATGCTGCCCGCCCAACCCATGCTGCCCGCCCAACCCATGCTGCCCGCCAACCCATGCTGCCCGCCCGACCCATGCTGCCCGCCCAACCCATGCTGCCCGCCCGACCCATGCTGCCTCGCCCAACCCATGCTGCCCGCCCGAACCCATGCTGCTCGCCCAACCCATGCTGCCCGCCCAACCCATGCTGCCCCGCCCAACCCATGCTGCCCGCCCAACCCATGCTGCCGCCCTGACCCATGCTGCCCGCCCAACCCATGCTGCCCGCCCCTGACCCATGCTGCCCGCCCAGACCCATGCTGCCCGCCCAACCCATGCTGCCCGGCCCCAACCCATGCTGCCCGCCCAACCCATGCTGCCCGCCCAACCCATGCTGCCCGCCCAACCCATGCTGCCCGCCCACCCAGTGCCCGCCCAACCATGCTGCCCGCCCAACACATGCTGCCCGCCCGACCCATGCTGCCCGCCCAACCCATGCTGCCCGCCCAACCCATGCTGCCGCCCGACCCATGCTGCCTGCCAACCCATGTGCCCCGCCCAACCCATGCTGCCCGCCCAACCCATGCTGCCCGCCCGACCCATGCTGGCCTGCCCCAACCCATGCTGCCCCGCCCAACCCATGCTGCCCGCCAACCCCATGCTGCCCGCCCAACCCATGCTGCCCGCCGACCCATGCTGCCCCGCCCAACCCATGCTGCCCGCCCGAACCCATGCTGCCCGCCCAACCCATGCTGCCCGCCCAACCCATGTGCCCGCCCAACCCATGCTGCCCGCCCAATCCATGCTGCCCGCCCAACCCATGCTGCCGCCCGACCCATGCTGCCCGCCCAACCCATGCTGCCCGCCCAACCCATGCTGCCCGCCCAACCATGCTGCCCGCCCGGACCCATGCTTGCCCGCCCAACCCATGCTGCCCGCCCAACCCATGCTGCCCGCCCAAACCCATGCTGCCCGCCCGACCCATGCTGCCCGCCCAACCCATGCTGCCCGCCCAACCCATGCTGCCCGCCCAACCCATGCTGCCCGCCCTAACCCATGCTGCCCCGCCCAACCCATGTGCCTGCCCGCCCGACCCATGCTGCCCGCCCAACCCATGCTGCCCGCCCAACCCATGCTGCCCGCCCAACCCATGCTGCCCGCCCAACCCATGCTGCCCGCCCAACCCATGCTGCCCGCCCCAACCCATGCTGCCCGCCCAACCCATGCTGCCCGCCCAATCATGCTGCCCGCCAACCCATGCTGCCCGCCCAACCCATGCTGCCCGCCCGACCCATGCTGCCCGCCCAACCCATGCTGCCCGCCCGACCCATGCTGCCCGCCCGACCCCATGCTGCCCGCCCAACCCATGCTGCCCGCCCAACCCATGCTGCCCGCCCAACCCATGCTGCCCGCCCAACCCATGCTGCCCGCCCAACCCATGCTGCCCGCCCGACCCATGCTGCCCGCCCAACCCATGCTGCCCGCCCGACCCATGCTGCCCGCCCGACCCATGCTGCCCGCCCAACCCATGCTGCCCGCCCAACCCATGCTGCCCGCCCCAACCCATGCTGCCCGCCCAACCCATGCTGCCCGCCCAATCCATGCTGCCCGCCCAACCCATGCTGCCCGCCCAACCCATGCTGCCCGCCCGACCCATGCTGCTCCGCCCAACCCATGCTGCCCGCCCGACCCATGCTGCCCGCCCGACCCATGCTGCCCGCCCAACCATACTGCCCGCCAACCCATGCTGCCCGCCCAACCCATGCTGCCCGCCCCCAACCCATGCTGCCCGCCCAACCCATGCTGCCCGCCCACCCATGCTGCCCGCCCCAACCCATGCTGCCCGCCCAACCCATGCTGCCCGCCCAACCCATGCTGCCCGCCCAACCCATGCTGCCCGCCCAACCCATGCTGCCCGCCCAATCCATGCTGCCCGCCCAAACCCATGCTGCCCGCCCGACCCATGCTGCCCGCCCGACCCATGCTGCCCGCCCACATCCCATACTGCCCGCCCAACCCATGCTGCCCGGCCCAACCCATGCTGCCCGCCCACCCAGCTGCCCGCCCTAACCCATGCTGCCCGCCCAACCCATGCTGCCCGCCCGACCCATGCTGCCCGCCCAACCCATGCTGCCCGCCCGACCCATGCTGCCCGCCCAACCCATGCTGCCCGCCCAACCCATGCTGCCCTCCCAACCCATGCTGCCCGCCCAATCCATGCTGCCCGCCCCCAACCCATGCTGCCCGCCCGACCCATGCTGCCCGCCCCAACCCATGCTGCCCGCCCAACCCATGCTGCCCGCCCAACCCATGCTGCCCGCCCAATCCATGCTGCCCGCCCAACCCATGCTGCCCGCCCGACCCATGCTGCCCGCCCAACCCATGCTGCCCGCCCAACCCATGCTGCCCGCCCGACCCATGCTGCTCGCCCAACCCATGCTGCCCGCCCCAACCCATGCTGCCCGTCCAACCCATGCTGCCCGCCCAACCCATGCTGCCCGCCCAACCCATGCTGCCCGCCCAACCCATGCTGCCCGCCCGACCCATGCTGCCCGCCCAACCCATGCTGCCCGCCCAACCCATGCTGCCCGCCCGACCCATGCTGCCCGCCCAACCCATGCTGCCCGCCCAACCCATGCTGCCCGCCCAACCCATGCTGCCCGCCCAACCCATGCTGCCCGCCAAACCCATGCTGCCCCGCCAACCCATGCTGCCGCCCAACCCCATGCTGCCCGCCCAACCCATGCTGCCCGCCGACCCATGCTGCCCGCCCAACTCCATGCTGCCCGCCCAACCCATGCTGCCCGCCAACCCATGCTGCCCGCCCGACCCATGCTGCCCGCCCGACCCATGCTGCCCGCCCAACCCATGCTGGCCCGCCCAACCCATGCTGCCCGCCCCAACCCATGCTGCCCGCCAATCCATGCTGCCCGCCCACCCATGTGCCGCCCGACCCATGCTGCCCGCCCAACCCATGCTGCCCGCCGACCCATGCTGCCCGCCCAGGAACCCATGCTTGCCCGCCCAACCCATGCTGCCCGCCCAACCATGCTGCCCGCCCAACCCATGCTGCCCGCCCCAACCCATGCTGCCCGCCCAACCCATGCTGCCCGCGCAACCCATGCTGCCCGCCCGACCCATGCTGCCCGCCCAACCCATGCTTGCCCGCCCAACCCATGCTGCCCGCCAACCATGCTGCCCGCCCAAACCCATGCTGCCCGCCCAACCCATGCTGCCCGCCCAACCCATGCTGCCCGCCGACCCATGCTGCCCGCCCAACCCATGCTGCCCGCCCAACCCATGCTGCCCGCCCGACCCCTGCTGCCCGCCCCAACCCATGCTGCCCGCCCAACCCATGCTGCCCGCCCAAAACGCCATGCTGCCCGCCCAACCCATGCTGACCCGCCCAACCCCATGCTGGCCAGCAGCCGGACCCATGCTGCCCGCCCAAACCCATGCTGCCCGCCCCGACCATGCTGCCGCCCCAACCCATGCTTACCCGCCCAACCCCAACCCATGCTGCCCACCCCAACCCAATGCTGCCCGCCCCCAACCCATGCTGCCTCCGAACCCATGATGCCCGCCCGGATCATGCTGCCCGCCCGACCCACCCGACCCATTGCTTGCCCGGCCCCAACCCATGCTGGCCCGCCCAAGCCCATTGCTGCCCGCCCAAACCCATGCTGCCCGCCCGACCCATGCTGACCGGCCCAACCCTGCTGCCGCCCAACCCACTGATGCCCGCCCGACCCATGCTGCTACGCCCGACCCATGCTGCCCGCCCAACCCATGCTGCGCCTGCCAAACCCATGCTTGCGCCGCCCAACCCATGCTTTGCCCGCCCGACCCATGCATGCCCGACCCAACCCCATGCTGCCCGCCTCGACCCATGCTGCCTCGCCCAACTCCATGCGCCCCGCCCAACCCCATGCTGCCGCCCCCGACCCATGCTGCCCGCCCAACCCATGCTGCCCGCCCAACCCATGCTGCCCGCCCAACCCATGCTGCCCGCCCAACCCATGCTGCCCGCCCAACCCATGCTGCCCGCCCAACCCATGCTGCCCGCCCAACCCATGCTGCCCGCCCGACCCATGCTGCCCGCCCAACCCATGCTGCCCGCCCGACCCATGCTGCCCGCCCAACCCATGCTGCCCGCCCAACCCATGCTGCCCGCCCAACCCATGCTGCCCGCCCAATCCATGCTGCCCGCCCAACCCATGCTGCCCGCCCGACCCATGCTGCCCGCCCAACCCATGCTGCCCGCCCAACCCATGCTGCCCGCCCGACCCATGCTGCCCGCCCAACCCATGCTGCCCGCCCAACCCATGCTGCCCGCCCCAACCCATGCTGCCCGCCCAACCCATGCTGCCCGCCCAACCCATGCTGCCCGCCCGACCCATGCTGCCCGCCCAACCCATGCTGCCCGCCCAACCCATGCTGCCCGCCCAACCCATGCTACCCGCCCCCAACCCATGGCTCGCCCACCCAACCCATGCTGCCCGCCCAACCCAGTGTCTGCCGCCCGACCCATGCTGCCCGCCGACTCATGCTGCCGCCCGACCCATGCTGCCCCGCCCAAACCCATGCTGCCCGCCCAATCCATGCTGCCCCGCCCAACCCATGCTGCCCCGCCCGACCCCATGCTGCCCGCCCAAACCCATGCTGCCCCGCCCAACCCATGCTGCCCGCCCGACCCATGCTGCCGCCCAACCCATGCTGCCCGCCCAAACCCATGCTGCCCGCCCCAACCCATGCTGCCGCCCAACCCATGCTGCCCGCCCGACCCATGCTGCCCGCCCAACCCATGCTGCCCGCCCGACCCATGCTGCTCGCCCAACCCATGCTGCCCGCCCAACCCATGCTGCCCGCCCAACCCATGCTGCCCGCCCAACCCATGCTGCCCGCCCAAACCCATGCTGCCCGCCCAACCCATGCTGCCCGCCTGACCCATGCTGCCCGCCCAACCCATGCTGCCCGCCCAACCCATGCTGCCGCCTCCCGACCCATGCTGCCCGCCCAACCCATGCTGCCCGCCCAACCCCTGCTGCCCGCCCAACCCCATGCTGCCCGCCCCAACCCATGCTGCCCGCCCAACCCATGCTGCCCGCCCGACCCCTGCTGCCCGCCCCGACCCATGCTGCCGCCCCGACCCATGCTGCCCGCCCAATCCATGCTGCCCGCCCAACCCATGCTGCCCGCCCGCCCCATGCTGCCCGCCCAACCCATGCTGCCCGCCCGACCCATGCTGCCCGCCCAACCCATGCTGCCCGCCAAACCCATGCTGCCCCGCCCAACCATGCTGCCGCCCCAATCCCATGCTGCCCGCCCAAACCCATGCTGCCCGCCCGACCCATGCTGCCCGCCCAACCCATGCTGCCCCCCAACCCCTGCTGCCCGCCCGAACCATGCTGCCCGCCCCGCCCATGCCCGCCCCAACCCATGCTGCCCGCCCAACCCATGCTGGCCCGCCCAACCCATGCTGCCCGCCCAACCCATGCTGCCCGCCCAACCCATGCTGCCCCGCCCCAACCATGCTGCCCGCCCGACCCATGCTGCCCGCCCAACCATGCTGCCCGCCCAACCCATGCTGCCCGCCCAACCCATGCTGCCCGCCCAACCCATGCTGCCCGCCCAAACCCATGCTGCCCGCCCAACCCATGCTGCCCGCCCAACCCATGCTGCCCGCCCAATCCCATGCTGCCCGGCCAACCCATGCTGCCCGCCCAACCCATGCTGCCCGCCCGACCCATGCTGCCCGCCCAACCCATGCTGCCCGCCCCGACCCATGCTGTCCGCCCGACCCATGCTGCCCGCCCAACCATGCTGGCCCCAACCCAGCGCCCGCCCAACCCATGCTGCCCGCCCAACCCAACCCATGCTGCCCGCCCAACCCCCAGCTGCCCGCCCAACCCATGCTGCCCGCCCAGACCCATGCTGCCCGCCAACCCATGCTGCCCCGCCCGACCCATGCTGCCCGCCCGACCCATGCTGCCCGCCCCAACCCATGCTGCCCGCCCAACCCATGCTGCCCGCCCAACCCATGCTGCCCGCCCAACCCATGCTGCCCGCCCAATCCCATGCTGCCCGCCCAACCCATGCTGCCCGCCCAACCCATGCTGCCCGCCCGACCCATGCTGCCCGCCCAACCCATGCTGCCCGCCCGAACCCATGCTGCCCGCCCGACCCATGCTGCCGCCACCCATGCTGCCCGCCCGACCCATGCTGCCCGCCCAACCCATGCTGCCCGCCCAACCCCATGCTGCCCGCCCAACCCATGCTGCCCGCCCAACCCATGCTGCCCGCCCAACCCATGCTGCCCGCCCAACCCATGCTGCCCGCCCCACCCATGCTGCCCGCCCAATCCATGCTGCCCTGCCCAACCCATGCTGCCCGCCCAACCCATGCTGCCCGCCCGACCCATGCTGCCCGCCCAACCCATGCTGCCCGCCCGGACCCATGCTGCCCGCCCGACCCATGCTGCCCGCCCAACCCATACTGCCCGCCCAACCCATGCTGCCCGCCCAACCCATGCTGCCCGCCCAACCCATGCTGCCCGCCCAACCCATGCTGCCCGCCCGACCCATGCTGCCCGCCCAACCCATGCTGCCGCCCGACCCATGCTGCCCGCCCAACCCATGCTGCCCGCCCCCAACCCATGCTGCCCTCCCAACCCATGCTGCCCGCCCAATCCATGCTGCCCGCCCAACCCATGCTGCCCGCCCGACCCATGCTGCCCGCCCAACCCATGCTGCCCGCCCAACCCATGCTGCCCGCCCCCAACCCATGCTGCCCGCCCAATCCATGCTGCCGCCCAACCCATGCTGCCCGCCCGACCCATGCTGCCCGCCCAACCCATGCTGCCCGCCCAACCCATGCTGCCCGCCCGACCCATGCTGCTCGCCCAACCCATGCTGCCCGCCCAACCCATGCTGCCCGCCCAACCCATGCTGCCCGCCCAACCCATGCTGCCCGCCCAACCCATGCTGCCCGCCCAACCCATGCTGCCCGCCCGACCCATGCTGCCCGCCCAACCCATGCTGCCCGCCCAACCCATGCTGCCCGCCCGACCCATGCTGCCCGCCCAACCCATGCTGCCCGCCCAACCCATGCTGCAGCCCAACCCATGCTGCCCGCCCAACCCATGCTGCCCGCCCAACCCATGCTGCCCGCCCGACCCATGCTGCCCGCCCGACCCATGCTGCCCGCCCGACCCATGCTGCCGCCCAATCCATGCTGCCCGCCCAACCCATGCTGCCCGCCCGACCCATGCTGCCCGCCCAACCATGCTGCCCGCCCGACCCATGCTGCCCGCCCAACCCATGCTGCCCGCCCAACCCATGCTGCCCGCCCAACCCATGCTGCCCGCCCAACCATGCTGCCCGCCCAACCCATGCTGCCCGCCCGACCCATGCTGCCCGCCCAACCCATGCTGCCCGCCCAACCCATGCTGCCCGCCCGACCCATGCTGCCCGCCCAACCCATGCTGCCCGCCCAACCCATGCTGCCCGCCCAACCCATGCTGCCGCCCAACCCATGCTGCCCGCCCAACCCATGCTGCCCGCCCGACCATGCTGCCCGCCCAACCCATGCTGCCCTCCCGCCCAACCCATGCTGCCCGCCCAACCCATGCTGCCCGCCCAACCCATGCTGCCCGCCCAACCCATGCTGCCCGCCCAACCCATGCTGCCCGCCCAACCCATGCTGCCCGCCCGACCCATGCTGCCCGCCCAACCCATGCTGCCCGCCCAACCCATGCTGCCCGCCCAACCCATGCTGCCCGCCCAACCCATGCTGCCCGCCCAATCCATGCTGCCCGCCCAACCCATGCTGCCCGCCCAACCCATGCTGCCCGCCCGACCCATGCTGCCCGCCCAACCCATGCTGCCCGCCCGACCCATGCTGCCCGCCCGACCCATGCTGCCCGCCCAACCCATGCTGCCCGCCCAACCCATGCTGCCCGCCCAACCCATGCTGCCCGCCCAACCCATGCTGCCCGCCCAACCCATGCTGCCCGCCCGACCCATGCTGCCCGCCCAACCCATGCTGCCCGCCCCGAACCCATGCTGCCCGCCCAACCCATGCTGCCCGCCCAACCCATGCTGCCCGCCCCGACCCATGCTGCCTGCCCAACCCATAGCTGCCCGCCCCAACCCATTTGCCTGCCCGCCCCCAACCCATGTGCCCGCCCCAACCCATGCTGCCCGCCCGACCCATGCTGCCCGCCCAACCCATGCTGCCCGCCCGACCCATGCTGCCCGCCCCAACCCATGCTGCCCGCCCAACCCATTGCTGCCCGCCCAACCCATGCTGCCCGCCCAATCCATGCTGCCCGCCCAACCATGCTGCCCGCCGACCCATGTCTGCCCGCCCAACCCATGCTGCCCGCCCAACCCATGCTGCCCGCCCGACCCATGCTGCCCGCCCCAACCCATGCTGCCCCGCCCAACCCATGCTGCCCGCCCAACCCCATGCTGCTCCGCCCAACCCATGCTGCCCGCCCAACCCATGCTGCCCCCGCCCCCGACCCATGCTGCCCGCCCAACCCATGCTGCCCGCCCAACCCATGCTGCCCGCCCAACCCATGCTACCCGCCCAACCCATGCTGCCCACCCAACCCATGCTGCCCGCCCAACCCATGCTGCCCGCCCGACCCATGCTGCCCGCCCGACTCATGCTGCCCGCCCGACCCATGCTGCCCGCCCAACCCATGCTGCCCGCCCAATCCATGCTGCCCGCCCAACCCATGCTGCCCGCCCGACCCATGCTGCCCGCCCAACCCATGCTGCCCGCCCAACCCATGCTGCCCGCCCGACCCATGCTGCCCGCCCAACCCATGCTGCCCGCCCAACCCATGCTGCCCGCCCAACCCATGCTGCCCGCCCAACCCATGCTGCCCGCCCAACCCATGCTGCCCGCCCGACCCATGCTGCCCGCCCAACCCATGCTGCCCGCCCAACCCATGCTGCCCGCCCAACCCATGCTGCCCGCCCAACCCATGCTGCCCGCCCAACCCATGCTGCCCGCCCAACCCATGCTGCCCGCCCAACCCATGCTGCCCGCCCGACCCATGCTGCCCGCCCAACCCATGTGCCCGCCATAACCATGCTGCCCGACCCCCAACCCATGTGCCGCCCAACCCATGCTGCCCGCCCAATCCATGCTGCCGCCCAACCATGCTGCCCGCCAACCCATGCTGCCCGCCGACCCATGCTGCCCGCCCCAACCCATGCTGCCGCCCGACCCATGCTGCCCGCCCGACCCATGCTGCCCGCCCAACCCAACTGCTGCCGCCCAACCCATGCCTGCCCGCCCGACCCATGCTGCCCGCCCCCAACCCCATGCTGCCCGCCCAACCCCATGCTGCCCGCCCAACCATGCTGCCCGCCCCAACCCATGCTGCCCGCCCGAACCCATGCTGCCCGCCTCAACCCATGCTGCCCGCCCAACCCATGCTGCCCGCCCGACCCATGCTGCCCGCCAACCCATGCTGCCCGCCCAACCCATGCTGCCCGCCCACCCATGCTGCCCGCCCAACCCATGCTGCCCGCCCAACCCATGCTGCCCGCCCAACCCATGCTGCCCGCCCAACCCATGCTGCCCGCCCAACCCATGCTGCCCGCCCAACCCATGCTGCCCACCCAACCCATGCTGCCCGCCCAACCCATGCTGCCCGCCCAACCCATGCTGCCCGCCCAACCCATGCTGCCCGCCCAACCCATGCTGCCCGCCCAACCCATGCTGCCCGCCCAACCCATGCTGCCCGCCCAACCCATGCTGCCCGCCCAATCCATGCTGCCCGCCCAACCCATGCTGCCCGCCCAACCCATGCTGCCCGCCCGACCCATGCTGCCCGCCCAACCCATGCTGCCCGCCCGCCCCGACCCATGCTGCCCGCCCGACCCATGCTGCCCGCCCAACCCATGCTGCCCGCCCAACCCATGCTGCCCGCCCAACCCATGCTGCCCGCCCAACCCATGCTGCCCGCCCAACCCATGCTGCCCGCCCGACCCATGCTGCCCGCCCAACCCATGCTGCCCGCCCGACCCATGCTGCCCGCCCAACCCATGCTGCCCGCCCAACCCATGCTGCCCGCCCGACCCATGCTGCCCGCCCAACCCATGCTGCCCGCCCAACCCATGCTGCCCGCCCAACCCATGCTACCCGCCCAACCCATGCTGCCCACCCAACCCATGCTGCCCGCCCAACCCATGCTGCCCGCCCGACCCATGCTGCCCGCCCGACTCATGCTGCCCGCCCGACCCATGCTGCCCGCCCCAACCCATGCTGCCCGCCCAACCCATGCTGCCCGCCCGACCCATGCTGCCCGCCCAACCCATGCTGCCCGCCCAACCCATGCTGCCCGCCCAACCCATGCTGCCCGCCCAACCCATGCTGCCCGCCCAACCCATGCTGCCCGCCCAACCCATGCTGCCCGCCCAACCCATGCTGCCCGCCCAACCCATGCTGCCCGCCCAACCCATGCTGCCCGCCCAACCCATGCTGCCCGCCCAATCCATGCTGCCCGCCCAACCCATGCTGCCCGCCCGACCCATGCTGCCCGCCCAACCCATGCTGCCCGCCCGACCCATGCTGCCCGCCCGACCCATGCTGCCCGCCCAACCCATGCTGCCCGCCCAACCCATGCTGCCCGCCCAACCCATGCTGCCCGCCCAAACCATGCTGCCCGCCCAACCCATGCTGCCCGCCCAACCCATGCTGCCCGCCCGACCCATGCTGCCCGCCCAACCCATGCTGCCCGCCCAACCCATGCTACCCGCCCAACCCATGCTGCCCGCCCAACCCATGCTGCCCGCCCAACCCATGCTGCCCGCCCAACCCATGCTGCCCGCCCAACCCATGCTGCCCGCCCACCCAACCCATGCTGCCCGCCCGACCCATGCTGCCCGCCCAACCCATGCTGCCCCGCCCAACCCATGCTGCCCGCCCAACCCATGCTGCCCGCCCAACCCATGCTGCCCGCCCGACCCATGCTGCCCGCCCGACCCATGCTGCCCGCCCGACCCATGCTGCCCGCCCAATCCATGCTGTGCCCGCCCAACCCATGCTGCCCGCCCGACCCATGCTGCCCGCCCAACCCATGCTGCCCGCCCGACCCATGCTGCCCGCCCAACCCATGCTGCCCGCCCAACCCATGCTGCCCGCCCAACCCATGCTGCCCGCCCAATCCATGCTGCCCGCCCAACCCATGCTGCCCGCCCGACCCATGCTGCCCGCCCAACCCATGCTGCCCGCCCAACCCATGCTGCCCGCCCGACCCATGCTGCCCGCCCAACCCATGCTGCCCGCCCAACCCATGCTGCCCGCCCAACCCATGCTGCCCGCCCAACCCATGCTGCCCGCCCAACCCATGCTGCCCGCCCGACCCATGCTGCCCGCCCAACCCATGCTGCCCGCCCAACCCATGCTGCCGCCCCAACCCATGCTGCCCGCCCAACCCATGCTGCCCGCCCAACCCATGCTGCCCGCCCAACCCATGCTGCCCGCCCAACCCATGCTGCCCGCCCGACCCATGCTGCCCGCCCAACCCATGCTGCCCGCCCAACCCATGCTGCCCGCCCAACCCATGCTGCCCGCCCAACCCATGCTGCCCGCCCAATCCATGCTGCCCGCCCAACCCATGCTGCCCGCCCAACCCATGCTGCCCGCCCGACCCATGCTGCCCGCCCAACCCATGCTGCCCGCGCCCGACCCATGCTGCCCGCCCGACCCACCCATGCTGCCCGCCCAACCCATGCTGCCCGCCCAACCCATGCTGCCCGCCCAACCCATGCTGCCCGCCCAACCCATGCTGCCCGCCCAACCCATGCTGCCCGCCCGACCCATGCTGCCCGCCCAACCCATGCTGCCCGCCCCCGACCCATGCTGCCCGCCCAACCCATGCTGCCCGCCCAACCCATGCTGCCCGCCCGACCCATGCTGCCCGCCCAACCCATGCTGCCCGCCCAACCCATGCTGCCCGCCCAACCCATGCTGCCCGCCCAACCCATGCTGCCCGCCCAACCCATGCTGCCCGCCCAACCCATGCTGCCCGCCCAACCCATGCTGCCCGCCCAACCCATGCTGCCCGCCCAACCCATGCTGCCCGCCCAACCCATGCTGCCCGCCCAACCCATGCTGCCCGCCCAACCCATGCTGCCCGCCCAACCCATGCTGCCCGCCCAACCCATGCTGCCCGCCCAACCCATGCTGCCCGCCCAATCCATGCTGCCCGCCCAACCCATGCTGCCCGCCCAACCCATGCTGCCCGCCCGACCCATGCTGCCCGCCCAACCCATGCTGCCCGCCCGACCCATGCTGCCCGCCCGACCCATGCTGCCCGCCCAACCCATACTGCCCGCCCGACCCATGCTGCCCGCCCACCCATGCTGCCCGCCCAACCCATGCTGCCCGCCCAACCCATGCTGCCCGCCCGACCCATGCTGCCCGCCCAACCCATGCTGCCCGCCCGACCCATGCTGCCCGCCCCACCCATGCTGCCCGCCCAACCCATGCTGCCCGCCCGACCCATGCTGCCCGCCCAACCCATGCTGCCCGCCCAACCCATGCTGCCCGCCCAACCCATGCTACCCGCCCAACCCATGCTGCCCACCCAACCCATGCTGCCCGCCCAACCCATGCTGCCCGCCCGACCCATGCTGCCCGCCCGACTCATGCTGCCCGCCCGACCCATGCTGCCCGCCCAACCCATGCTGCCCGCCCAACCCATGCTGCCCGCCCGACCCATGCTGCCCGCCCAACCCATGCTGCCCGCCCAACCCATGCTGCCCGCCCAACCCATGCTGCCCGCCCAACCCATGCTGCCCGCCCAACCCATGCTGCCCGCCCAACCCATGCTGCCCGCCCAACCCATGCTGCCCGCCCAACCCATGCTGCCCGCCCAACCCATGCTGCCCGCCCAACCCATGCTGCCCGCCCAATCCATGCTGCCCGCCCAACCCATGCTGCCCGCCCGACCCATGCTGCCCGCCCAACCCATGCTGCCCGCCCGACCCATGCTGCCCGCCCGACCCATGCTGCCCGCCCAACCCATGCTGCCCGCCCAACCCATGCTGCCCGCCCAACCCATGCTGCCCGCCCAACCCATGCTGCCGCCCAACCCATGCTGCCGCCCAACCCAACCATGCTGCCCGCCCGACCCATGCTGCCCGCCCAACCCATGCTGCCCGCCCAACCCATGCTACCCGCCCAACCCATGCTGCCCGCCCAACCCATGCTGCCCGCCCAAATGCTGCCCGCCCAACCCATGCTGCCCGCCAACCCATGCTGCTGCCCGCCCAACCCATGCTGCCCGCCCAACCCATGCTGCCCGCCCAACCCATGCTGCCCGCCCAACCCATGCTGCCCGCCCAACCCATGCTGCCCGCCCAATCCATGCTGCCCGCCCAACCCATGCTGCCCGCCCGACCCATGCTGCCCGCCCAACCCATGCTGCCCGCCCGACCCATGCTGCCCGCCCGACCCATGCTGCCCGCCCAACCCATGCTGCCCGCCCAACCCATGCTGCCCGCCCAACCCATGCTGCCCGCCCAACCCATGCTGCCCGCCCGACCCATGCTGCCCGCCCAACCCATGCTGCCCGCCCAACCCATGCTGCCCGCCCAACCCATGCTGCCCGCCCAACCCATGCTGCCCCGCCAACCCATGCTGCCCGCCCAACCCTGCTGCCCGACCAAACCCATCGCTGCCCGCCCAACCCATGCTGCGGCCGCCCAACCCATGCTGCCCGCCCAAACCCATGCTGCCCGCCCAACCCATGCTGCCCGCCCAACCCATGCTGCCCGCCCAACCCATGCTGCCCGCCCAACCCATGCTGCCCGCCCAACCCATGCTGCCCGCCCAATCCATGCTGCCCGCCAACCCATGCTGCCGCCCAACCCATGCTGCCCGCCCGACCCATGCTGCCCGCCCAACCCATGCTGCCCGCCCGACCCATGCTGCACTCGCCCGACCCATGCTGCCCGCCAACCCATTACTGCCCGCCCGACCCATGCTGCCCGCAACCCATGCTGCCCGCCCAACCCATGCTGTCCGCCCAACCTGCTGCCCGCCCGACCCATGCTGCCCGCCCAACCCATGCTGCCCGCCCGACCCATGGCTGCCCGCCCAACCCATGCTGCCCGCCCAACCCATGCTGCCCGCCCGACCCATGCTGCCACGCCCAACCCATGCTGCCCGCCAAACCCATGCTGCCCGCCCAACCCATGCTACCCGCCCAACCCATGCTGCCCACCCAACCCATGCTGCCCGCCAACCCATGCTGCCCGCCCGACCCATGCTGCCCGCCCGACTCATGCTGCCCGCCCGACCCATGCTGCCCGCCCAACCCATGCTGCCACGCCCAACCCATGCTGCCCGCCCGACCCATGCTGCCGCCCAACCCATGCTGCCCGCCCAACCCATGCTGCCCGCCCAACCCATGCTGCCCGCCCGAACCCATGACTGCCCGCCCAACCATGCTGCCCGCCCAACCCATGCTGCCCGCCCAACCCGATGCTGCCCCCCAACCCATGCTGCCCGCCCAACCCATGCTGCCCGCCCAACCCATGCTGCCCGCCCAATCCATGCTGCCCGCCCAACCCATGCTGCGCCCGCCGACCCATGCTGCCCGCCCGACCCATGCTGCCCGCCCGACCCATGCTGCCCGCCCGACCCATGCTGCCCGCCCAACCCATGCTGCCCGCCCAACCCATGCTGCCCGCCCAACCCATGCTGCCCGCCCAACCCATGCTGCCCGCCCAACCCATGCTGCCCGCCCAACCCATGCTGCCCGCCCGACCCATGCTGCCCGCCCAACCCATGCTGCCCGCCCAACCCATGCTACCCGCCCAACCCATGCTGCCCGCCCAACCCATGCTGCCCGCCCAACCCATGCTGCCCGCCCAACCCATGCTGCCCGCCCCAACCCATGCTGCCCGCCCAACCCATGCTGCCCGCCCGACCCATGCTGCCCGCCCAACCCATGCTGCCCGCCCAACCCATGCTGCCCGCCCAACCCATGCTGCCGCCCAACCCATGCTGCCCGCCCAACCCATGCTGCCCGCCCAACCCATGCTGCCCGCCCCAACCCATGCTGCCCGCCCAATCCATGCTGCCCGCCCAACCCATGCTGCCCGCCCAACCCATGCTGCCCGCCCAACCCATGCTGCCCGCCCGACCCATGCTGCCCGCCCAACCCATGCTGCCCGCCCGACCCATGCTGCCCGCCCGACCCATGCTGCCCGCCCGACCCATGCTGCCCGCCGACCCATGCTGCCCGCCCAACCCATGCTGCCCGCCCAACCCATGCTGCCCGCCCAACCCATGCTGCCCGCCCAACCCATGCTGCCCGCCCAATCCATGCTGCCCGCCCAACCCATGCTGCCCGCCCAACCCATGCTGCCCGCCCGACCCATGCTGCCCCGCCCTACCCATGCTGCCCGCCCGACCCATGCTGCCCGCCCGACCCATGCTGCCCGCCCAACCCATGCTGCCCGCCCAACCCATGCTGCCCGCCCAACCCATGCTGCCCGCCCAACCCATGCTGCCCGCCCGACCCATGCTGCCCGCCCGACCCATGCTGCCCGCCCAATCCATGCTGCCCGCCCAACCCATGCTGCCCGCCCAACCCATGCTGCCCGCCCGACCCATGCTGCCCGCCCGACCCATGCTGCCCGCCTGACCCATGCTGCCCGCCCGACCCATGTTGCCCGCCCGACCCATGCTGCCCGCCCAACCCATGCTGCGCGCCCAACCCATGCTGCCCGCCCAACCCATGCTGCCCGCCCAACCCATGCTGCCCGCCCGACCCATGCTGCCCGCCCAACCCATGCTGCCCGCCCGACCCATGCTGCCCGCCCGACCCATGCTGCCCGCCCAACCCATGCTGCCCGCCCAACCCATTGCTCATGCTGCCCCAACCCATGCTGCCCGCCATCCCATGCTGCCCGCCCAACCCATGCTGCCCGCCCAACCCATGCTGCCCGCCCAACCCATGCTGCCCGCCCAACCCATGCTGCCCGCCCGACCCATGCTGCCCGCCCGACTCATGCTGCCCACGCCCGACCCCATGCTGCCCGCCCAATCCATGCTTGCCCGCCCAACCCATGCTGCCCGCCCCACCCATGCTGCCCGCCCGACCCCTGCTGCCCGCCCGACCCTGCTGCCCCGCCCTACCCATGCTGCCCGCCCGACCCATGCTTGCCCGCCCAACCCATGCTGCCCGCCCAACCCATGCTTGCCCCGCCCAACCCATGCTGTCCCCGCCCAACCCATGCTGCCCGCCCAACCCATGCTGCCCGCCCAACCCATGCTGCCCGCCCAACCCATGCTGCCCGCCCAACCCATGCTGCCCGCCCCAACCCATGCTGCCCGCCCAACCCATGCTGCTCCGCCCAACCCATGCTGCCCGCCCAACCCATGCTGCCCCCCAACCCATGCTGCCCGCCAACCCATGCTGCCCGCCCAACCCATGCTGCCCGCCCAATCCATGCTGCACGCCCAACCCATTGCTGCCCGCCCGACCCATGCTGCCGCCGCCCCGAACCCACTGCTTGCCCGCCGACCCATGCTGCCCGCCCGACCCCATGCTAGCCCGCCCGACCCATGCTGCCCCGCCCGACCCATGCTGCCGCCCGACCCATGCTGCCCCGCCCGGACCCTGCCTGCCCGCCCGACCCATGCTGCCCGCCCGACCCATGCTGCCGCCACACCCATGCTGCCCGCCCAACCCATGCTGCCCGCCCAACCCATGCTGCCCGCCCAACCCTGCCTGCCCGCGCCAACCCATGCTGCCCGCCCAACCATGCTGCCCGCGACGACCATGCTGCCCGCCGCCCAACCCATGCTGCCCGCCCGACCCATGCTGCCCGCCCGACCCATGCTGCCCCGCCCGACCCATGCTGCCCGCCCAACCCATGCTGCCCGCCCAACCCATGCTGCCCGCCCAACCCATGCTGCCCGCCCCAACCCATGCTGCCCGCCCGACCCATGCTGCCCGCCCAGACCCATGCTGCCCGCCCCGACCCTGCTGCCCGCCCCACCCATGCTGCCCGCCCAACCCATGCTGCCCGCCCAACCCATGCTGCCCGCCCGACCCATGCTGCCCGCCGACCCATGCTGCCCGCCCAACCCATGCTGCCCGCCCAACCCATGCTGCCCGCCCAACCCATGCTGCCCGCCCAACCCATACTGCCCGCCCAACCCATGCTGCCCGCCCAACCCATGCTGCCCGCCCAACCCATGCTGCCCGCCCAACCCATGCTGCCCGCCCCAACCCATGCTGCCCGCCCGACCCATGCTGCCCGCCCGACCCATGCTGCCCGCCCGACCCATGCTGCCCGCCCGACCCATGCTGCCCGCCCAATCCATGCTGCCCGCCCAACCCATGCTGCCCGCCCCACCCATGCTGCCCGCCCGACCCATGCTGCCCGCCCGACCCATGCTGCCCGCCCGACCCATGCTGCCCGCCCAACCCATGCTGCCCGCCCAACCCATGCTGCCCGCCCAACCCATGCTGCCCGCCCAACCCATGCTGCCCGCCCAACCCATGCTGCCGCCCAACCCATGCTGCCCGCCCAACCCATGCTGCCCGCCCAACCCATGCTGCCCGCCCAACCCATGCTGCCCGCCCTACCCATGCTGCCCGCCCAACCCATGCTGCCCGCCCGACCCATGCTGCGCGCCCAACCCATGCTGCCCGCCCAACCCATGCTGCCCGCCCAACCCATGCTGCCCCGCCCAACCCATGCTGCCCGCCCGACCCATGCTGCCCGCCCAACCCATGCTGCCCGCCCGACCCATGCTGCCACGCCCGACCCATGCTGCCCGCCCGACCCATGCTGCGCGCCCAACCCATGCTGCCCGCCCAACCCATGCTGCCCGCCCAACCCATGCTGCCCGCCCAACCCATGCTGCCCGCCCGACCCATGCTGCCCGCCCAACCCATGCTGCCCGCCCGACCCATGCTGCCCGCCCGACCCATGCTGCCCGACCAACCCATGCTGCCCGCCCAACCCATGCTGCCCGCCCAACCCATGCTGCCCGCCCAACCCATGCTGCCCGCCCGACCCATGCTGCCCGCCCTACCCATGCTGCCCGCCGACCCATGCTACCCGCCCAACCCATGCTGCCCGCCCAACCCATGCTGCCCGCCCAACCCATGCTGCCCGCCCAACCCATGCTGCCCGCCCAACCCATGCTGCCCGCCCAACCCATGCTGCCCGCCCAACCCATGCTGCCCGCCCGACCCATGCTGCCCGCCCAACCCATGCTGCCCGCCCAACCCATGCTGCCCGCCCAACCCATGCTGCCCGCCCAACCCATGCTGCCCGCCCGACCCATGCTGCCCGCCCAACCCATGCTGCCCGCCCGACCCATGCTGCCCGCCCAACCCATGCTGCCCGCCCAACCCATGCTGCCCGCCCAACCCATGCTGCCCGCCCAACCCATGCTGCCCGCCCAACCCATGCTGCCCGCCCAACCCATGCTGCCCGCCCAATCCATGCTGCCCGCCCAACTCATGCTGCCCGCCCAACCCATGCTGCCCGCCCGACCCATGCTGCCCGCCCTACCCATGCTGCCCGCCCGACCCATGCTGCCCGCCCGACCCATGCTGCCCGCCCAACCCATGCTGCCCGCCCAACCCATGCTGCCCGCCCAACCCATGCTGCCCGCCCCAACCCATGCTGCCCGCCCGACCCATGCTGCCCGCCCAACCCATGCTGCCCGCCCAACCCATGCTGCCCGCCCAACCCATGCTGCCCGCCCGACCCATGCTGCCCGCCCAACCCATGCTGCCCGCCCAACCCATGCTGCCCGCCCGACCCATGCTGCCCGCCCGACCCATGCTGCCCGCCCAACCCATGCTGCCCGCCCAACCCATGCTGCCCGCCCAACCCATGCTGCCCGCCCAACCCATGCTGCCCGCCCAACCATGCTGCCCGCCCAATCCATGCTGCCCGCCCAACCCATGCTGCCCGCCCAACCCATGCTGCCCGCCCGACCCATGCTGCCCGCCCAACCCATGCTGCCCGCCCGACCCATGCTGCCCGCCCAACCCATGCTGCCCGCCCAACCCATGCTGCCCGCCCAACCCATGCTGCCCCGCCCAACCCATGCTGCCCGCCCAACCCATGCTGCCCGCCCAACCCATGCTGCCCGCCCCACCCATGCTGCCCGCCCGACCCATGCTGCCCGCCCGACTCATGCTGCCCGCCCGACCCATGCTGCCCGCCCAATCCATGCTGCCCGCCCAACCCATGCTGCCCGCCCCACCCATGCTGCCCGCCCGACCCATGCTGCCCGCCCAACCCATGCTGCCCGCCCGACCCATGCTGCCCGCCCGAGGCATGGCCTCCCGTGTCCTTGTCTCTGGTCTTCCCCGGTCCCTCCCTCCCCTTCCTCCGGGGCCTGGCCCTACCTGCGTCCCCTGTGTCGAGGGGCGGCAGCAGGCTGCCCCTCACTCCTCCCAGTTTCCTCCGACAGAGGCCCCGCTGCAGACGCTTCACATGGACGTGTGGGGCCCGGCCCGCGTCCGTGGACAGGGTCACGAGCGCTACTTCCTGCTGGTGGTTGACGACTACTCGCGTTACACCACAGTCTTCCCCTTGCGCAGCAAGGGGGATGTCACTGAGGTGTTGATCGACTGGATCCGCGCAGCTCGTCTCCAGCTCAGGCAGAGCTTCGGTTCGGACTTTCCTGTTCTGCGTCTGCACTCTGACAGAGGTGGAGAGTTCTCCTCTGGCCTTCTGCGAGCCTACTGTCGAGCACGAGGCATCCGCCAGACCTTCACGCTTCCGGACTCTCCACAGAAAAATGGGATTGCTGAGCGCCGCATTGGCATAGTCATGGACGTCGCCCGTACGTCCATGATGCATGCGGCTGCCCCCCATTTTCTGTGGCCGTTTGCGGTTCGGTACGCGGCGCATCAGATCAACCTTCACCCTAGGGTCTCCAGACCGGAGACCTCCCCTGCTTTGCTGTGGACGGGGAAGGTTGGCGATGCGTCTGCGTTCCGTGTCTGGGGATCTCGGGCGTTTGTCCGCGACTTGTCTGCGGACAAGCTGTCCCCTCGTGCTGCTCCTTGCGTCTTCCTTGGCTTCCCCCCTGACGCGCCAGGGTGGCAGTTCTACCACCCCACCTCTCGCCGTGTTGTGTCCTCCCAGGACGTCACGTTTGACGAGTCGGTCCCCTACTACCGCCTCTTCCCCTACCGCACTCCGTCCCTCCCCCCACCACCGCTCTTCCTTGTGCCAGGTCCCCCCCCAGTAGACCCCCTCCCCCCTCAGGGTCCTGCCCCTTCAGGTGTGTCCCAGGTAGACGCAGTCGAGCCTGTCGAGGTTACTGGTGACTCTGGTGCTGCTGAGGGTGCTGAGCCTGGGGGTGCTGACTCTGGGGGTGCTGAGCGTGTGGGTGCTACGTCTGGGGGTGCTGAGCCTGAGGGTGCTACTACTGGGGGTGCTGAGCCTGGGGGTGCTGAGCCTGGAGGTGCTACTACTGGGGGTCCTGAGCCTGGGGGTGCTGAGCCTGGGGGTGCTGAGCCTGGGGGTGCTACGCCTGGAGGTGCTGGGCCTGGGGGTGTGGAGCCTGAGGGAGCTGGGCCTGCTTGTGTGGCGTCTGGCGGTGCTGAGCCTGGAGGTTCTCCGGGTGCTTCGTCTCGGCGGGAGCCACTCTCTCCACAGGAGCTGCGCGAGTGGTTTGCCCGGCGCTGGAGGCGTGCTGCTGGAGCTGGAGGTTCTTCGGCTACTGAGGGTGCTGGTGCCGCGGGTCCCGGAGGTGCTCGTACTGGGAGTACTGGAGCTGCTGGGCCTGCGGGTACGACTGGAGCTGGAGCTGCTGAGGGTGTTGACGCTGAGGCTACTGCTGTCGGTCCTGGAGGCGGGCCTGCTGGGGGTGCTACTGGTGCTGCTGGAGGTACTGGAGCTGGAGTTGCTGCTGGCGCTGGTGCTGCCGCTTGGGGTACTGGTATTGTCCCTGCTGTGTCTGGAGTCGCCGCGCGGCCTCGGCCGTACTTCGTTCCGCTCCTTCAGCAGGTTCTTGGTCTCCCGCCTTCTACTGGCCCTCCTCCTCCCTTAGAGAGTCCACAGCTTGTCCTGTCACAGTTACAGTTACAGCCGGCCTCCCCACTGCCCGCTCCTTCTCCCTACACTGGTCCTACTGGAGGTCTTGCTGAGCGTCGTGAGCCTGCGTCGCGTCCTGCGTCGCCTGTCCGTACTGCTCGCGCTAGTGGTCGTGGTTCGCGTCAGCGTCCTCCTCCTGTCCCTGGCACGCACCGGATGTCTCTGCGTCCGTCCACTGCTCCTCTGCGTGCCCCTTTGCCTTCTCCTCCTGAGTCCTCTCTTCCTGCTCTTCCCGACCCAGAGTCGGACTCTCTTCGTGCTGCCAGTCCTACTGTCACGCGTCTCCTTGCTACTGTCGTCACTGACCCTTCCTTTGCGTCCACTGCTGCGTCTGCCCTAGTTGCTGAGCTCGTCGACTTTGCTGCTCGCTGTCGTCTAGACTACGCTGCTTGTCTTGTCGCTGAGTCTGAGTCTGTCTGTCCTCCGTCCGTCGGGGGTGAGTGTGCCCTTGGCACGGACGTCCTTGAGGACAGGCAGGAGGAGTTCCAGTGTTTGGCTGCTGCTTCACCTCATCTCGTGTCCGTACTGCTTACCCCTGAGGGAGACCCGGATGCACTTGACATCCCGACTCCGCGCTCTTACGCGGAGGCGATAGAGGGTCCCTAATCCTCTCAGTGGCAGGCAGCTATGGACACAGAGATGGCTTCCTGGAAGTCCACAGGTACCTACGTTGACGAGGTTCCCCCGCCTGGGGCGAACATCGTCAGTGGCATGTGGATTTTCAGGGTGAAGCGGCCGCCGGGTTCTCCGCCTGTCTTCAAGGCGCGTTACGTGGCTCGTGGCTTCAGTCAGCGGCAGGGAGTTGACTACTTTCAGACCTTCTCTCCCACCCCGAAGATGACCACTCTTCGGGTACTGCTGCACATAGCTGCTCACCGCGACTACGAGCTGCACTCTCTTGACTTCAGCACTGCTTTCTTGCAGGGCAGCCTGCACGAGGAGATCTGGCTGCGTCGCCCACCTGGCTTCACTGGGTCTTTTCCTCCTGGCACCCAGTGGAGCCTCCGGCGGCCAGTCTACGGTCTCCGCCAGGCACCGCGTGAGTGGCACGACACACTGAGGACTACACTTGCGGCTCTTGGGTTTGCTCCCTCTACTGCCGACCCGTCGCTGTTTCTGCGCACCGACACTTCTTTGCCGCCGTTCTACATCCTCGTGTACGTCGACGACTTGGTCTTTGCCACAGCTGACACTGCTGGACTCGCCCACGTGAAGTCCGAGCTGCAGAAGAGACACACGTGCACAGACCTGGGTGAACTGCGCAGCTACCTTGGCTTGCAGATCACCCGGGACAGAGCACGCCGCACCATTACCCTGACTCAGTCACACATGGTGCAGCAGGTCCTTCAGCGCTTCGGCTTCACGTACTCCTCGCCTCAGGCCACTCCTCTGCCTACTCGCCACTCGCTCTCAGCTCTGCCTTCGGATGAGTCCGTAGAGTCGAGTGGCCCGTACCCAGAGCTTGTTGGCTGCCTCATGTACCTGATGACCTGCACACGACCTGACCTCGCATACCCTCTTAGCATTCTCGCACGCTATGTTGCTCCTGGGAGACACAGACCGGAGCACATGGCTGCAGCGAAGAGGGTGTTGCGTTACTTGTGCAGTACGTCGGGCATGGGGCTTGTGCTTGGAGGGCAGAGTCCAGTGGTCCTCACTGGGCACGCAGACGCTTCTTAGGATGACGACCAGGCTACGCAGCGGTCGTCACAGGGTTACACCTTCAGCCTTGGTTCCGGCTCTGTTTCGTGGCGGGCTACCCGCTCGTCTTCTGTTCTCGGCTCCAGTTGTGAGGCTGAGATCTACGCCGGGGCCATGGCTGCACAGGAGCTTCGCTGGCTCACCTACCTGCTGACCGACCTCGGAGAGCCGCCTCGTTCTCCTCCAGTGCTGTACGTAGACAACAAGGCCATGCTGGCCTTGTGTCGAGAGCAGAGACTGGAGCACAGAACGAAGCACATTGCTCTCCGCTACTTCCTTGCTCGTGAGCTACAGCAGCGTGGTCAGCTGCGGCTTGCGTACGTGGCCTCTCAGGCCAACACTGCTGATATCTTCACCAAGGCACTTGCGCCTTGTGATCATCAGCGCTTCTGTACTCAGCTGGGTCTTGTGCCCACCTTGCCTCACTTGCTCACCCCTTGACCTTGTTTGTACTGATGCATATATATATATACTCCTGCTCTTGCTTGTCTAGCCTTATATATATATGTAATCCTGCATGTGAACTGGCCTTGTGGCCTTGAACTTGTGCTCGGAATGTGTGGTGACTTTGTGATCCACCCTGAGCTTGTTTTGCTTTGCTTGACTGGTCCCGTGACCCCTTGTTCTCCCCCACTTTGCCTATGGGGGTGTGTCAGATTTATATGACATAGCTACTGTAGGCTATAGTGGGGTGGCACATATGGGGTACAGTTTTCTAGGGTTTGCTTTTTGTACCCAACTTTCACTTAGTCATTTCATTCCTCGTTTCTTCTCATGGTATCGAGCAGGTTCCCTAGTGGGAACGATTCCTAGGGCCCACCACCACGAAATTATTTTTTTTCCTGCCCGGAGCGCGTTTTGCTCCGGCCCGAGTCGCGCCGCCCCTACGGCCCTTCGCGCCGCCCTTTAGGCCCGTCGTGCCCGTCGCGCCCGTCGCGCCCATCGCCACCTTACGCGGCCCCGCCACCTACCTTCGCGGCCCCGCCACCTACCTGTGCGGCCCCGCCGCCTACCTTCGCGGCCCCGCCACCTAACTGTGCGGCCCCGCCACCTACCTCCGCGGCCCCGCCACCTACCTGTGCGGCCCCGCCACCTACCTTCGCGGCCCCGCCACCTACCTGTGCGGCCCCGCCACCTACCTCCGCGGCCCCGCCACCTACCTGTGCGGCCCCGCCACCTACCTTCGCGGCCCCGCCACCTCACTGTGCGGCCCCGCCACCTACCTCCGCGGCCCCGCCACCTACCTGTGTGGCCCCGCCACCTACCTCCGCGGCCCCGCCACTTGCCTGTGCGGCCCCGCCATCTACCAGCGGCCCCGCCACCTACATGCGGCCCCGCCACCTACTAGCGGCCCCGCCACCTACCTGCGGCCCCGCCACCTACCTCAGCGGCCCCGCCGCCTCCTCCCAGCGGCCCCGGACGCCGCCCTCTCAGCGGCCCCGCCGAGCCGCCCAGCAGCCAAGCCGCCCAGCCGCCGAGCCGCCCAGCAGCCGAGCCGCCCAGCAGCCGAGCCGCCCAGCAGCCGAGCCGCCGAGCCGCCCAGCAGCCGAGCCGCCGAGCCGCCCAGCAACCGAGCCGCCGAGCCGCCCTACAGCCGAGCCACCCGAGCCGCCCTGTCCGGTAAGAGCAGCGCCCCTTTCACAGCACTGCCCTCACCCTACTGTTTGCGCTGCTAGTCTACTACTGTCATGGCTACCCCTAGTGTCCTCGCTTTTGATGCTGAGGGTCGGGCCATTGACTTTGACGTCTGGATAGATGACCTGCAGCTTTTCTTACAGTGCGACAGGGCAGACGGCCTCTCCCTCTTTGACCTCACTTCTGGTGCCTCTCCTGCCCCCGCTGCTGCTGCTGACGCCACTGTTCGCTCCCAGTGGGCCACGCGCGATGCTGCTGCACGTCTTGCTGTGCGTCGCCACCTACCTACCTCTGAGCGTGTGCACTTTAGCCAGTACAAGAG